GAGTGTCTTCGTGTCTATAAAAGTAAAAGAATATAAATTTTATAAACATCAGAAAACATCAAATTAAAACTTGACTTTCTAAATAAAATATAAGTACAAGCAATATACGACCATTTGACGAATAGTGCAAATTTTACAAAATGTTAGTTTGTTTTTAAATTCCTTACTTTTTCATCGAGAGGATTGTGTACACAATTCATCAAATGGGAATTTTTATTAAAAATATAAGAATGACACAATTTTTTTGTAGTAATTAGTGTTGACTTTACTTAGAAATAAGGTGGAAATTATAATGCGACTGATGATTTAATCTCCATAATTGAATTTAGTTAGCCTGAATATTTTTATTGTTTATAATCACGATTCTTAAATGCCCTGGATCTGATTTTAATTATGATTAATTGTGAATAATTTGTATCCGTTAATCTATTCAATAGATTCTATTGGAAATCCCCTTAAATAGAATTCCCTGCTTACCTACATAGGTATAAGTGTCATAAAATTAAAACTCTAATATAATTTTCAAATAAAAAATAATAAAGGTAGCTTTCTCTTTATTGTTATTTTAATTGAACTGCATTTAACACGCACTTGGCCGAGATTGTTTCCATTGTACATGAGAGACGGTGTATCGCGACGATGTCAAGGTCGCCGCAAAACAGTGTAGGGCAGGAAATTATTCTTTTGTTTTAATTGTAGATACTTTATTCATAAATACAAAACCTTGGTAGTTGTTCTGATTCACGAGCAATGCATTTTCTTGACACATAAAGCTTAAAAAATAAAATAAAATTGAAATGATTTATTTATGTAAACTTATTTTCTAATGTGGAAAAAGATAAGAGGGTCAGTTTTAATGCAAATTAATTATATTATTTAATATCCAGCACAGTTAAATGCTTTTAATTTTCAAGGACACAGGTACACATATATGGTAGCAAAAAAACGGTTAATCTGGCTACGTATGATGGTCTCGCTCTCCAAATGATTTAATACGTTGCCGAATTAAAGTAGGGCTAAGTCTCATTAACGTGCAGATGTTGGGCTTCATGTTATCATAAAATCAAATCATCCTAAGAGAGGATTGCGGATGAAACGACACTAAATGTTGGCCTATTACCTACTTTACTTCACCCACTGTGAAAAAGGTGGTTATATTTTTAATACACTAATCCCTCAAAGATACTTACATAAAAGTTGGCAGTGTATTGGCTAAGATAATGTATGTACCTCTTAATGAGGCCGAACAAAACATTCTTACGAGATTGAGTTTCTTGAAGTGTACCTACAACTGTAAGTCTACAAGGAAATATGGGAAGCCAAACCTACATATGGTTGTCCGATTATAGAAAGAGGGTGCAGGAAATAGTGTTCTGGGCACACTCTCCAGAATTAATTTTATAGAATATCGAGAGGCTCGCTATATATAACGAGTCTTCTTCTTCTTCTAGAAGATATCATGAGTACTATAGACTAATTAGAGTAATTTTAACCAATTTACGGTCACCAATAAGCATTTTTCCAGGTCTCGATGGAGTCCAAACCAATGACTTAACATTGAATAACGCCTGCTCTGAAATGATAGTTGTACTAACTCCACACACGACCAAAACCACCGGTTTGTGTAAAAAAAAAAGAAACTGTCTCTGCCCGAAGTAACGTCGCACTTTTGCAAAGAAGGCCGCGATTCGTTGCAGCTGCCAAAGCATTGGACTCAATTAACCGCACTATATTAAGTTTCGAGGATACCTCAATACCTAATAACTGCAGACAGTCAAAATATTCCAAGGATACACTCCGAAGACTTGGAGTTAAGGTAAAAGGTGAGTTTTTGTGGTATTGAATTTCACAAGATTAGCATCGCTGCATTCATTCTACCATTGCCTGTGTTTCTAAATCTAATTAATCTCGATTGGCCCTAGGATTAGATTAATATCGTTCTACAACTGTGATGTCATCTGTATTGGTTATAAGCAACAAACACTTGTAGAAACAGATTGTTAACCTGCATCAAAAATAGAGTTGCAGACAGGGCAGACGTCTGAAGAACCCCATACTTGCCCTCTATTGACTCAGACGAGATCAATTGCAGTCAACGCTTAACAGCAAAACTCTGGGAGAGAACATTAATACAGCAGATCTACTCAAAACATTAGTCAAAACAAAACACTACTCGTTTGAAAGTAGTAACAAAGCTTTTTAATTTTGTTCTCTGCAACATTATTACACCGGAAGTAGGGATTAATACTACTGTTCTTCAAAAAAGGACCCTGTACCCTACTGATGACGTGCCGATCAATATAGTTCTCGTGAACCGTGTACAAATTGTTCTCGAAAGAACAGGATTCGGCATGCCTATACACTTGATGACATCAGCACGCAGGATTTTGAAAAGGTTTTAGTACTATACTAGCTTTCCGCCCGCAGCTTCGCCCGCGTGGAGTTCGGTTATATCGCGTTTCCAAGAGAACCTTTCAAAGGTCTGGGATAAAAACTATCTTGTTCTTTCTCAAGGTCAACTCTATCTCTGTACCAAATTTCATTAAAATCAGTTCAGTGGTTTAGGCGTGAAAGAGTAACAGACAGACAGACAGAGTTACTTTCGTATTTATAATATTAGTAGGGATTACACTCCGGCAGATATCCAAAAAACTTACATATTATATAATCAGCCACAACGAAGCCTTCGACTCCATCCAACCCTTTTTTTATAATCTATGGAGAAATGTCTTATTAACGATTGATATGTAAAAATATAACCGTTGGAGCTAAGACGTTTTAGAATCGAGAACACATTTAGAAGATATCCAATATCAGGAAGGCACGAAAGAACTTCGTTAACAGTGAACGGCAAGAGACTTTTAGATAACGTTGATTAAAACCACTGTTTGTATTTTATTGGTTTATTTAATAATTTGGATTGATTACAGTAAACATCGATGAATCTACGACAAAATATTTCAATTTGACAAAACTTGGCTACATGGTTATATAAATCTTTAAACGACTTAAGACTACATTTTCTTATTTTATTTAAGGCTCATTCACTGACATTAATAATGGTAAACATTAGCAATGATCACGAGGGTGATTTATAGGAGTTAAAAAAAGACAGTCACTAACTTTACCAAAACTTTTCATCATGAAATTAAATAGTTTTCAATATATTATATAATAACTAAAAACTTCTTCCAGGCAATTTTCCAACTTTAGCCAGGACTTGCCTTATATGTTGTAAATAGTTTTGGCTAATTGTTTTTACGACCGGCCGCCTGCCTGACATACATAGATATATTACCTAAAAACTATCTATGTAATTTTACAATGGAAAGCGACAAAGATATTGTTAGCGCCCTCATTAGATATTAACTAACTTCTTAACACAGATGAAATCAAAGTTTTACTGTTACTAAGAGGTCGTTTTATTGTGAATGAGCCTTTATTACATATAAAATATTTTTTTTTCAAATGCCAACTATTAAAGCCAAGATATATAAAAATATACACAGTTTAATAGTTTTCAATAATTTTGAATAGCTTCTAAGGCCATATACATAATTAGATTTCTGATAAGTATCTGTGTAACAAAGAATAGTTTGTTATGGAAAATTGTTATCTTACACTTAACCAAAAACATTAGAAAAATACAAATATTAAATAGACAGGATTTATAATATTTTAGATTTTTTTGTTGTGTGATTTTAAGTATTGATTAATAATTATTATTAATCAATATTATTCAAAGACTAACATCAATTTGATAAATGTTTAAAATATGTTTAAAAGTAAAGAGCATAATTATCAATTCATTCTTTGAAAAACTACATCGCTTATACTTATTATCTTGATTGAATAACTGAATATACATGTTTTGTTGTCAAATATATACCTGAAAATATATTTAACAAAAAAATGCCCTTAAAAAGACATCATACAGTTAATTTAAAACATAAATAAAATATAGCCAGACGAATGAGATACAAAAAAATAATTTAAAAAATAACTCGCAGAATTTAGAAATGAGATCATCACAATATTATTTCATAATAAATCCTAAATAGGACTTTATATATACTAATAATTTTAAATTTTCAATCATAATTTTTATTTAAAGATGATTTCCAAAAAAATATAATCGACCCTGCGACGATCCATTTGTTACAGATTAAAAAAAGATGACGTCATTAGATTCGCCAAAAAAAACTTTTATTTTTGATTAAGTTTTCAGATTTTTTTTCAATAAACTGTTTAGGCTATTATTAAAAAGTTGACATTAGTATAAAATAATACATAAATAAAATTATACGAAAAACATCCGACTGCAATTTAACATTTTGTCCAAAACGCGAAGTCTTTTCGGTTCCTTTTCCAAATCGCTGTTGTTGAAATGATCGCCGCTGAAACAATATTATGAAAATTTTAATATTTTTTCTATTTTGCTTATTGAAATGTCCCTTGGAAAATGCGAAACTTCATAGATTCGTGGCTAAATATATTAAATACCTATATAATCGTCAAACGTAACCATTTCGAATACATTTTTTGGACGACACTAATAAATTTGAAGGTATAAATTTTCAATAGAATAAGTTCTTTAAAAAAACATACTCTTTATAGTAACTGTACCAATGGCTGGAGGTGCATATCAATTAAATTTTCTAAAACAAACGCGATATTCAAGAATTAGCAAATTAAAATTTTGCTCACGTCAATGAATTTTCATTGTAACATATTTGAATTTTAATTACAATAAAGCTCATATAAAATAAATAAATAACTGATTAACAATATATACCACAAAAAGGATGATAAAAAATGTTAATAGATTCTACAGTTGTTGCCAGTTAAAAAAAAAGTGTTACCAGTTTATATACAATTTTTAAAAATAAATAATTAATTAACCTCTTTAATCTTTGAAAATTGTCATTACTTCAAGGTTTTTTAATTGAATGATTATTTTAAACGAAGTTTTATATAAATATTAATAATATATAATATACTTACAATGTAAGGGATCGAGCTCTGAGACATGCTAAGTGTGCGTAGTATGTGGGCGTTGGATATGAAACTGATCTCATACATCTAGAGTACAAGTGACACAAGTAATACGTGAGTTGTTCGACCTCGTCTGAAGGGAGACCACCGTCGTTAGCGACCGCGTGGTACCTTGTGGGGCGAGCTGTACCCTTCAGAGCTGAATGGGACACCTGGAATATAAACATCAATCAGTATCATCAATACTAATATTATAAATGGGAAAGTAACTCTGTCTGTCTGGCTGTCTGTTACGCTTTCACGCCTAAACCACAGAACTGATTTTAATGAAATTTGGTACCGAGATGGAGTTGATCTTGAGAAAGAACATAAGATAGGTTTTATCCCAGACTTTTGAAAGGTTCTCTTGGAAACGCGATATAACCGAACTCCACGCGGGCGAAGCTGAAGGCGGAAAGCTAGTGTTAAATTTATATTGATTATTTAAATGAAACTATTGTTTATATTACGCGACTTTATTTTTGTAAAAAACTACACACTTCCGAGGTTTCGGCTACTTTACAGCAACCGTGATCACGGGCAGACGAGATGTCTAAAATAAACTCGCGTAGTATAATCCCAAAAATAATAGTTTCATTTAAATGAATAAAACTCGCGAATATCTCAGAACTAATATTAGCTGTATATAGGTATTATATTTTTTATTACTTATATTATAGTAATCGTACCAGAACTTTGCATCGTATACACATAAACAATTTTCAAGATTTACTCTTAGCTCTTACCAAATTGGTTTATGAATGAACTGGATTCTTTATAAGATTTGACAAAGCTAATTGAGAGTGTACAGTTATATGATTATATCAATCTTTAAAATTAGAAACGTACCAAATAAAAGTCAAGTTCACTACGATGAACGATTTCTGTGTCGACAACTGTACCGGGTTCAACGTTTTGACGATCCCTCTCTCCCAAAAAGAACCTAAAAAACATTTTTAAATTAATAAAAATTAATTAACCAACACTACAAACGATATGAAATATGAAAGTTATTAAAAATAATAATAATCGATATAGAAAGTTTCTAATATTTTTTATTATAATAATAATACCTCGTGTGATGCCTCTTCTGTACCAAAAGGAATAGAATTTCCGGTTTCCTGTCTTGATCCAAGCGACTGTAGGCCTTTTCAATAGCAACCAATTCACTGTTCATAACCTGTAATAAATTAACACAACTATTATAAACATTTTATTTTGAAAGCCAAAAATAATTTCCAAACTGCTTTCCTTATCAATATATTTGTATTAAGCAGTATGTTTTTATAAGTTTGTCAAATTCTTTTATATGGTATTTTAAACACGCCCGACAAAATATATGAAGTTATTTATACATGGTAAGAATTTACATAAAATTTCTTATCTTAACAAAATTTACATGATTTTTTATTTATTAATAGGAGCTATTTATTTATTTGAAGTTGTTATTATTAATATATTTTATTTACCTGAGCAAACTGTCCCTCCGACACACCATCTCGGAACACATATATCTTCCTCGGAAGGCATCGTTGATGACTTTTATAGACTTTTAAGTGATCAAAAATCATGTCTTCGAATTCCACAATAATTTCAGCCTGAAAAAAAGGGTTTATTAATAATTTTGGACAATACACTGTTTTAACATAAAATATCATCAATCTTAATTTAGTATTTTGTATATAATATTTCTTGTTATGCCCCCAGATTGATTTTTTTGATCTGTTTAATCTCCAGAATTCAAAATAATCTATGCCTTATATCTTTATCTTTATCTTTATCTTTATCTTTATATATATAATTCTTCTGTGAGTGTGTATGTCACTGAACTTCTCTCAAACGACTGGACCGACTTTGATGAAATTTTTTGTGTGTGTTCAAAGGGGGATCTGGGAATTTTTCAGATTCACAATTTTGTCCGCTGGATAAGGTTTTTTTAAATATTTTTTAATTTATTAGTAGTTGTTGATACAAACGTTTTTTTGACATTAGATTTGACAACTAACTAATATGTCAATCATTCTGTCGCACTTCAAAACACGGAGATTTATGGCTTTAGTAGGTAAACACCAAAAATATAAATAAAAATACGTAACAGATACATCTTGATTATAGGGCGATACGAAGTTCGCCGGGTCTTCTAGTATGTATAAATATTTTTGAAGTAATTTCAATTATTTAAAAAAGTAAGAAACTATAATTTGAGATGTGAATTTGAAATTATTCTTAAAAGTTTCTAACTATGTTAATGTTTGTTTTATAACAGTTATATCATTACAATAGCTACCTTTGGTGTCTGTACACTGAGTTCGATGTTATACTTGAAGCAGAAATTGTCAAAAGAGGCTGTAACAGCTGCAATACTGGGAACTGATGTCTGGAAATGAATAAAAAAAAACATTAATTATTTATACACTATATGCCAGATAAACTACAAATTGTAGTTTTACATAACGTATAAAATTTTGCAGTAGTGTAATATCAACCAATCACAATTGTTTAAAATCAACCAATCACATGAGATTTCAAATTCAAACCTGATCAGGGGAGGGGTGAGTGACGTCAGCGCCAACCAACATAACACCGCCTTCACTGATGCACCTCGGTATAGATGACGCGTCCAGCGCTTGGTTCACACCCATCAGTTTTGAATTTACCTTTAATTATATGATAATAAGGATACGGAAACATAGGAAATTTTAGTTATGTATTTTTTGTAACAATGCAACTTTAAAAACTAGCCTATCAAGCAAATAATATATATAATACTGAATACGTGTAGCAAATTAGGATTATACACCGAAAGGACCGAGAACTCTTATTCTTAGAGAATTACATTGTGATTGGCTTAGTGATCAAGGATGTCTTGATTGAATTTAATCAAATCAGTCACCAATAAATCTTTTTGCATGTCTCTTCAAAGTTGCCAAATTGTGAAATTTGTATTTCAGAAACTTCTGGACATGTGCATTTTACACAAAAAACTATACCCGCGCTAAGTTCTACTTTACTATTGGAATGACGAGTATCCTTGTAGCTACTTAAGCTTTACTCTCAGTAAACCTCGCAAAATTTTAATATATTTTAAAGGCAAACCTAACTTTCATTCACAGGTATTATTTTTATATATAAAAATGTATACTATTCTTACCTTTAAAAGTATATTTCGGATGGTTTGATCGCTCATCCTTGCTTTTGCTGTAAACTCTTTTATGCATTGCGTTAGTAAACCGACTTCCAATTCCGCTATTTGTTTAACCTGTAATGAAGTTTAGGTACATTAAAATAATTAATAAAATGATTTTAAATATATATACATATAATTATTATTGAAAATAGTACTTTATGATAACAATTCTTATCTCTTCCGCCAACAATGATGAATAAGAAATTGACACCCTTTTCATATGCAGTGTACAAAGTTTTCTTCAAATCCAAAGACCTAACATTGAAGTTGTAATACTTTGGCGCATTCACAGTCATTCCCATCTGTTTACCGATACGGTTTATCTGTAATAAATAATAAAATAAACTCACTAATACCTGGTTTGTAGTAGAATATATTTTAATGTCAAAAAGTTATTTGCGGTAATTAAATTTGGTGGTAGGTAGTAAATGATGCAAGAAAATTCAATTTTACTTATAAAACTATATTGAAGGTTCAATTAAGACTTATAAGTAACTATATTCTAAAAAGATATCTGTAAGTTGGCAATTGACTATATACTTAATATATGTTAAAACCCATTTCCGATTCCCACCATTGGCTCAGCGTCACATTTTAGTACTTAACACCATTGATGTAATATAAGGTTATTCTTAAGCCACACATACATTGATACATAATAAGTTTTTTTTACGTGAAAGGTGGCAAACGAGCAGACGGTCTACTTGATGGGCAGTAGTGACCGTCGCCCATAGACATCCTCAACATCTATGTTAAAAATGCATTGACAACTTTGATTGTTGAGGAAAAGGGAGGGGTGAGACTAGGGAAATAGGAAAAGGCAACCGGCTCTCTCACTCATCACGCAGCCACTAAAGAATACTTCAAACCGAACTTCTATGAAAGGGTAGTACTTCCCTGGTCGAGCCAGCACATGTTCAAGCTGTAACTTGACTACAGCTAGGCCTAGGCTATAGGCCAGAAATAACGTAAAGGTGGTAAGACCACCTTTACGTTATTTCACGTTACATTAAGTTCAAAAATATTTAGGATTTGTATTAAATTATTACTATCCGTGGTATATTTAAAAAAAATCGGGTGAAAAATACTTAAGAAATTCTAGAATTTGCTGCTGTAGTCATAATGCTGCTAGCAGCATGCCAACATTAATTTATTTTAATGTTAGATGGTCAAAAATGTAAACATGACTAAGTTTTATGTTTTATAATACTTATATGTATAGACAATAAATTCTATTCTACATAAGATATTTGTTCTATCAAGAATTATTAAGTGTTTTATCATGGAAAAATGACCTTTATATACACATGTATATTTATGTTATTAAATTAGGCAAACAAAGTTAATGGGGTTTTAAAATTATTAGTAAGTTTGTTGGAATTATCCTTCATTCATTTAATACGAAACTTTAAGTTTATATTTTCAAATTGTTGGTTTTCAATTGAGAGATTATTATATTTTTTTTATAATAGAAATATGTTTATAATTACGTCTGAAGAACGAAATTTTTAAGTATATTGCAATATTTTAATAGAATGATTAATTATTAATTACTATTTATGCTTATATCACTTATAATTCCAGTAATGTGGATAATTAGTTAAAAGGATTCTTGATATCTATTAAGTTATACAGGGTGACTGGTGAATTACTATCAATGTTTAAGGAGCATACTCGGTACATGATTCTCATTCGAATTATGTAAAAAAAATAGGTACTTAATTTTTGACCAAATTTCCGTATAAATAAATAAAGTGTGGATACGTTCCAAGTGTTCCAAGTATGGACGCGTGCGGCGGCGTGCTGATACAACACCACGCCGCCGACGTGTGTGTGTGTGTGTATACCTAATCTGTAGGGTGTTCACACGATGCGTAATTAATTACACAACTTTTGGTTAACTTTACTTAGAAGTTTATTAATATTTATGTTTTATTAATTTTTATTTTGTCATATATGATCGTCAAATATCACGTCCTCAAGTATCGATAGTAATTCACCAGTCACCCTGTATAAAAAGTATCATTTAATAAAAATGTTTCAAAATACTCACATTTTGCATAAAATCGTCGCATCTACAATCATTTGGATTTGCCTCTACTGCTATGAGTCCCCAGGATTCCAATGCGCTAGGTTTTAGGAAACGATTAGCCTGCCATGACCCATTCCTGACGAAAAACACATAAAAAGTTATTTTTACACATTATAACTACATACTTAGGTTTGAGAGTTAAAAATGTATTATTTAGCCAATCACACATTAGAAACTTAAATCTTTGAAATTTACATTATATCAGTTATTAAAAATAAACATAATATTTACTTCATGTATAATTTTTTATGTTTTCTTCTACATATAAAAATACTATATTTTAAATATTTAAGGTACTATTAACTAAGAGAACAACTATAAATTTTTTAGGGATTTCAGTCTAAGCAAAAAAAAATTCCTCCTAGCATTCTTCAGTGATTTCGTTAAATTTGACCATATAGCTAATTACATTACCTTCTTTATATACATGGATTCAAAAATTGATTGCATATTTGCAAGTCTCTATATTTCTCTAAAATTATAGTTTTTTATATACATATAATGTTATATGAAGTTAAAATCTTTATCTTTTAATATATTTATTATCATACCTGGGCACAACCCCTCTTCCAGCACCAACATCTAGCTTCGGAGCTTGCAATATTTTTGCATCGACTTTGAAAAAGTCCTTCTCAATCTCCAACTTAAAATGCTTGAATATTGGATTAGCTGGATAATTCATCTGCAATATATATAATAGAGCTTATATTATTAGAAATTAAATAAAAAATTCTTGTACATATAAAGTAGTATTTACAATTTATAAACAATTATATAAATATATACGCACATTGTTAATAACTTCTTTAATTTTATTCAATCTCTCACATGGCGGAGTAGCTGCCTCGCGTACCATAGTCTGAAGCTGTCTGTCATTCAGTTGCTTGTTTAACGCCTGTTTAATTAAGTAATATTAAATAAGAAAATTTTATAGAATAACGAAATATCATACCATTTTTTTATGACTCGTTTAGGGTACCTGGCCATAAGAGACTTGAAGTAATTCCATCGGGTAGAAGATGTTCTTGTTTTTGGGACCAACCCACAAACAATTGACGTTTGGATATCGCAGTCTGAAAATAGAATTAATTTATAAATTATATAAGTACTATTTAAGTATTTAAGATTAACATTGGTTGAGATATTAATGAGTTCATTTAAAAACATTTCCATATAACGAGATCTAAAATTTTCGCGAGTATTCATTTAAATGAAAGGAATATTTTCGGATTACTACATGTTATTTTATTATTTTTAACAACATGCTCCAGACATTTCTGCTAATTTGCAACCGTGATCATGAGCAGGCGAAATTTGAATGTCTGTCAGTTGGTCTTGTTATTTATTAGCAGTTGGTCAATCCGAAAATATTCGTTTCATTTACATTCCCAAACACTTCATTTAATTTTGGCTTTTTTTGCCTAAAGAAATAAATTTTGGGTATTGAATAGCGATGAGAACATTACATAGTTACCAAGGGAAAAAACATTGTTTCTCTTAGTGTATTCCTGCCAATTTAATAGTTTGACCGTGACTATTGTTACTTGGCAAATGCTTAAAGGGAAACTTTAGTTTTTTAACCTATAAATTTAAAGACAGGTGGAGTTAGTGGGATACAGGGATATACAACAATTTCTCGATTTTAGAAGACCAACCGCATGTTGCTTTAGACAATGAATGGACAGAAAAATTAATGAATGCACGTTATGAACTTGCTAATCTTTAATTATAGAGAGATAAAAAGTTTTCAATACAAATTTCATGTCACTTTGAAAGTGTTGACCTAATCTTGAACACCGCAGTTAGACATGTTTGATATTTGAAAGGCATTATTCCTAATTTTAATAGTTTCAGTAATAATATAATAAAGTTAGGCCAAAATTAAAACATTCATTACAAAATGTCATAAGTATCAAATACTGAATACTCTCATTGGTTGATGAAGTAAAACACATTGAGCATTTTGTATTACATTGTAAAACTAACATAGAACAGTCAGCCAATATATGGCAAACACAATCTCTAAACGACGCGACAAAGACAAATCTGTTTATTAACATTCAAAACGATGCACAAAGGGTCTAAAAATCTATATAAAACGAACCTTAATTTTTTCTCAGTAAGGAAATAATTTGCCACCGACATTCTCTTCGTTTGTCCTTTAGCATCCGTCATTTCAAATGTTAGTTTGCTCGGAGGATCCCGTACATCATTCACAATGTATTCGCGTACTTTGCCACTAGAATCGCCTCCAACAAATGCCTTCACCTAAAAAAACAAATTTTTTGTTTGTAATATGAGAAATGTTTAGGATGTATGATAATAATTATGAGATATGTATTTTTTATTAGAAAAAAATTAAAATGAACTGTATACACGGTAGTGTGCTATTTTTTTCATACACTAAACATAATGTTACCAACCTTAAGTCCCTTTAAATATTGCTTGAACAATTCGATATTATATCCCCTTTGTTGTTCAAGACTTTGATTTGGATTCAAATTAAAATCTTTCATATATGCATCCAATACAGATTGGGTTCTTGGAAAACCTTTGTGGGCCACTGAAACATAATTTACATATAATAAAAGCAAATTGAAAGTGTTCAGAACACTATAAAACAACAACAAACATTAAAAGCGGTCACAAAAAATACATATTACAAAATATATAGGGGCCTAATGTGAGATTTAAATTTTCTTTTGATTGAAATTTTTATTTATTTCATTCGTTTATATAGACAAAAAATAATGGATTCTTAAATTTATTTTGGCTAAGTTTTATTTACTGTGTTAAATTTTTATATTAATGCAATATTTATATGTACATAACATTATATTACCGTCAATATTTATGAATGGCCGCCAAGTGAATATTGCTGACTGAAATAGACCAGTCCACATTTCCAATCCAAAACCTAAATCTATTGGATTCTGTGGACGTTTGAAGAATTGTCTTCCCACCTGACCACAAAAATTATAACAATGACTGTTTTAATATTACAATATATCTCATTAAATTAATGTTAAATTATTCTTATTAAGTTTACTTGTTTGTTGTAAGAATAGATATGTTTTATATAAATTAAATGAATACTTCATTAAAGTTTAAATGTTATATTTCATGATTAGCTAATTAGATAATAAAAGAAACTAAAATTCTATCTTTATTATAGAAAATACACTACTCGGAAAAAAGACAAAAAAATAAATAAAGATAATTTAAAACACTACATAAATAATTTTTGTTTTTGTATCAAACTTGTGCCTTACTACATAGGAAAAAGCCTATCAAGTTTCTTTCATATAAATTGTTTTTATTTGCATTGACTCAATAACTTTTCAGCAGTAAACTTAAATTAATATTATGCTATGAACATTTTTGATTATTTTACTATAAAAATAATTGAGAATTCGAGAGTAAAGTATAATTAATAATAATTTACCTTAACATAATTTTCAAGTGTGCCCTGTTGTAAAATGACATCTATAGCCTGTATAGCTTCGCTGGGCGTATTCAAAGAGGAGTCTCCCGTTTTGATGTGACTAAAATAGTTCAAAATCACAACACACATGATTAAGAAAATATAAACAGAAAAAAAAACATTGTAAATTACATTAAATTCGAGTTTTTGATAATAATTATTGATATGTATTACCAAAAAACATAGTTCATAGTCTTTGCACTAATAACTCAGGCTATCATGTTTCAATCATTCGGACTAGTCTCTTTCTAACGCACAAGATAGAGATATCCTAAGATGGAACCGACAATAAGACGACGAATAAAAAAAAATATTTACGATTACACAAGATTTCTCAGAAGAAAAGGCGGCAAAAAACCGAGAACACCAAACGTGATGTAAAAAAAAAAAACAAGTAGAAACAAGGAAAGTTCGAAGATGGGAATTATTTTGAAATATACATAATTTGAAATACTGCTGCAAAATGTACATTTTTATAGTATACTTCATCACTTTAAATTTTCTATTTGTATCATACAAAATAGTTTTGTTGGATCTAAATTACTTTTTCATTATTCGAAGTACTTAAATGAAAAATTATGAATTTCAGAAATCTGCTTAATAAGTACCGAGTCTAGTAAAGAGCTTTCATTTTCATTTCATGGAAAACATCATTCCATTTAGACATAACATAAAGTTGAACTTTTTTAACTACTGTGTAAATAATAATGAATTTTATTTGGAACAACTATTTTATATTGTTTGGCCAGTTAAATTTGAAAATATAATAAATTACACGATACATTAATTAAATTGTTATGTTATATATTTTGTATGGAGATTTTTTTTCCTCAAACGTCTGTAAGTTAAGTAATTGACAGTTGTCTAGCATTGGCGCAAAGACTATAACAAATTGATTGTAATAATAAGTGAATGCTTACTTTAAAATCCTCCCAAGATCAATAATGCCAGTCGTCTTCAATGATACTTCAAAAGGCATTTTAACTTTATTATCGTCAGCCACTTCCACCTGTAACAAAAACATGCTTATATGAAATTAACTCCAAATGACGCTATGAGTAATTACTATTGTGAAGACCTTTTCAAAAATACTTGACTAACAACTGTCTGTTCGCAATAAACGGAAAAACTACTTCACCAATTATCAGGCAGTTTTCACCAGTCGATAGTGTGATTCTCGAGGAAGTTTTTAATATATGTATAATTTGTTTAGGTTTTGTATTGATTAACGACATTAACGAGATTTGGCGATGTTGTCTTGAAAAAATGAGAAGTCTGTTAGATTTTAACGAAAACGCTGCCGAAACCCTTTGAAATATAACAAAAAAGTGTATGGCGGAATTATTTATTTTATATAGGTCTACAGATAAGTCCGATAACATACTATATCTATTTTACAATTTTAAAAAACTACATTCATGAAGCGTTTATAGGAAAGCTAAGCATAATTACGGTATAAAGTCTCATCAAAATAAACTATGTAATTCGTGTTGAAGCTTACATCAGTATCTATAAATTACATTTTAAATTATTTATTTCGGACGTACCATTTGTAAGTTATCATAAGTTTAATAATTCTCAAAATTAAATCCAGGCGATAGCAAACTTTTACACATGATCACGTAATTAATGTTGTATACAAAATTTTTGTAACTTTATTTTATTGAAAACCTATTATTAACATAAAAAATTACCGATTCTCAAAATTTAGACTTAAAATATGTTTAAGGAAGAAAGATGACGAAATTTTTGTTAGTCTTGAATTAACTCAAAAAGTAAGTACTCAATGCATTATACGCAACATAAGGTAAGAACATATTCAGGGTCATTTAGTGATTTACAAGTCCATATATTATAATATACTCACATTATAACTGACTCTTTCATCAGAGCCTTTCCAGAGAGGTGTTAGAGTGTAACAATTCTTCCTTTGGTCGAATGCAATTACAGATTTAGGAAAATGTTTTTCTTTCACTACAGCAAAAGCCTTTTGTGCAATTTTCTTGGGCTTGTCGGGTTTAACCGAAATATCATAGCGATGCTGAAAATAATATTATTTTGTCAATGAAAATAAATAAATAAATGTATTAAAAGAATAATTATTTTTAAAGCCGGTAGCTTGGATTAAGAGTTAAAAGCTAATAAAGATAGTAAGTCGCGTAAAAAATATCGAAAGACTAGATTGTTGAACAATACCGGCACTTAAAAGTAAATTAAGGGAGGCAGTTTCGGTTTCAAAATCTAATATACAAGCAATTCATTTTAGATAAAACCATATGACATTTATTGATACTTACAACTTTGACGTCCTTAATTTTCATTTCCAAGTAATTAGTCAAAATTTTAATTTTTGTACTACTGACCGAGCGGCCTTCTATTCTTGACGGTATTTTATACCGGCTTAAAGCACCGCTGCTCGAAGATGATGCTACAGAAGCAAGACTCGAGGACCTGCTTTGTTGTATTTGTGAAGGTTGTTGTTGTCCAGGTCGTGATTGAGCTCCACTTTTCTGCTGTCCGGGTTGTTGCTGTACTGGGCGTGATTGAGCTCCACTTTTCTGTTGGCCAGGGAATTGCTGACCTGGGGCCGATTGAGCTCCAAATTGCTGCTGGCCAGGGAATTGCTGACCTGGGACCGATTGAGCTCCAAATTGCTGCTGGCCAGGGAATTGCTGACCTGGGGCCGATTGAGCTCCAAATTGCTGATGGCCAGGGAATTTCTGACCTGGGGCCGATTGAGCTCCAAATTGCTGCTGGCCAGGGAATTGCTGGGCTGGGACCGATCGAGCTCCACTTTGAGGAGTTTGCTGAGGAACACCCCAACCCCTCCCCGTACCCCTAGCCCTACCGAGACCTGGAAATTCACTTGTGCCCCCCGACAAAGGAGACGTAGACGGCTGCGTTGCTACCGCTATAGGTGCTTCATGGGATTGCGATTCCTGTTCTAATGAGATATTTTCGACTTTAAGTTGCGCAACATCTTCAGACGGCTTCTGTTCTACAATCGTAGCTGGTTTCTTTTTCTTAGGACGCCTTTTTCTTCCTTCACCTAAATCGAGGCCTAACCCACCTGTTTCTTCTTTAGATTCATCTTTTGGTTGCTGAACCTGAGCTGATACAGCTTTTTTTTCGATTGTTGGTGTAACTTGTTGAGTTACAACTTCTTGTTTTGGTTCCACAGCAACTGTTGCAGTGGATGTACTTGGTTGTGATTGAGATGATTCTTCACTCATCTCTTTATCTATGCCTTGTTTAGTTTTCTTTTTTCCTCCTAAAATACGAATAGGGAGAAAATTATAAAATATTTATTTCCACTAATATTATGTTTATTTTCCTGACCACGTTAATTAAGTGCAACACTTTGTTTAAAACAGTTCTTAGTAAGTTACAGTAAATATATATGTATAATACATATAACAATAATTTAGATTTACTTATTTCTTTACTACAAATTTTGTATTAATATACTTGTTACTTGAATTCATTGTCATATATAAGATTAACATATTGCTACAAGCAAGAATTGAACCTGGAAACTACAGATTAAAGCAAATTGAATAAATTATTAGAAATGACATATTGTATAGTAATTTAAAAATTATCTCACCTCGTCCCATCTTTGCTGTTGTCTTGGTTCTTTAACTGAAACAACAATATTTAATAAATAACTAATTTTTGTATATATGAACATCTGCATAATCTATGTCACAGAACTTCAAACTCTCACATAACTTCAATTGCAGTGATTACATGGTATTTTGGGATAAATTGTACCCTATGTCTAATTCTCATCTCCACAACATAGCTATGTTACTGTTAAAATTCATGAAAATCTTCCTATAAAGCAATAAAAAATATCCATACATTAAACATTAAAATTATTATTATTCAAGTTTTATTTACTTTTTATTATACAATTGAATTGTATTTCTTTGAAACTAATACAGTGAAAGAGGTAGGAGTTGTGAAAGAATGGTTTAACTGATATAACTATCCAGCTATAAATTTATAAAATAATAATAATTAATATAAATAAATAACTTTTTTCTAAACAAATCTTATAATTAGAAACAATAAAACAAAAACAAATAACAAAAAAATGTTCAAAATAATTCAATCCTTTGCTAATTTTTATTATATTATATGAAACTCTATAATTTAATAAAAACAAATACAACTCTATAATTTAATAAAAACAAAAATGAAAAAAAAACAAAATTAATCATTATTCATTTTATAGATAGTTATTGTCGTCATTATCAGCTTATCAGCGCCCACTGCTGAGCAAAGACCTCTTTCTCACATGGAGAAGGTTTGAGCATTAATCACCACACCTGCTCAAGACAGGTTGGTGATTTCAAACTTATAATTGTGAAATAATAGATATAAAATTATAGATAGTAATACATATTAAATAGAACAAAAATCGTATATAGTAAATAAATCGTCATCAGCCTATCAGCGCCCACTGCTGAGCAAAGGCCTCTTTCTCACATGGAGAAGGTTTGAGCATTAATCACCACGCTTGCTCAAGACGGGTTGGTGATTTCAAACTTATAATTGTGCAACTATAAGTCTAGGTTTCCTCACGATGTTTTCCTAGTCAGTGGTGGCCTAGTGGTTAAGGGGCCCGCCTCTCGTTTCCGAGGGTGCGGGTTCAAACCTAGCAAGTACCAATGTGATTTTTCAGAGTCATATGTACTTTCTGAGAGTATTTAGACATCACTAACATACGGTGAAGGAATAAATTAATACAAAGGTTTTTTATCTATAGTTCATCAAGACTAAATTGAAGCCAAAAGTAGGATTGAACCTCAATTAAATAAAAAAAGCAACAAAGAAATACAATTTAATCACATAATTGTTGGAATAGAAAGAGTGGTGTATTTAAATTATGTTTTATATCAACACAATTTTCAGCTTCAGCAAGCTACTTACTAAACATTATAATAAATGTAAATTGTTCTGCTCGGCTCCATATAGTCCAGTCGAGAAAAGTAATGAAATTATAATGCTTAAAAAACTGAGAGCAAGCTGCTATCCCTTAGAATACCTTCTACATAAATTGTGCTTATAATACACATTTTTGATAAAATTATTAATTACTGACTTTAACAGTGAGTAACTTACATATTCCTAAATTTAAAGATGAATTCTTTTCAAGATATATCTAAATTTACTATCAAGAAATGCATATATTCCATAATGAATGTTGTCATATGTTATGGAATATAAAACAGTGGACACGAAGGCAAGCAATATTAAACTTTTTAAATTTATATTTTCTTATTCCGCTTTACTCCTAATAACAAATTAGGGATCATAGATCAATTATGGCTAAAAGGATAAATAATTCCAAAGATTAGTAATATGAAACCGCATAATAAAATTGCTCAATAATTTCACAGTATTTCATTACCGAAAAGATGGATGGTAGACATATTATAAGTGACCAGTTTTAATAATAAAGCAAATAGATACGAGTCATTTATACTTACGGGTTTAAAGTGCTGATTTATTCAATTGTTTAATCAAAAATAAACGAATCAAACCGAGTGTATTCACCAATATTAATTAGTATAACAATAACAGAGAAGATTATAGTACACACTTGTCAGTATTCTCAATTCTGCAATAGTGATTTATTTTTGACACAGACGCAATAAAGAAATACAAAAAGGTAAATTTCACACCAAAGATATTATAGAATTAATTCCACTTATATTGATAAACCAAATAATATTATAGACAAACACCTAAAATAGGAATAAAGATTTTATTCTTATAAAGTAAACATATTATCTTTTGTAACATTTTCATTTATCAACTTAATTTGAACTTTAATTCGATCAATATAAAAACTTGATTTATTTTTATATTTGAACTACCCATTATATAGAAATATATAATATATGATTCAACTTAAACACAGAAAGATTCTAATATTTTTACTAGCAACATTGAGAATAGTTTTTAATTAAAATATTGTGTGATTTTGAAGCTGTGCTAGTTGTTTCATATGCCTGTTCAGTGTTCATTTGTATTAATTTTCTGCTTGTAATTAATTAATAATTACTATATCTAACTAAAACTCCAATAAAAGCGACAAAATTTTTAATATAAATAAACGACGATAAACTTTCCAAAAAATAACAGTTAAAAAATTGTTCAAAAGTTTTTTCGGATAATAACCGCTTTTAAGTCATGAATATTGAAGTGTTTACTTCCACTGTGGTTGGTATTTATTTGATAGTTTCCAAATATGGCTTTTTACGAAATTGGTAGCGATGTATCTTCACATAATATAACGGATTTGTCAAACGACAATAATATTTTAGAAGATTTGTCTATAATTCCTTTAGAGAAAGATAGTTTTGGTAAGTAAAGCAATAACATAAATAAATGTTGATAAGAGATATCATTTCTTACTTTATAAGGAAAATATCCTATTAATCACCTATTGAATTCGTTGAAATTGTTTGATAAATATAAAATTTCATAATCACTGCAGCAATATGTGAATTGTGCGGGCGAGTGGGTCGCCGCGGTCAGTTCTACGCTCGTAATAATAAGTTCTGTTCACTAAGATGTCATGCCAGTAATAATTTAAGAAGGAGATATTGTAACTGGAGATTCAAGTTGATGGAAGGGACCGAACATATGGCAGGACTAATCCCGCTCGAACCACTGCCACAGTTGCAGCACTGGCAAGCAAATTTTAATGATCTCCAAGTAAAGATTTTTTTACTGTAAACTTAAAGAAAATAATTATAATTCACAATAAATGCATCACATTATATTGGGGATGGTTGGATGAGTTTGTCATTAATTTACTGATAATAGACCTTTGATATGCTTCAATATTTTTATTGCAAGCTAATTTATTCCTATTATTTATTAATTAGAAGTTATTTTTAAAGTATATATATTTTTAAATACCAATATTGTTGCATGGTTTTAATGTTTAAATATCATTAAATTATAGGCAGGACCTATTAAGCAGTCTGCCGCATTAATAGCTAACAGTTATGAATGGAAGGATGAATTATTTGGGTGTGACTTCCTCGCTGCCCCCGTCAGTCTGTTCAAACATGCACCGTTACATGAAATGTGGGATAACACTTTTGAAGGAATGAAAGTAGAAGTAAAGAACACAGACTGTGAAAATTATTCAGAAAAGCTACATGATTACTTCTGGGTAGCTACAGTTCTCAAGGTGATTAAAATAGATACATCTAATTGCATGACTTATAGATAGCATTTAAAAAGACATGACTAAAATGTTGCAAAACTTATATTATACAGCCACGGGCAAAAGTATTAGGCACCCTACAGTAAGACAAGTTTTAGGGTGTTTTAGCATAGCGAGTGTAAATAAAACTGCATTTATGATTACAATGGTTTATTTTAAGAAAATAATTAATATTTTGTAGGTCCACCTTTTGACTTAATAACCGCAGCCACTCTTTTTGGCATTGACTCTACCAGCCTGAAACATTCTTCTCTTGATATATTTTTCCATTCCTGCTGTAACGCGGCCAATAGAGCTTGTTTATTGCTAATCGAGTGCCTGCGGATATTTTTCTTTAAAATGGACCAAATATGCTCAATCGGGTTGAGGTCTGGTGATTGTGGTGGCCAGTCCAAGAGATCAATATGATTTTCAGCAAACCACTTCATGGTATGCGCGGACTTGTGGCAAGTGGCGTTGTCTTGCTGAAATTTCAGGCCATCGGTGTTTGTATCACCGAAAATTTGCGTTATCGACGTTGCTAGTGCTGTTTCCAGAACTTCAGTGTATTTAACACTATTCATTCGTCCCTCACACAACACCATTTCGCCCACTCCGTCGGCAGCCATGCAGCCCCAGATCATTATTGAGCCTCCACGATGCTTAACAGTGGGAACCACACATTCTGGGTTGTATTCTTCGCCAACCCTTCGCCTAACATAAGTCACACCGGGTGTTCCAAACACCTATGCCAAACGAAAAAAACACATTTATTTTCAAAGTTATTATTTTTCTTGCAGTACGTTATTTTAAAAACATTTATGTGTTTTAATATTGTACATAAAATAAATAACAATACCTCAGTTAGATTCGTCTGACCACAGTATGTTGGACCAATCTTCCACTGACCAATCTCTATGTTTGAGTGCCCACTCCAACCGATTTTTCTTATTGTGTTCTGACAGCCACGGCTTCTTCCTTGCTTTACATCCTTTTAATCCAACTTTAAAAAGTCTTCTTCTCACAGTATAAACACTCACTGAGCTGCCTTTTGCCTCAGATAATGCTGCAGCGAGCTCTAAAGCAGTTTTTTTCCTGTTTTGTAGAGACTGTCTAATCAACAATCGATCTTCCCGTTCAGTAGTAACTTTTCTTCTGCCTGTTCTTGGTCTATTTTCATGGGTGCCAGTCTCTTTGAAGCGATTTATAGCATATTGAACTGCACATCGCGAGCACTTCACTTCTCGGGCTATTTTAACCTGAGACATGCCTTGTTCATGTAAAATCTTAATTCTTGGACGCTGTTCAGCACTAAGTTCAGATTTTTTCGGCATGATTAACACGTTAAATGTTAGTCTTTAGAATTGTGATAGGAATAGTTGCGTAGAAGACGTGTATGTTCACTGCAAGCACTGATAACACACTATAACCCGAAACGCAAAAAAAGCAAATTCGAAGAAACACCGCTTAGGAGCACACCTGGATGTCATAAATATTTTCTTTTATCTTAATTTGGTTAAAAATTGCCGCTAATACAATAGCTAAACCATAAAACACACATTTGACCGCAATATAATGAGATAGTGACTAACAATAGGGGTGCCTAATACTTTTGCACGCAGCTGTACTAGCTTTCCGCCTGCATGGAGTTCGGTTATATCGCGATTCCAAGAGAACATTTCAAAAGTCTGGGATAAAAACTATAATATGTTCTTTCTCAAGGCCAACTCTATCTCCGTACCAAATTCCATTAAAATCAGTTCAGTGGTTTAGGCGTGAAAGGGTAACAGACAAACAGAGTTATTTTCGCCTCCTACTAATATTATAATTGCAAAAGTTTGTGAGTGTGTGTATGTTTTTGTTACTTCTTCATGCTCAAACGGCTGAACCGATTGTGATAAAAAAAATTATACAGGAAGCTGACATCCAGGAATAACACATAGGCTACCTTACATCCCGGAAATCCGCGGGTAACACCGCGCTGCGCAGCTAGTTTATAATATTAGTGGGGATGATATAATTGTTGGTTTGAATTTACTTACATATTTTGTAATTCATGATGTGCTCACAGGTTAAAGGTTATATGGGTCTTCTAAGGTATGAAGGTTTTGGCAGTGATGATTCTAAAGACTTTTGGGTTAATCTTTGTTGTTCTGAAGTACATCCAGTCGGCTGGTGTGCGACACGCGGTAAACCACTAATACCTCCTCGCAGTATAGAGGATAAATATACTGACTGGAAAAAGTGAGTTATTACTTTGTTCTATAAATGTTAGCTTAATAATGATATCTAAGTTTTTCAATTAAAAAAACAAATATTATGTAAAGTGTCCATTTTATTATTTTATATTAACCGATTGTGGACAGACAAGACAAGTCACAATAGTTGAAAAATTATTCAAAGGATAGGTAAAATGTAAATTTCAGAAAAATTATTTTAATGTAATAAACATACTTTTCACCTAAATACTGGTGTTAAAACCTGCAAGTGCTAGTAAGAGCTATAAATATTTTGAAATTATTTAGAGGTGGTAAAAAATTTACGTTTTATTTGCCAAAAGGCATTCTGTTTAAGTGATATTAAATGTTAAAACTTTTGTATTTTCCAGGTTTCTAGTGAAACAGCTTACAGGAGCTCGAACTTTACCAGCAAATTTTTATACTAAATTAAATGACAGCCTTGTATCAAGGTTTTCTATAGGTTCAATCATGGAAGTTGTAGATAAGAACAGGATTTCCCAAGTTAAAGTAAATATGAATGTTTTATATAAATTTATATACAGGGTGACTGGTGAATTACTATCGATGTTTGAGGACGTGATATTTGACGATCATATATGACAAAATAAAAATTAATATAACATAAATATTAATAAACTTCTAAGTAAAGTTAACCACAAGTTATGTAATTAATTACGCATCGTGTGAACACCCTACAGATTAGGTATACACACACACACACTCACACTAGCGCGCGGCGGCGTGTTTTTGTATCAGCACGCCGCCGCACGCGTCCACACTTGGAACGTGTACACACTTTATTTATTTATACGGAAATTTGGTCAAAAATTAAGTACCTATTTTTTTTACATAATTCGAATGAGAATCATGTAGCGAGTATTCTCCTTAAATATTGATAGTAATTCACCAGTCACCCTGTATATACCTAAATGTTATTCTACATATTAATTTTATTGTTTATTTATCAGGTGGCTAGTGTATGTGAAATAGTTGGGAAACGTTTACACATAAAATATTATGATAGTTCACCGGAGGATAATGGCTTCTGGTGTCATGAGGACTCCCCATTAATTCATCCTGTGGGTTGGGCGTTCAGAGTAGGACATTTATTAGACGCACCACAAAGTTACTGTCAAAGAGTAGCGGCAGGACGTCTATTGCCAAATGATACAACATCGGATATGTTTTATAAGTACCCAACAAATGAACCGCCTTTGTTTTCTGAGGGTATGAAACTGGAAGCGATAGATCCATTGAATCTGTCAGCGGTGTGTGCGGCGACTGTGATGCAAATTTTGAATGAAGGATATATGATGATAAGGATAGATTGCTATCCCGCTGACGCTTCGGGCGCGGACTGGTTTTGTTATCACCAACGATCGCCTTGCATATTCCCAGTGGGATTCGCATTAGCAAATAATATAACTTTGGTGCCACCGGCTGGGTATGTAAATGTTTTGTAGTCAACTTCATTCCTAAACATTGGTTTCGACCCTAATATAGAATTTTAATTACTTTTTTTTCTTAACTAATACTAGTTATGTTTTGTTGCAGCATGAGTAGGGAGCAGTTTAGTTGGGATCAATATTTAAGTGAATCGGGATGTGTGGCAGCGTCGAGGTCTCTATTCTCAGCCAGAGGTCACGTTGTGTCGCACGGGTTCGTGGCAGGCATGAGATTGGAGTGCGCAGATCTAATGGACCCTCGTCTCGTCTGTGTAGCCACCGTCGCGAGGGTAGTCGCTGATTTACTCAAGGTGGGCATATCAAGTAATTTACAGAGATTTAATATGTTATAGTGCCTGTTGAAACTCCATAGCATGAACATTATGACCTATTATGACAGCAACAACTACTGGAATAGCACTGAAAATATATATTTATATATTCAAGTGATATAGATTTTTTATACTGTTATGTTATTTTGGTTATCAGAAAGATATTATTGTGATGTACCAATTACATTCAATGGGTGAATGCTGAAGACTTTAATACCTATTTTTCTTTTACCAAATTATCAACACTATCCTACTAATATTATAATTGCGAAAGTTTGTGAGTGTGTGTATGTTTGTTACTTCTTTATGTTCAAACGGCTAATCCGATTTTGATAAAATTTTGTATACAGGAAGCTGACGTTCAGGAATAACGCGTAGGCTACTTTATATCCGTGGGTAACGTCGCGGGGCGCAGCTAGTTTTAACTATTGCTCAGAGATGTGTTATTTTTAATGTAATTTCATGTTATATTCGGATAGGTTCATTTCGACGGTTGGGGTGGCGAGTACGACCAGTGGCTATGGGCTCATAGTACTGATGTGTATCCCGTTGGATGGTGTAGGGCTGTGGGCCATCGTTTGGAGGGACCTTTACAACCGCCACGAGCTCGACGCCCTCCAGCCCGCCAACCGAGACCGACTCGTAGGAAACGAAGACCTGGTATGATTATTGATATTTCTTTATTTATGGTAAAAACAGCAACTGAGCAGACGGCCTACCTGATGAATTTAGGACCATAGCCCATGGACCTAAGCAACATAACAGATATTGCCGATGTTGCACCACCATTGATTAGGGAAGAGGGGGAGGAAAAGTGGGGTAATCCCTAATTTCCCCACTTTTCAAGGGAAGGGATAGGATGAGAAAAGGGAATTTCTGATGAAGTAGCAAAATTTATTCTGCTGAAAAATCATTGAAATATTTTATGCATTTCTGATGTTTCCATTGGTGGCAGAGAATTTGTTTTGGTTAAAATATTGTTTTGACATTATTGAGATATAAATAAAATATAACTGTTTGTGCATGATTGTAAAATTATTTTAAACTGATGTCCTAACGTAAAAAGTTGTTTTAAAATTATCAACACTAAAAATTTAAGTTTAATATCCCATTTTGTTTTTTTCTTTTCTTGTACTTTACTTAATAAATTCAGGATATTTCATAATTTGTTCAAATCATTCTAGCGGCGAAGGTGTCTCATCCTCCAAATACTACAGAAGAAAGTTCACAGAATTCGGATATGGGTGAAACAAAAAGTCTCTCACCACCAACTAGTATGTCTGAATCAGTTGATACAGAACGCTCTGAAGATGTTTCTGTTAAGATGGATGTTGATACAGAAGCCTCGGATAGTAGATTGGCAGATACTAGCCAAGATATTATGACGGTATTTATATTGAATTTAATAAAATCATTAAAGAATTTAATCCCTATTAAGAATAACTAAAAAGTTACATTTATATTATTAGTAATATATGACAGGTTTTAGAAGAATAGTACTTATTAGTATGGTATGGTATCCTGTAATTTATATTTAACAAACTTAATAAATATCTCTCTTAGTTCAATTTTATGCGAAAAATGTTACAAGCTGCTACTATTTTACCTAGAAATAATATTATGTATCACAATTTCTTTTCTAGCTTTATATAATCATAATTGTTTATACAGGGAACAACAACAGACAATTCTCAGGATGTGAATGAATCATCGCCCAATGATTCCCTCAAAAGTGTAGACGACAAAGTCATACCCAGGCTAGTCAATACCAGTGTGCCCTTAGATATTCTAAATTCTGTTGATCCAGAAAATTGGACCACCGCCGATGTAGCAAAATTCCTTACAGTAAATGACTGTCAACCATACTGTGTTAACTTTAACCAAATAACTGGACCTATGATGCTGCAACTGTCGAAAGATGAAATTATTGAACTCCTAGAAATGAAAGTAGGACCATCACTAAAAATTTTTGACCTAATACAACAGCTAAAGTGCAAAATCAAACAACCGCAGTGTAGATTACTTGGAAGTTTTAAGTAGTATTTAATGTGTAACAAAAATGCGTTTTGCATTAGAACTATTGTGAAAATGTTGAGTTACTGCATTTCTACTGCTATTTCATTGTGATTAAATGTAGGGAATGCAATTTTTTTGACAACGCTGAAATAATCTATGAAATGATACACCAATGTTATAAAAATTTTTGAATTATATATTTTTTAAAGATCATGTTTATATAGACACATTTAATGGTTTCATTGCTTGTATTGATGGCAGCTGAAAATCAAATATTTATCTATATCATGAATGGTGTTGCATGCGGAAGACAACAAAATTGTTTTAGCTTTATGTAAAGGAGCAGTAATAAACTAGTTATTGCATTTATGTTTTGCCATCTTGTAATTCCTATATTTATTATTAAATACAATTTAAGATTATACATAATATGTTATACAGTATTTAATAATATTGAATCGAATGAATTGCTGAAATTGGTTTAGCGAAATTATTGTGATACTTTATAATAAAATCAGGTTTAGTTTAAGATTGGAGATACCGTGTTACGTACATTAAAAATGTATTGAGGTGCATCCCGACTATGTTACTTGTAATTGGGGAATTATTTATACTAAATATTGATGTGTGAAAGAATAATTTAATTTTTACTTTAATTTACATATTTGAGTGTGCTTTTACAATTTCCTTATCATACATACAAAAGAAGGCATTAAACTTTATTACTTACAAGTTACAATTATCGAACTAAATTCACTCCATTAATGTATAAATATTTTTGAATGGTGATATGAATGTACGGTTTAAAGGGAACAATACAATCATGGTATTGTATATTGATGTAAGTTCATCCCTCAATGAGACCTCAACAATGTGGAAACACTCGCATTACCACAATCCAATCTGCCTTAATGAAGTTTTCAATGTTTTTAATAGATATAAACAATATTTTTGTAAGATTTTTAACTGCAATATTCAGTATTGTCAATGAATGATTTAATAAACATAATAATGAACTTTTAAGCAATAATATAATTCTAAAATATGAAATACATTTATGGAAACACGATATAATGAGAAGCATTATTATGTAGTTAAATTTTTATAGAAATAGTTTTGGAATAAAGCAAGGCCAACGAAAAAAGTTTAGCACATTGTTTACAATATAATAGTAGATTTGTTATGGCTGTTAGAAGTAAACACAAAGGTAGAGAATTTATTCTTATTTTTGAAAATCCAAAGACGTTACGGTCACATTGAAAAATTAAAAATATGTTAGTGGTAGCGAGAAGCTAATCCTAAGAAGTAGTCCTAATATAATGCATCAATAAATTATCTTCTTTCGCTGGCCTTACTATAAATATTTATATATGTTACAAGTAATTGTATGTGTAAGGATTCTCTCTGGATTTTGTTTTAAAACCGATAACATATCCACATACGTTCTTATAATGCTTTAATTTTATAAAGAACATGTTGAAGAGTTTCAGAGAAAAAATTCGCGAAATCAATAAAAACAGGGATAGTTTGAATCATTCATATTAGGATTATAATGAATGCCTTCTTAGTGACTTACACAAAATATGAATCTACTAATATAGTACATGTGTTTTAGTGATTGACTTTTACTGGTAAAAAGGAAAATAAATTCATATACCATGAATAAATCTTTTATTTGAAATGTATAAAAATGTGGACGGAACATCATTTGTTTTCTTAAAAGGAAATATTACCAATAGATATCTTTATTTGACAGCAAATCCTGCAGCAAAGTACTTGTCATCAACCTAGAAGAATACAAGATGTTTGGATAATTAATATAATTGAAGGCTATAAAAATAAGGTATAATTAATATGGATTTAACATATATAAAATATTAAATGGTTACCTCATAGTGTGTGTAGGAACAGTCGGAGCATAAAGCCCGCAACATAATATATTTCCCGATCTCTGCATATGACATTTGTGGTATTCAGAACACCAAAACGTTTCGCTTAAAATACTTTGACACGCATCTATAATAATCAAATATATTTAATTATAAAAATTAATATTGTGATTGATTTAAAATAAACAGGTTTTAGGCCAATACAACACAGGCAATTAAAATGATAGTAGCGGCTAGCTAAACTAGTTATTAAAATTTTATTTCATTTAATAAATTAAATGTCTCTTACTAAAGAGCATTTAAAAAGCTGAATGGTATACGAGATATCAATACAATATGCTTACCTGTTTCTTCACTCTCGTTGCTATTAAATTCTGGTACTAAATCTTTTACTGATGTTACAAAAAATGTTCTTAGTATATCAATCCTGTGGGCATTTGACATACTTCTGCTCTTCTGATTAGATCCATGTAAATGTCGTGAAAATACACAGCGTCTCTTAGCAACGTTTATCACTAATACACTGCAATATGTGAAACAAGAAAAATCTTCAAAATATTATTGAAAGAATTTGTCACTGAAATAAAATAAAAAATTTCTAACCAATAATATTTCAATATATATTATCAACTGGTAACATGATATATATTATTTTTAAAATAGTAGTAAAATAATATATATTACATTATTATAACACCAATAGGCCATACCCAAGCAAAGCTGGATCAAATGTGAAGCTGGTAGGAAAGTTCCTGGGGTAGGTCAGTTTTGCTTCCTTTATAATTTGTGCATACCCTTCCCAACATCGAAGCACTATTTCATCTATTTCTGAAAGTGGAGGAGTCGCTCCACAAATAACTAGCACATAGACATCTGCTAAAAGTTTGCATGTTACAGCCCGGAATGCTACCTATACACATAAAACTTTACTTCAGTAACAATCAAATATCAATATTACATACATATTACAAATATATAATTACATTTGGACTCATTTGTGGCAAATACACCAAAGTTTCTCTCAATGGAGCTCCATCTTGAGCCGCTGCTAATAATAAGAGTAACTTGGCTTCTCTTGCATCTAACTCAAAGAAGTCAGAACTCGTTGCAACCAAATGGCCATGAATGCTAAGACAAGCCCACCTTCCTGTTACAGTTTGTGCATAGTTGTCCAAAACTTCCTGAAAAATAATAATATCTTATTATATGTTCAAATAATCAAGTAAATTTTAACATTTAAACCCTACCTGCAACTGTTGAGCCTGAGGACAAAGAAGACTTTGAATATAATCTAGAATGATAGTTGACTGTGGCAATGAATTTGGATCTAAAGACTCCAACAAGTAATCTAGAATTGGATAACACTGTCTCAAGTCTCTTTTTATTTGGTCAACATTTTTTAGATTTTCCAACTCTTTTTTGCCAATACAAAATATCATTACATCATGTATACAAGCCAAAAGGTTCTCAAGGTCACATTGTAGGCCACCTGTAGCTATGCCTATTAAAGTAATACTGAAAAAAAAAGAAAAATAATGTTACAAAATACTAAACCATTCTTTTTATCCAGAATATGCAACTAATAAAATATACCTTTTACAATATTCCTTCCAAATTATTGTACCATTATCAAGATGTGTATTAATTAAAGAGAGGTTGTGACATTTCGTGAACATATTTATCCCATGAAGTGATGCTATGGTTGAAAATTGGATCTAAAAATACAATATAGTTCTTTTTAATTTATAAAATAACATCCATTAAAATTAAAAACCAGCAACAATTGAACGTTGTAGATAGGTTAAAACAACTGTTTAAAAGACTTTCTATGGTAAAAGAGACGAATATATTATGTAAAAATTTTAACATACATTTTCATTACTGCCGCGTTTTCTTGAAAATATTGGAACACCACTCTCTGAGGCAACGGCGACCACTATTACAGACATATCTATAGACAGATGTTCGTATTATATGTATCACCTATTCTTGTATAAAAGTTTATGTGAAAAAAACATACATTTCGTATTCAATATGAAATCTTTAAAAATATGAAATAAAGTTTAAAATTTTTAATTTATGGAATGTTCATTTTAAAATTTTATGTCTGTTGCTTTACTAGGGCACAACTTTATCATTTACACCTAAAATCTATTTAATTATGATTTTATAATATGAAAAATCAAAATTTAATTTCTCGATAATAAGTGTGTAAATTGTAAACAAAATTCATATTCGAATTTACGTCACTTGTCAGTTGTCATCAAACAAGACTTCGTCTCTTGTGTATTCTGTCATAATATTATTAGTCTTGGCTTCCCATTTATTATTAAGTATTTCACTTAATTAATATTTAATGGATGATTTTATTTAATAATTACAATTATTTAATATTTATTTATTTTTAATTAATTTAATTAAAATTAATTCATTTAGTAAATCAATTTACTTATACACCATAAGTACATACTTAGTAAGTTAGTTACACTTTATAGTTAGAATAAGTTAAAAAAGTTACATTAAAAATATTAAGCGAAATAATTATAAAATAAATAATAATGTGGGTTATAACTTTGTATTGTCTTGTACTTCTTGTTGGATTGGAGCTGAAAGAAAAGAATTTCAATTAAATTAACAGCTGAAAAACTTAATAAAGAACATTTCAAGATATAAATATTTTTAATTTTCAAATGGACTTACGATCACGACTTAAAAGCCGGGGTCCTGTAATTGCAATTAATATAGCGCCTAAAGGAGCGGAAATTACGACGCTTAGAACGCTAACAGCTAATATTATCTTCGCATGTGTCTCTTCTTCAGCTGGGGTCTGTCCAGCTGTTTTACCATTATTTACCAAGTCTAATGCAGCAGGACCTAGTGCTGCCTATGTAATAAAACAAAATTAGATTATTGCAACAAAATTATTCTATATTTTCTTAGAGACAGAATTCTATTTGGTAATGATACATTTTAATGGTCATACCTGTACCGTCGCCTTCGCCATCCAAGTGAGGCCGATAAAAAGTTTTTCCTTGCTGTTGAGACCGCAACCAAAAGTCATAAAAAATGTAGCGACCAATCTTATCAATAAACATGATATAAGACAAACTGTAGCCATTCCTATGACTTGAGGGTCCAAAGCACTGATCTAAAATAATTTAAAGATTTTCCTTTAACTACCTCGATAGATATATTTTTATTTAATACAAATTTTAGTGTAAAAGATCGCACCGTCACTTGAGCTCCAGTGAAAGCGAAAAGTATAGGTTCAAAGAATATCCATAGTATCCTGAAAATATTGCTAACTGGATTATTATTGACTGGCCAGCCTTGCTTCTCCCAGAAATAGGCGGCGACAAATCCTGAGGACACTATGGCCAAAGGACCTGAAATATTTTTAAAAAATTTACAAAGGGTAAAAATTACAGATGTAGCACAAATTTTGTAACGTGCCATAATTTTGATTTTTTTTTTGTTGCCAATTTTTAAGTTCTATTTCGGTACTTCGACAACATTTAATATTAATTAAAGTAAAAAATTGTATATATCTCAAACAAACAAAAATTGAAAGCGTTGATTTACCTGCGCCGCTCCATCCAATTAGATTCGATATGAAAAGTGCAAATAGACCGCCCAAAAATAGCGACAGAAATCTCAATGGGACAACATACAGGTCCCCTCTTTCAGGGATGAATGCTGATAGAGCCCCCCACAAAGACCCAAGAACTACACCAATGATAATAGACAATGGACCCTGTAATGTTAAATTTGACCATGATATTTCAACCAAACTTGTTTTTACTGGATATTTGCAACAAAGGTTATTATATCATGAATCTCGGGAGATAGACCGAAAACTGAGCACATATTTGGCTTTTTCTCGACTTTGTATTTTCAGAAAAATTTATAGCCCAAAAAAGTCTTGGAAAAGAAAACTGTCAACTTTTTCGCAATGATGTGTAAATAAAAAAGTGGATCACATTTATATAATACTAAATATGTTTTAAAAAAATCGTTATAAATAAAATAAGTTATACATATCTTGATTTTTTTTTGTTATTTCTAAACAAAATATTTAATGAAAGTCTTAGAACTTAAATTTATATATAAATCAAAAAAGTAATACAAAAAAACAAATCATCAAACATAATCTACACTCCCAGGAGTCAACACAACACACATACCAATTTTTTAAACTAATGAACAGATTTGATGAATTTAAACATCAGCATTAATGTATAATAATGCCAAACAATTCGTCGTACTTGCAAAAAAAAAAACTATAAAATAAAGCTTTTACAATTAGGACAGTATTTATAACAGCAAAGCACCGTGAAATTATGAGTAGTAAGAATATTTATAAGAACCTTTATTATGCTATATGTGACTGAGCCGGTTGAAAACATAGCGTTAAGAATTATAGCGAAGATGGCCACACTGACTGAATCATCAATGGCCGCTGCCGCCAAAAGAAGTGTTGGAATTCCTTTAGAGACGCCGTAACCAACCTCGCGTAGTCTAAACAGACATGGCACTACTACCGCTGGTGAAACAGACGCGATCATTGAACCCAATAGAAATGCTGAAATTGACCACAGTAAATTAAAAATAAAATATTTGAATTATATTACTGGTATGGTATTAATGTTCTGTCAACATTATTTACTCGATTTGTTTCGGAACGTGTAATTCGTTTCAAAATAATTAATTCTTGTTTTTTCTAATAAAATTAAACCCAATAAATCGTTATAGAATTATATATAATTGCGATCGCCTACCCCATATCCACGGTAGGTTAAGTAAATAGTGCGTCGTAACACTAATTGCTATGCATTCTACTAGCCACGGCAGCAATCCAATTTGCAGCACACCTAGATAGTGTTTTTTAAGTACATCAGCGTTCAAGCCCAACCCAGCTCTTGTTAATATTATGACTAGGGCTACTTTTCTGTAACAGTCGAATGTTCTTCTTATTTCTTACCAGAGATAAGCTACTAATTTTGAAAAATATATATTAATATATGTATATACGATTGGTATTCTTCAAATTATAATAATTTCTAATTCTTACCTTAGATCTTGGTTCAATTGGCGATATTTATCAGTCATTTCTATCAGTTTTAAGTTTTGGAATAGTATTCCCGTGAGGAGCATACCAATAAGTGCTGGTAGGGTAGTCACTTTCAACCACACCCAACCTATTAAGTACGCGGCTATAACAAGAATCGACATACTAAGTAACTCGCCATTTATTCCTATTTCTTCACCCATTTCGGCGTACAGAATTCCCCATGTTAATAAAACTATAAAGTATAAAACACAATTAACATAAGATAAAAAAATATAATAAAATATTCTATTTCTAAATGAAATACTTACAAAATAATATAATACATATTTGTTGAGCTGATTGTCTAAACGTTGGGAAAAAAGGAAATGGGAAAACTTTATTCCACCATTTTGGCTGTTTTGATGGAGTAGCATCGGGGGTGTGACAGCGTAAGCAAAACTTATGATACCACCTACATAAAAGAACTATAGGATTAAGTATTACATGAATTATATATCTAATAACAATTCAACTCACCGTAGCGAAGTGTTCGCACCGCCATCATTATCATCTACAAAATATTAAAATTTAGTCATATATATTTAATTCTATGTATATTTTTATTCCGTTCTTTTTAAAATATCAGTTTTTACAATTGCTTCTATTGAACTTAATTACCTGAAGACATAATATTTATAAAATGGCATAAAGATTATGCCATTTTATAAATATTGAATATTGAATGGAAAATTGAATGGCATATATATTTTGGATTACACTTTACATTATGAGATATAATACATTCTCGGAAAGGTTTTCCAATATGTCAAAAGCTTTTGTGTTAATTTTTGTTATATTAAGGTGGATGGTATCCAGTTTTTATATTGTGTAATTGAATACCTAGACCATATCTATACGAGTACGATAATTTATCAATGGAGTTGTTATCACAAAGGCTATATCAACTGATTTTTTTACCTAAAAGTATTGTTCTAATAATATTTATCTAATGATTTTTTTGTATAACATAAATATTAAACTCGATTGTTTTCACCAATCACCGTTTGCCCTTATAACGGACCGGCTTTAGGGGCGCTCAGAAATTTTTATTATATAACAACCAAGAAATAATTACCAAAACATAAAAAACAACAAAATTCAGATACATATAAGAGACCATGTCCTCGAATTGTATGAAATCAATAACTCGAAACTGTAAGGATAAACTTTGCTATCGATTTAAGGCTCAAATCAATGACGAAGTTAAAATTTTGAACATTTTGTAAACAATCCCAAATTCACATTTCCGAACGTTACGGGTACAATTTAAATGATGTAGAAATACCAGAATATATTTTAGAGTATATTTCCTGAAAACAACAATTAAAACACGATTACAATATAATTATTCAAATCACCCCAAAATTTATGACCTTCCCACAAACGGTAAGGAGTTTATGCCTTACCTAAAACACTTTAAAACACTAAGCAAAAGTTTGTAAGTGGCGAAGTAATGTGCAGTTAGACACTATATACATTATTGTGATGTTAGTTTTTAGAATACAAATGTTATATTTTACCTCTAAAAGTATACACACGAACACCTATAACATAGAATGATTTTGTACAATGACGGCATGAAGTTTTTTACTATGGCAATCATTTCGTATTAAAATATGAGACAGAATTTAATTTTATTAAACTAACCTGTACTCTCATTAAACTGCATGTTGTGTCGGAGTGATTTTTATTCCTAAAACAAAATAGCCAATATTAAATTCCGGATAACACACATTTATTGATATTTTTGAAGTGAATACTACTTCCAACAAGGTTGTAATACGACTTCCAACAAGGTTGCGTTAAACTTCAACGCTTCTGGGGAGGGATAATAGAAAGAGACGGAGAGAGAGTAAATGGTTGGGTCTATTATGAATTGTAAGCACTGTTTATAAAGTTTGATTTAAAGAAATAATATAACTTCACAAAAAATAATTTTTCACGCTTTCCTATTTTCATTTCAACATTACGAAGTTTCACTTCTTCAATGCGGAGGGACTTACTTATTTTTTTTTATTATATATTAAGTACTTATTATTATTTTAATTAGTAAAACGTGGGCTATTTAGTAATTTTTCAAGCTACACACTTTGAAAGCGTCGGTTCGTAGGTTAATAATAAAAGTTCACACTCTGAAAAATTGTGGAATTACGTTGTCATATTCGACAAAAAATTAAAAAATTTAAATCGTATACAGCAAAATTATTTAAACCATTTTCATTAGAAAACAAATTTTCAAACAAATGAATATCGAAATTGATAAAACAATATTATTTCTTCCTATAAACAGTCAATTCAGATTATTAGTACCTATTAAGTAAATTGCAATAAATATCACACTATCAACTGACCCGTAGTTATGTATATTCTATTAAAATTATAAAGTTATTTTATGCAATCTAAAATACCTACATATAAAATATACCAACATAATTCCTTTGATTTTTATTTAATTACTACAATGGTATTTTGGTTTATTGACACTTTTTTAAATCCAGAGAAGTGATATAAGTTTGACGTGGATGTATGTGTGTGTTTGTCTGTCTGTGGTATCGTTGTTTCAAAAAAGAATGTCGACTTTCGACGCGATTTTTTCATTTCAAAAACAGCTGTATTCGTTCTTAAGCATATTTATCTCCTATAATCCCAGCTGTGTAATAGTATCAGCTCTTTTTCAAAATTATGTATCAGATTATTCCATTAATTACCTCTCGTTTGCCAGTACAATTGTAAAATGACAATTTATTAAAATTATATTATTAATAACATGAACAATAAAATTGCGCTGTATTGACTAAACAGTTATTACAATTTACATCTAAGAACGAGAGCAAGTCAAAAGTCAACAAGATTGAAATCCAACTGTGTTATCAAAAATGATTTCACATCCCTTGAATTTAGAGTTGTTTTTTGTATATAATACAGAAAGTTATGACTTATAAAACGTACTTAGAAACAAATGAACAGATAAGATATATAAATAAGCGCGTGACACAAGCTCGTGACATTTATTGAAACAAATTAATATTATTACTTTAAACTACAGACAAACTTTCAATCGGTTTTGAGAAGGTAGTATTTTATAATTTTAAAATAGTGAAAGTTATTTGTGTATATAAAAAATACAAACTTATTTTTATGAGTTTTTCTTACAGATAACGATAGTCCATTTTTATTAATGTTGTTTAAGAATTTGAAATATGTGACTTAATTTTCTTGTTTTAAATTTCAAAAAAATATATTACTTTACATTAAAAAAAAAAAAAGATTTTTCCCGACTATTACTTTTATTTGTAATTAAATGTTGTTGCGGTATATCGAACCAAAAAAATCTAATATTTGTATATGGCAACATTATTTCGTATAGAAATCTGTTTGTATTCTGTTCTATGAATCTGTATTCTGTAACCTTAGTTCTCAATTAAAGTCAAATCAATGCTCACAAGTCACAACTTATTTGACACTAGTAATTTGTACGAATTCTTACAAGTTTTTAAACCTAGAAATTATTACACATTTGAAATTACTTATGGAAAGTCAAAATATTAAATAACAGACAATACATATGAATAAATGTTGGTACTTACAAATGTAGTTATTGTAGTATATTCTAACCTTGTAGATTGTATTATTGTTAAATATTAATTAAATTCAAGGTTCTGCTTATTTGTTTAACGAAAAATTGTTACCGCTGTTATTCTTATAGCGACACTATTCTGTTATGATTGTTTTTGTACTACTTAATATCACGTAACGTCCGCTTTATGTAAGTTATTTTGAATGCTGAAATAAACATGATACGATTCACTATTTGTAAGTACATAGTATGAGTTTGCTTATACCAGATGGCGTTGAATTAAATAAAATTTTTGAAATATGAACTTTATTTTATTTTCATCCCCTTGAGAATAAAATATGAATATCTTAATTGAATGTATAGACATATTATAATTTCAAGTGATATAATTCTCAGAGATTCCAAAGATATGTTTTTGGTATTTTTTTTTTAATTCTTCATATAGAAATCGATTCATTACCTTTACCTAACACCAAACCACATGTTTATGCTATATTCTGAAGGATACTTTATCCCATTCTAAATTCTAGCAAGAGCATTGAAATTAAGTGAAATTTTGGTATTACAATATAGAAAAATAATTATGACTATCATGTGATGTGGAGATATTATTTCGAACGAAAAAAATGACATTAAAGAAACATTCTATTGAAAGATATCAAAGCTTTAATTGATTTTTACAAATGTTACTGATATCAATAATGGCGTATGTAAATAAATAACAATTTTAATCTATTAATCTTTTAATTGTTATTAGACCTAGTTTTGCTGCGATGAAAATTAAATGCGTGTGTACGGTTTTCATCATGTTTACCAGCCTGTTCTAAACATATGAGAGATATCTCAAGAAATGAAAACATTCTGCGGATATACTTAGTCATTATTTCGTAAAGTCTATTATTAAACTTTATGTAAGTGGCATCTACACTTACATGTTATAGTTTATAAATTTTCGCTTAAAGAATATATGCCTAGTGCTTATAAAGAACGTTCTTTGTAAGAATTTATAATATATCAATTTTCTAATGGATTGTATCTGCCGAGATCTAACCATTTATTGTATAGCTACAAAGATGCGCACGGCTGTAGACCAATCAATTGATTTATATATAGATAATTACCTTTAGTAATTTCCATGAGTACATATTTTAATACTAGGTAAAGAGATTCCTAGTTCAATGTGAACTTTTCGTTAGTGTAGTTAATAGTTTTACTTAATGGTGGGAACTATTAAGAGACAAGTACGTCACTGCGTAATTTGATACAGTTAACATAAAAATTTATTATCTGTATGCTAAGTCCAATTTCGTACCGTCAGACTACAACCTATCCCGTTCCTCATCAATGACGTGCGTGAATACTATAATTGTTAAGATTTATGAATGAAAAACTGTTAACGCTACGTATTTAGTGTAGCCATGCAAACTTAGACTAAGAATACTTGTTGGCGATATCAGTGACAGGAATGCTTAAAACGGTAATATAATGTATGTGACATTTAATTCAAACCAAGACCTCGTTGGTTTAAGTACGTGTCTTGGTTTCGAAGCAAATAAATTTGTGTTTTTTTTTCTATTTATAAATGTTTTTTATTTACAGTTACACATCCATAACAGTTCTAGATTTTGGACCGTTCTCTCTGAGTGATAAAATATGAATTTATATCACTAATTTAAAACCGTTATGAATTTGATTAAAAAGATTAAATTAAAATTTATTATTATTGGTCTGGTAATATACATGCTACCTCTATGTTGATGAGAATAGTTTTATCACTATGTAATCTTTCGAATATTGTATTTTAAGTGAAACCGATTTTTAATCATTAAAAAATTAGAAACGTTAACGAAATTCGTGTTAAAACTTTTGCTATTACAAAAAGAAAGTGGATTTCGAAAATTGTTATGAATAGTTTTGATAAAAAGTAATTGCAAAGGATATTCAAATTTAGTCCGTTCGAAATATTTTATTATTATGTTTATGAATTAATGTTAAGCTTAATATTTGAGTTTGAAATATAATGAATAATGAAAAATTCTCTAATAAATACAGGATGTCTTATAGATACCATTCATGTGTAACCAGTTAGGCGGGAACTTGAGAACGGACATTCATACTGCAACAAACTACAGCGGAGAAATTGAATAATTGTTAAATCTTAGTTTAGTTGAAGTGAAATAATTTAAAAAATAACGTATTATTTTTTTGTATCTAATTATGTTTTATATTTGCATTAAAAACTACTGAAAAAAATACCTCTACATGAAATTAATAGCGCGTGTGAAATCAAAATTAGTTAACAAAAAGAGAATCTTGCATTCAACGAAGTGAAGGTGATTATACCATGCCTTTCTCGAGACTTGATAGTATCGCTTTAGACGGCATTATAACCATGGACTCAACACAGTTCGGTATAAAATGAAGAAAATGCTCTAATTTAAATTATTTATTTATAAAATTAATGTTTAAGTTTTATTTTGTGAACCAAATGTTTGTTAGTACGTAAAGTGAATTGTGATTGTTGCACAGAAATGAAGTGCTCCATATTATTTGTTACGATATATATTTTAATGGATTGCGGTGAGTTTTAGTCTAATTATGATTTATGAGAAAATATGTTACAGAAAATATAAGTATGTACACAAAATATAAAATATGTTAAAAGGTGACGTATTTAGTACACAAAAAATAAAATTGGTTAGAAGGTGCCGTACTTATGTAGATTTACATATATTTAAAACAAAATCTTACTAGCAATGTGTGATCTATACAAAATTAAATATTAAAATCTAAGATAACGTTTGTATAAAATATTAAATATATTTGAATAAATCCGCATAACGGTCTGGACAATGTTTTACTTTATATTGTCAAGGATGTGTTTTAAGTAGGTAAAGAAGATCTTTATACTTAATAGATTTTTCTAGTAAACTATTTGGAATTACAAAACAGTCTGAACACCTGGTATTATGGTCAAAAGGCTAGAGTTTCTCTATTTTCTCATATAACAAGACCCATACTTATAGAAAATTCAATTTATAGGCGAATCTTGCGAGTCGTTAACTGACTCTTGAAATATATTATTGCTAAAACTCAGTTTGCACTAATCTATTCCTCCACAACATTTTTATTATATGGGAGTCCAGACTGAGCATTAATTATTAATGATAAGTCATGTCAGGCATACATAGAGTTAACTAGAGCAATCTATTACAATATCGATTGAATAAAAAAAGGGATGTTTAGATTGGAGTCATGTCATGTTTTACCAATACAAAAAACTCTGTTCATTACAGCTTAGTTAATACTTAATTCGAAGCAAAGACATGTGTAAAAGTTAGTAGAGATTAAATATATAGCGTAACGAACACAGTGAAAGCCTAGGAACTTAAGCCTATACACCGCTCGTTCCATTCTTTTACAACGATACTTCTCATCGTCTATTTTTTGTTGAAAGATATTAGAAATTAAACAATTTTATGAGCAAAAGCAAAGTTGACAAATTATCATATTATTTCATTCATGATATTATAAAAGGTATTTATTAACGATTAAATGTTATCAGTTTCTTTCAACCTGTTAAACTATGTTCAATTTATGTGCATAAAAATTTATTTAAAGAATTGATTATATTGTGAATATAAAATAAGCTCCGATTTTAGGGTAATATATGTGTTCTATTTTACATCTTCTATTCCAGGGTATTTAACCGATGGTAACCTCATGTCTATGATAGATTTCCGATACTGGAGATGTGTTATGAAAAGGGAATGGAAGTGTCCAGATAGTGAAATAAACTTTTATTTATACACTCCGTAAGTATTAACAAAATATAATAACAAATCACTAAGGTTTTCATGACTTCTATGAAAGTTCAAATTTATTTTCTTTGTAATAACCTAAATAATTTAATTAAGTATATGAGATTTTAAGGTAATAATATATATTTCCTAAAAACTTTACACTCCGTTCAATAATTTAATATTTAATATTGCGTCCACCACACGGTAAATGTCTAGATATTTCAATAACCATGCAGTTTTATGTACAAGTGTATATTTTAATAGACAACTTGTTCATCTATACTTAACTTTCTATGGCGCTCAGACTATCAGGTAGTCGCATGGGAAATAATAGGTAGTTTTCATCCTACGTTATAAGCAATCTTCACTTAATTAATGTTCGTATATCTACTTAATATTGGGTATTAGAGATTTTAGAATATTATTTAAAAATTCTTGTTTTCATAACATTTGTAGATTTTTAGATAACCTCTTATAAAATTTTAATGATATTATTCAAAATAATTCTTACGAATGTGTGTAATTCCTGAAACGTTTTTAAATAAATGATTAATTTTTACGTATTCCATTTTAAAAGACTGCAAAAAGAAGTAATACGAAAAAACGTTTTACCAAGTGATGCACCAGCTTGCCAAATGTTTCGCGAAACATTTTACTAAATTGTATCATACGATAGTTCTAAATTTTTAGGAAATACATATAGCTTAATAAGTAAACGCTTATTTTGCTTAAAAGTGTATAACCAGTAGAATGGTACAGAAAAATGTACTGTCTGATAACCATATAAATATAACATCAATCATGCCAAGAAAACTGGCGTCTTCTTCTCAGAGTGTCCTAGTTTTTATGTTCGAATAAACTTCCAATAATGATGAAACGAAAAGTTTTGTATTTTTTGGCAATGCTTATATTTCATTCGAACCGAGTAAACAATAATAAATTAGTATGTATCGATAAGGTATAACTTTGTAAGAAATAAGTTTATTTTAACTTTTTGGTTTCCTGTTTGAAATCCATCTTCTTTTATATTCCGATTAAAAACATTGGATCTAAAACAACGCTTTCAAAAACTGTTGGGTCGCTTTAGATAAAATTGTTCGAAGAGTTAGTTTTGCGATGTAATCAACTGGAACTACGTCGGTGAAATCACGAAGAGCGGATAATATTTTTATATGATCTACAAATGAACTAGAATTTTTTAGAGTCCCTTCGATTTCTCATTACTCTGTGATGGGATTACCTTTGTGATAACAAACTTCCAATGAAAAAAGAATAGTAGCCCATTGGCTATTATTCTTTTTTTTTTAGAAAATATATAGAAGTTTGTAGGAGCACTCACAAAAAATAGCTACAAGCAATTAAGATACTTTTTTATTTGTCGATATTTAAAAAGAAGAATGATATCTTTACATGCAATCTCCCGTAACCTTTAGGTTATATCTTATATATAGTTTATTATATAAAAAATGTTATATATTTAGTGTTCCGTGAGCAGGGAACGGCCGTACAAGCAATGGGTGGATGTACGGCGTGCGAACAAACTACCTCACTATGGTTGGAAGCTGTCCAGGAAAAACGTCCTCATTATACACGGCTTTAATGGGACACATAGTAAAACGCCCATGACGTTCCTAAGGGATGGTAAGTTGAATAATTTACCGGCCTCAAAACATATCACCAATATGTAGAACAATTTGTTAATTTCTTCAAATTATAAATATATTTCATGGAAATAACATTTATTTTTGTATGGGAATAATGTAAATGTACGAGTAGATTACGACTAACTTATAGTATAGTAAAAAATGGCTTTAATAACATAGGTACCTGTAATAGATGAACACTCAGATTTCTGGTCAGAATGTTATAGAATATAGGACAAGAAGTGGTAACACAGAGTCATAAGACATTATGGCCAAAGACCTCATAATTAAACACGTGAATTTTTATATACTTTATTTATAGGAATACAAAAGGCTATAATATTTTACTGGTGAAAAAAATCAGGCTAATGGCTATTAGACGAAGTAATAACAATTTAATAGATAATAACTTAATACGCGTAATGTTCAATGTCCCGCGCTGTTAACGGTCTCAGCATTATCAAAGTTCTTAGTATTCACGAATCGCTCTTTATATAGGTTTGTTTAACATTCAAATACATTGGCGACATCCATACTACTGCCAATAATTCAAAGAATAAAGTAGAATACCCTAAGAAAGTCTAATTAATTGTCAAACCGCTACCGCTATAGGCTTTTTATACTAAATAACATTATTTTTTTTCAGCATATTTATCTCGCAAAGACTATAACGTCTTTATGGTCGATTGGTCCCCACTCACAAGATTCCCTTGTTACCTCTCCGCGTTATCAAATACGAAGTGAGTATAAGGAATGTCGTTTCTTTATGTAATTAGTAAATATTAAAATCTTTGAACTATTTTGTATTTCTATTTGCAAATTGAAATGAACTTCCTATAGAAATAGATAAAAACATAAATAAAAAATACATTGTGCCTGCCTTAATATAATGGCAATGTCGTATCCTTTAAGAAATAAAGTAAACTACACATTAGCGTAACAAATCGAGTAATTTAAAATATATCAAAATATGTAAATCTTTATTTCTATTAAATCTTCTTCCTGGCAACCTCCCAGCTTAAGCCAGGGTCTGCCTTTGTTCCTATTAAATGTTGTTTCATATTGTTATAGATTGGCAGCACAATGCACGGCACAGTTGTATTCTCATTTAACACAAGCCGGTGCTCTAGCAAGGAAGATCACGTGTGTAGGACACTCTCTAGGGGCACACGTCTGCGGCATGATGTCAAATCATCTCACAGAGAAGCAATATAAGATTGTTGGTGAGTACCCATAATATTTTTACTCGATCGTTACTTGACACTTCTATAATTATTAGTCAACTAGCTTTCCGCCCGCAACTTCGCCCGCGTGGTGTTTGGTTATATCGCGTTTCCAAGAGAACATTTCAAAAGTCTGGGATAAAAACTATCCTATGTTCTTTCTCAAAGTCAACTCCATCTCTGTACCAAAATTCATTAAATCAGTTCAGTGGTTTAGGCGTGAAAGCGTAACAGACAGACAGACAGAGTTACTTTCGCATTTATAATATTAGTAGGGACAAGTACTTGAGAATCTTCGTGATAAAAACCTTTAATTCAATAATTCTAAAGATATATCTCTCGAAAATTGTTACGTGTATGAATGACATTAATTCGCTACAAACGAAAACTTTACGTTATGGAACGACTTGATAGAAACAATTGTTTGTTTGCTCTTGATTTCCATTCGAAGCAGTGTACTTATAACGGGATTATTTGTCGTTTTTTGTCAACGCTTTGTGAGAACTTAATTTTTTTTCTGTTTACGATGTTTTTTTCTAGATTACCGTTATTATTCCTCACTGAAACATTCTAACTTTATATTACACAATTTCATGTATGTATATATTTCCTACATACAAATAAATATATGTTTAATGAAAGATATAAACATTGTTAACAAATTATAAATTTTTATTACAATGAAAATCCTTAAAAAATCAATAAACAATTTTCGTACATTCTTGCTTAGGCACATATATAAAATTTTTCCCCATTAGAATTGTGGTTGCTTTGGCAATGCTAAAGTAATAGTTTTGGTTTCAAGATAAGGCAGTATACCATCTTCACCCCTGAAAATTAAACAAAAATAATAATGTTCATAAAAAATAAATATTATTTAGGTACTTTATGAGTGCCTAAATTATTATTATTATTATTATTATTATGTTATATACATACAATTCCCTGCCAATACCAGAATCACCAAAACCGCCAAATGGAGTTTGACTTGTAACATGATCATATGTATTAATCCTGAAATAAATAAATAAATTGTTTATAAATATAACAGTTCATACAAAAAGAGTAAATATATTACCAAATTAAATTTCCTCTACCATATAGAGCCAGCACGAACGTGTTTTGCAAAGCTCATAGCAATATTAATATCGTTTGTTATAACACCAGCTCCCAAACCGTAGTTAGTGTCATTGGCTCTATCAATCACCTCCTCGAATGTATCAAACTTGAGAATACTCTGGACTGGACCAAATATCTGGAATTTTATTACAATTAGGTATATATATGAAAAAATTTAAACCTAATATATGCTATTTTTAGTCAGCTTAATTATGTTGTATACTATATGTAGGCGGTCCGATAATGAATTGGCTTTATATGTTTGTAATGTAGCAAGAAATCGAAACTAATTGTATTTTTCAATATAATATCAGTGAATAAACATCTCTAAACCTTTATAAAGATAATCACAATTTTTTATCCTCAAACTGACCGAAGAGTTGCAGCGACCGTAACTCTTTATGGCTTGAAAAATGTTTTCGTCTTAAGTCTCGCTTTAAATTTTGAAATAAATAATAGTTTGACAAGGGTATTTCTGGTCTATAAAGTGTATATTCCACTTCTGTGAACCTACATAGAAAAATCACATCCTTCGAAACACCAGAGGCTTGAACAGGGACGTGGTCCTGAAGCAATAGGACACCTTTCGACAGCTTGCCTCTTGTTTTCTTTTATATGGTCAATAATATTTTGTTCCTTAAATTCACTACTACAATATCTTCAAAATCCGTAAAGATTGTGCACATCAGTTTTTTTGTCAATTGTCACACCTTTGCCTTATAACGCTATTTCATTCTCTCGCGCGTGGTGTGTGAATCATTATACAAGATCATAGTTTCATCATCAGTCTTTGATTTTTTGCCAGACAGATTCAAAGACTAAAATGCAAGGCACTCTTTTCTGTCTCTGTATCGCTGGAAGAGGTTTCGGTAGCCATCTTGCACTTTTTTCATATGACAATTATTTAATACTATTTCTTATGTGAAAATTACGTACTTTTAGAGAGCCCAAGCATATCTGCAATTTCTCTAATCTTCAAACGACGGTCACTCAGAATATCATCTTCAATAAGAGCTTTCCTACAGATAGGCTGTGGTAGCCAATCTCTCAACCAACTTATCACTGCGCTATACGTGGGGACAGACCCCGTATACATTGTTTCTATTATTTAGACAGGGAATAAACATTAAACAGAAATTTTATGACACTCCAATAGTCACTTTTCGACATTTTGAAAAAATACACGATCCTCCTTATTCAAACGCCTGCTAAACTAAGACAAAGCATTTCATATCGATGCGTGTTTTTATATTAAGTACACGATAATCGTACTATTTATTGCAATACAATACATAGAAATATATCAGGCTAGTTCATTATAGGACCAACTACTTATATATAATAATCACTAGTATTAATAATAATTTATTACCTCTTCTCTTGCTATTTGCATATCATCTTGAACGTCAGCAAACACTGTAGGTTTAATATAGTATCCTTTATCCCCAATTCTATCACCGCCAGCGACACATCTAGCCCCAGAATTCTTTCCGGAGTCAATATAACCAAGAACTTTGCTGAACATCTCTTGGTCAATCTGAGAACATAAATTATAACATTAATAAATATTAAATATATCATGAAAATTAAAATGTTACATTAAATCCTATAAAATCAGAAACTAGGTCAATTATTATTAGTAGTTATAATAAAAATCAACTTGATTTTTGCATACTAATATAAAATTTCTATAAAATCTAAGTGATAGCAATCTTAATATATGTTGTATGTTAATTTACCTGAGGTCCTTGATCCACTTCATCAAAGGGGTTGCCGACGGACCTTTGGTTGGCGATCTCTGCCGCCTTATTAACGAAGGCCTCGTAAATCCCTGATTGTACGTAGGTCCTGGTGCCAGCACAGCAACATTGCCCTCCATTAGCGAAGGCCGCTGCATGAGCTATTCTTGCAGCTTTCTCAACTGGAAACACAATTATCAAGTCATTATACAAATATTTTTCCATACAAAACCAGGTTTTCGACGTATTTGTATGGTGAATAAGTAACGAGTAGTACTACCGTTGGTAGATAGCGTTAGTAGGGGCGAAACGATAGTGTTTCTGTTTGCTTTTAATAGATGGCACTGTTACCAAAACATAAACTGAATGGAATTATGAATCACAGATCTCTGTGATCACTTATATCGAGTAATGTGTGTTAAAGAATATAATAATGCATCCTATAGGTTTGTCTGTTTTATTGGTAGAGTATGCAGTTCTTAATTAGATGTATATATGTGTATGAATGCATGTATGTACATGTGATTTGTCTAACATAAATATTTACCATCAGCATCATTAAACACCACCAGAGGGCTCTTTCCACCCAACTCCAACGTCACTCTTTTGAGATTAGCAACCGATGCTGCACCCAGTATTAATTTTCCGACCTAAAATATCGTTACTTTAAGTATTTCAACAATTTAGCATGCCATTTAAAAGTGTTATTGAGAAAAGGGATTTGTACTGTGATCTAAAGAATATTTAAAACAAATTTTAGTTCTTTAAATCTATATAATTTATTTACCTCTACACAACTAATTATATAGGGTGCGTTTTACAGCCATCAGAAATTTCATGAAAACTACGAAACTTACTTATGTGTATATTATAATAAGAATTACATAATTAAAATTTATAACCTACACCCAATCAATAGCTTGTGTGGTATCAGAAATTTTCTGATTCACATGGCTTAGCGCTCGTTCCGCGGAGTTAACAACATCACTCGTAATATGAATCCTTATCTATACAACGATGTTGCCCCGGCGATGTTCGTTTGCTTTTAATATATAGTGAATACGTAACAAACTGGCTTAGATTTACATGACTAGTTTGATTATAAACGACTATAAATGACTTGTTTACCTCTGTGGAGCCAGTGAATGCTATCTTGTCTACGTGTGGGTGATGTGTTAGGGCTGCTCCCGCGGTCGGTCCGTAGCCAGGAACAACATTCACAACGCCGGGTGGGAAGCCAGCCTCCTTCACTAACGCTGCCACAGCTAGCGCAGTTAAAGGAGTCTGTTCTGCAGGCTTCAATACTATTGTGCAACCTAGAATTATATGAAACTATGATTTATTGTATATATTTTACTCATTTACCATATAAGATGACACTTTTAAATAAAAAAAATAATCAATAATAGTCATGGAAAGTTTAATAATTTGACGAATTCCAATGAATACATTTTGAACTGTTATTTAAAAACAAGACCTTATTTTTTTTTAAATATAAATTCCTTATCATACAGTTATATTATAAGGGCTATAACTTAGCATTTAACATTTCATTCAGTTATAGATAACTATATTTTTCTGTCTTAGACTTACCAGCAGCCAAAGCTGGTCCAATTTTCCATGAAATCATTGGTATGGGATAATTCCATGGAATAATCTGTCCACACACGCCAATAGGTTCTTTCAACGTCATAGACAAACATTCACCATCTACAAAAATGTTGATTTATATTATTTACACGTCGTAATAGCAGTTTCCAATCTATATGTGTCATTCAATACAATGTTTTTCTCAATTCTTTGTAGAACAAGGTTTGTTTGCATTTATTAAATCTCAATTTTTCATACAAAGAAAAAATTTAACACACAGTCAAAAACTAAGACCAAACATTCTGTGTAATGTAAATATTTTTACCATAAAGTTTTCTGTAATTTTGTTTTAATTTTAAATTCAGTATATTAAACATAAAAAAATAACTAAAATTACAAATATAATATGAATTCTATGAACAAGAGCAAAATTATTTAAAAATTTATTTATATTACCGGCCGGTATAGTGTTGCCCAATATTTTGTCAGCTTTTCCCGCGTAATATCTCAATACCCCAGCTGAAGAGTGAACTTCTTCTTCAGCTATCCTGACAGGTTTACCGCAGTCCAAAGTCTCTAGTTCCGCCAAATATTTTGCTTCGGAATCCATAAGATCTGCCAGTTTCAACATAAGCAGACCTCTTTGGGATGCATCCATTGTACGCCATTTTGAATATCGATGGAATGCTTTGCGAGCCGCTTCCACTGCAATGTCTATGTCAGCCTATGTCATAAAAATCATTTTAATTTCAAATAAATGTCTAATACAGTAAAATTATAATAGATTTTAAAAACTTTCTATGAACTAACAAATTATTATTGCAAAGAAATAAACAATAATTCATAAAGATTTTGTCTACTTTCTTAGAGAGAAATTAAATTATTTAAATTCAAGTAATATTGGTCTTTTTCAAAGAAATTCAAAAATATTTATATGTACTTAGTTAATTCCGAAGAACAGACTGTTTTACATGTTTCATATATAAAATAAAAAATTTAGAACTAGGGTATAAGCACACTTTGATTTTCAGTGAAATAAAAAAAATAAGATAAGTTCAATAACTAAATATATATTTTCTTTAATAAGACAATATTTACCTTGTCTCCTTCAGCAACATTGGCAATAACAGTTTCATCTTGCGGGTTGATAGTTGGAAAAGTCTTTTTACTCACAGCATCTACCCATTCATTGTTGATAAATAACTGAAATGTTAATTAAACATTTGATATTATTTTATAAATTGTATGTTAAACATCAACAAGATATATTTATAACACAGCAATTTACAAACATAATATATAAAAATAATGAATCGGCAAATATAAATGGTAGGAGATGCACTTTTACATTTTTTTTTGGCTTGCCTCCAATGACAAGCTGTCGAGTTGAATGAAGCAACTTTAGAGTTTAGAGTTTTCGTGCCAAACCATTTTTTTACACATGGATTCTATTTTTCAGCACTAAAATTGATACCATAATCTATTTTTTTGAAAAAAAACAAAAAAATTTAGACTCTATCGGACATTGGGTTGCTGTGATTAACCTGTGCCGCTAGAATAGCTTTCAATTGCCTCATTGAATCAATAAATTAACTCAAAAAATATAATCATATTAATTAAAACATGTAAAAATGATTATTAAATTTTAAATGTTACATCTTATACATACTATAGATAATTTTAATAAAAAAGGAGTTTTTTTTTATTGCTGTTGTTAGATTGGGGAAAAAATATTTATGAATAATATACCTAGAAGTATCATAATGTTATGTTGCTACAGAATCCACCCAGAGAAAAAGAAAAGTGAAGATATTGTTGGATATTCAAATACTATATAATTCTTTATATTCATCAGTATTCTACATCTAGTCAATTAATTATATTAATACTGAAAAACAATAACTATCATTTGTACAAATGAATATGTATTTTATAGCATTAAATATAATGCATATAGTTTTAAATATTTTCATTAATTTTTTATTTATTATTGTTGTGCAATGGAATAATCTTGTTAATAATTTTATAATATATCAACTCTGATACATAAATAGTTAACCTTTGAAAGTATGAGTTGTTATCTATTGAATTGTAATATTATCTTTACTTCAATATATTTTGCAATAGGTTTTTTGATATCGTTATTCTAATTCGGTTTATTACATTATTTTTGTATAGATTTATTATAAAAACTTATTATTTAAATAATCGTATTGTTTTTCAGTGTTAATGTGTTCTATTATATGTATATCTTATATGTTCCTAAATAAGCATTTTTTACATTAAAGTAGTAATTTATATAATTCTTATATTATTCCACGACGAATTTCAAATACTAACGTTTTTTTAATAGCATTATTAAAATAAGTAAATATATTTGATTGACACGATACAAAAAAAAAAATTGCTAAGATAAAATGACATGGCGTTTTCGTACCTTTGTGTATTTTATTTCAACTTTAACCATTTTTAAATCCTTGACCGGCACCTTATACGTTGCTAATACCAATTGCCAGCTGACATTAAATTATCTCATTCTTTCAGATAAACGTCAGTAGACAGTTCATAGATAACTTTAATTATTTTTATTCTGAATGTTGCCTTTTTGTAAAAACAGACTGACACAAAAAAAAAAGTTTGGTTGATAGTTAAATAACTTTTATATAGTGCTTCAACATGCGTTCTAAATTGTTCATATGTTATGTTATCGAAAATGTTGTCATAGTAAACAAAGATCCATTATAATAGTTATATTGGTATGTATCCTGCGTATTAAATATTAATCTGAATATTTGTTCCCACTTTAACGTTCAAAGTGTAAAAGTTGTAAGTTTCTATAGTTCTATTTACATTATAAGGTGGCACTTCACTTGGCGTTTATTTGTTGTGTTCGGCCAAATAAGACCATGTGTGGAGGATTTATTCGTCTTCATTTGACATATTTGCACAAATAAGACACATTCATAAATAAGCTAAAAACGCGTAAAGATATGTTGTTGGCATGACAAGAAATATTCGGACAAATGCGGTGAATACGCTACGGGAATATGCAACGCCAAGTGAAGGGCCACCTTTATTTTTAGTCTTCATGTATAGGCTTAAAATTTTTAGAATTACCGTCTTAATTTTAAATATCACAGTTAAATTATCACCTTACGACAGACGACTAGCTACTGTCTTGACTGTAATGAGGAGATTGTCCCTTCCAAGTTTTAACTATTTAAGACCCGTTCAAAAAAAGTTAAATTATATGTAACATAATTAAAGATTAAATATTGAAAACCTGATATGTAGGTACAAAATTCTATAAACTGAAACGAAAGTTTCTTGTTCGGCACTTCTATTACCTAAAAATAATATTATTTTAACATATTACAAATTATACATATATTAAAATTGGTTAAAAATACATAATTTACAAAACTTTAGCGTTTAACGTGTAGTTTGTTGGGCTACTTTTTGAGTCTATGACGATTAATAACAGTTTTTTTTATTCAATGACTGTGTTTTTAAATCCTTCTTTTTGTCACTATCTTTGTAGTAAAACATTATTCGGTTCATAAACCCCAACAGACAATTTGCTTTAGAGATTTGCAAATTTCTGAATTTGCACGATACGTGTACCTACAATAAACTTCTTTATACTATAACATGAATTTATTCTTTGTCATATTTTTTTTTCTTAAATTTATTTATTGTTAAATTTCTATGGTATGTACCTAAATGTATAAGTCAGTAATATCAATTAGTTTTTAACTATCCTAAAAGGTCGATATTGTCTATTGGTTGTTCAAATACCTCCTCTGCATTCTTTGATTTGGTCTTTTGTTTCAGGTCTCGACCCAGCTAGACCTCTGGTTGCTGATTACGGTTCAAGATTATTTCGTCTTGGAAGAGAAGACGCTTATGTGGTCCAAGTGGTTCACACAAACGCTGGGTTTTTAGGAGAAAGTGGCCAAATAGGACACGCTGATTTTTGCGTCAACGGTGGCAGGATGCAACCAGGATGCAAGGGTCATTTGATGCGTAAGTAACTTTCCATATAAATAATAAACATATTTTCTACATATTTATATATTTAAGAGACGTTTTAGTTTATAGCACTATACCCATAATCTACATTCCGATAAAATTAAACAAATATTAAAGATAAGACTTCTAATCGTAATATTATTGAAATATGATTTTTTTTAGTCTGACTATCATAAGGAAAATGAAAAGTAATAATTTTGATAAACGATACTATAATGTTATTTTATTTAGTTATCTTTTGTATGAATAATATGGTGTAGACTTTTTTATTGATGAGTCAACTCTAGTGTTGCCATAAGAGCAACTATACAGATATACCTACTATACAAATAAGTAATAGTTTAAATACAAACTTATATAAAATATTCCGTAATATCAGTTATTTTCTTTATTATTCTAAATGAGATGTCCAATCAATTAGTTAGTCAGAAACTTTACAGCAAATAGGTTTTAAGCAAATTATATTAAAATATATTTAATACAAGAAATCGACATTTATAATAGCATAAATAATATTATTATTCACACCTTTATTATTCACATAACATTTTCTGAAAATACTTGAACAAAGAAAAACTTTTAAAAATAAAAAAGGTAAAATAATATTGTTAAACGGTTTTATAATAATAAACATGGATAATACTACTCTTTTGATGTATCAAAAACTACAAACAATTCGGTAAACCTTAAGTACCAGCTATTATTGTTATCAAATCACGATATTCATCTATATAGGTTATTGACCAGATTATAAAAAAATATTTTTTATCGACGATTAATTTATCATATTATAAAAATTATTATTTCCAAAAAATAATGAGTTTACGTTGATACAATCGGCCTTGTACGAAGGTATCTCTATGTAAAGCACGATGTGACTTATAAATTGCCTGCTACTGTAAATATTTACTCAGATTAAACAACGCCCCATGGTTACATTTTTATCGTATCTGATCAATACGATACTTTGATGTTCAGAGTGGTGTGATAATATGGATAAGAAGTACTCAACACTGACTGAATTATTTTGATTCAAATCGTTGAATTATTTTATTACTTATATTGTGTTAAAGTTCTTATTTTCATAATATAGTATTCTATTGGTCAAGGCTTTTCATTTAGCGTACCTACCCCACATACTTTTTTGAGTATACTATGTATATTGATTTTAGATATCAACGATTTATACTAATCAGTAAATTAAACCATATCAATAAAAAAAAGTTGAACTAGTTATATGACCTATCAAATAATTTATCACTTTCTCGTAACTTTATTAACAAAGCCATCTTTTACTAGACACGATATAGTTTTTGTGGTCAAACCAACTTCGTGCATCTAACCTTTATAAATCCTTTATATAAAATAGTGACACAATAGTAAAAGTAATTTGAATTGACGGTTTTTGTAATTATTCTAGTAGAACCTTTAATTTTTTTTACAAATTATAACATCTATTTTTAGGGGTAGCCAGATGCAGTCATTTCATGAGCGCGTGTTATTTCTCTGCGAGTGTTAGCAAAAGGTTGCGCATCGTGGGAGTCCCTTGTGACTCGTCTTGTCCGAAACAGGATCGGTGGGGAATTCGACCTGGAGGTCGACCCTTGAAACTTGGAGACGATGTTCCCGACTCGTTAGTATTTAATTATTTGGTGACGATGTATATACTTATGCATGTGTGAGTGTGTTAGTATTTGTATGTGTTAGTAGAAGAAATACTACAAGTTATGAAATTTTAACATCATTGAAAATCATTATGGATATGTCATTTCAGTATATTTCTTACGTTTAAGAACCATTTCATTTTACAATTTTAATGATGTTCATACCTAACAAGGATGCTTCTCCAATGAGAAGACGTTGATTGCTTAAGACGTAAAGTAATAGTCGGTATAAATTAGATGGGAATTAACCATAAGAGAAATAAACAAAAAATCGAGAAGATCGTAATCATAGCTTTCTATGCTATGAAATAACTTAACAAATTAATCTTATAATCATCTTACTTTGGTTCGTGAGGGTTCATGATGTTTTGGTTAATGGAGGATTGTGAAAATAATATTTTCAGTTTCCAAATTAATTGTCTTTTGAAGGTTCCCTCATTTTCTTTAAAATTACATTATCCTTACTATTGCACCATCCTTATCTATCTCCTTTCCATAATAAAAGGGACCACCACAATCGGTTTATACAGGAAGGAGTCACCCAAAATCACAAAGAAATAAACTCCTTCCGCTTATTTCAAGTCCTTTAAAAATTACCATTTATGCTCCTGTTAAATGTTATTTAAACTATACTCGCTTTAACTTTTCTCAATATCCATCTTTTAGAAACATAATTCGTATCATGTAAAAAAATTTTAAAGGCCTTTATTTTTATATATTTACATATAATAACATACATACCACTAGATATGGCTAGCAGTATGTATACAATATATGTTATTGAAATCATATATCACTAATCAGTTATCCCATGGACACATCTTTTTTCCTTTTTATAGCTCCGAGTTTAAAGAAATATTTATCTCGTTAAAGTGTAATTTAAACCTATGTTACTTGCCAACTGTTAAGTGTAGCTACAGGTTAAATTTAACACAAACAATATAATGAAACACTTTTTACAGAGCCCGTGGTATGTACTGCGTGAGTTTGGACCATCAACAGAACTGTCCCTTCGATTAAATTAATATATAATTATTTATTGTTAGAATAAACTGTTTGGTTTTAAATAAATTATTTATTTATTGAACTCAACTTTTTTTTTGTGCCTTTTTTCCATGTCTCAACTCTCGTAATAGGCAGTCTATATAAGCATTATAGTTATGAAAAGAACAGCAAAGCAAAGCGCACATTTGCGTATTATATATGAAAAGAAAAGAAGATTTGAGTACCTCGGGTCGTTACATCTTACAGAATTTATCGGTTAAAATGCAAAATTTGCAGATATATTATTTTATTATTATTATTTTGTTAATGTACCTAATGGTTATCGAATAATAAACAAATAAGGAAACACTTTTTCTTACATTAACAAACGTTAAATAATAATTAATTAATGTGGACAAAACGAGTAGGAACTACAATGTATCAAACCTTAACAATATATATTTTTGGTTTAATTTCTAATTTAAGCATTAATAGAACCTATCAGTTCATACAACTGCTGTCTTTGGAAAATTAATAAATGTTTCTTGTTCCAAATATTGCTGGATTCCGTCCACTTCCATAAAAAAAGCGAAATTTTAACAAAATAAGAATTACTTGAATGTAATATAAATGTCGTCCATAAAAAACGCATTAAGATATATGATTATAATCGAGTATTGTATCGCCAAAAATATTTGAGTAAAAGAAGTAGAACTGAACTTTCTTTGAACATAATATGTACTTACATTTCACAGCCAATACCTGATTCCCTAAACACCCGAGTAGTGTTTGGAGGAGTAATATGCATAAAAATATTAACTCTGGAAATATAAAATGTTTATGGAGAAAATAAATCCGTACATCGCAGGGTGTAATATAGTACTTCATATTTATATATAATATCAGACAACTACCTATGTTTTATGATAACATTTATTTGAAACATTTTTTTAGCTTGAACACAAACTCAATACAAACTTTAAATAAGCTAAACTATGGGTATAATCTAATTATAATAAATAAATAAAAGCATTTTTTGTTACAGTATTTTTTTTTCATTTGACAGTGAGCAATACATTTGTATGAATAATTTTTGGGAGCGATGTTTTTACGTAAATTATAAAATTCCCGTGGTCCGTTGAATATGTGTTGAACGTCATGGTAGGGGTTGCCAAAGGATTTATTTTAAAACTAGTTCAGAATCTTTAGCGACGATCTTATGGTAAATCAATTTGAACATAGGTTCGTGGAGCGCCATCAAGCATTGACCGACATTGGAAAATGAAGAAGGAAGGGCGATTATGACAGCATAGTCAACTAAAAACAAAACGCAATGTAGAATCAGGAAAAAAATTGAGTAAAAATTTCAATACATTTTATATTTAAAAGTATAAACTAGAACTTTCTCGATTAGTCGAAAACTAGATAACCGGTTGGTTGATATCTGTGTTAATTTCTTGTTTAAAATAGAAGATTATAACAATCTCGTGAATAAAACAAATATTTTTCACGTTTTAAATTATTTTTAACAACACACTCCCGACGTTATGGATACTTTGCGGAGGAGATGTGAATTTCAAATTTCATTCAAAGTAACCGAAACGTCAGGAGTGCGTAGTTAAAAATAATAATAACCTTCTACTCGCGAAGTCTTACATCTAGTGAATATTTTCAAAAATAAATGTGATCAACAAATAATTAAATTACTTTGTTAATAAATACAATTTATAAAAGCGTTTTTACTATCAGAATCATTGAAGACGACCAGAGGGCACTTTCCTCTCAATTCTAGGGTTATCCGTTTCAGATTAACTTCGCTAGCGGCTTTCATGATGATGAGGCCAACCTAAATTCATGATATTTGTTTCATAAATTTAGTAATTACTTTTTATGTGAAAAGTGGCAAACGAGCAGATGGTCTACTTGATGGGCAGTAGTCACCGTCATGCTAGGACATTAGCAACATCTCTGTTGCGGATGCGTTGCTAACCCTGGTTTTTTGGGAATAGGGATGGATGAGAATAAGGAAATGACAGGAAAAGATGGGAATAGGGAAATGGCAATCGTCTCTCTTCGGCCGATCTTCTGTAAGGGGGTGGTACTTCCCCGTTATGAATATGGGCTTGCTCAAACGAGCAAGCCCATATTCAAATTGTATTTACACGACCACAGCTAAGCTCTACCATCTACAATTATTAACTTTATTAATTTAATAGTTAATATATCCAATTATGTCCTAATACAGAGCCAGTTAGTAAGAGGAAGGTCAAGTCACAACTGGTGACGTCATTATTAAAAAAAACAGCATTACTTGGATTCCTCGAAATGTATGTATTACTATTTGTAGTAAGCAATGGATAGTAATTTAAATAACTAATTCAGAAATAATATTGACTGTGTGTGTCAAGAATATAAATTGACGAAATAACGATTTTAAGGCAGATATAAAACAAAATAACAGACGTAATGATAGTTTGAATTCGTAGATGAATAAATATAATTTCGAAAAACTAATAAGTTAAATGAGCCATTACATTAAAAAGTTATATTTTAACGTGAACACAGCATCACTTTCAATTATCAAGTTCATCGCTTAAATAAGTGTGATGGTTACAATGTGTTTATATGAAAATAATGGAGTTCATGTGAGTAATGAGACCTAAGACTCTCGAGTATTGATTTAAATGAAACTCATATTTGTCGGATAAACCGTGGTCACTGGCAGAAAGGGCAAAATGTAATAAAAACAAATTAATCAAAGTACTTCTGTAGCCAAGGACATAATATATGTATATTTAAATCTGATTGAAATAACACAATTCTATCTTTTACCTCTTTACCTTTGCATTCTATCTTTTACCTTTTTACCTTTCCTTTTAACATCTGTCATCTTTTTGTTTGGAAAATCCATAAGGATAAAAGAAAAAACGATAGTGGATGAGTTACGAGTTAAGCTTAAATAATTTTTTTAAACCTTTGAGTAGGAATACAGATGGTAGAGCAGTGCGTATAGTAACAAAAATTAGAGCGATACAGCGGCATCACGATCTAGTAGAAGCGACAGTGTTTTTTCTTAGTTTAACAATCAAATATAATATTAAGTGTTTTATTTTGTTTATTAATTTTATTATGTCTTTCCTATCATAAACTTTAATTTGACCATTTATTTCATTGACGCCACAACTCCAATTGCGTATGATCACTTGAATGTAAAAATATTACAAATAATATTATGAAAATATTATATGTATTATAATTATTATATTATAAATAATTAACCAATCTCTTTGTACAGCGTAGACTGCTACAGGAGTGTAAACTTTTAAGTTGTAGGGATGTTGGTATTATGGGAATCTACATAGATTACATAGATACATGGCTTACAGATTCATAGTATATGGATCTCGCAAATCCCTCTAGTATTATAAATTCGTAATTTTGTGAGATTGTTTTGATGATGAGATGAAGACTTTCGCGAGTTTTATTCATTTAAATGAAACTAATATTATTCGGACATACTACGAGATTCATTTTTGTAAAAATCTACATACTGCCGACGTTTTTGCTATTTTTCAGCAACCGTGATCACGGGAAGACGAGATGTGAATGTCTGTCAGTAGGTCACGGATATGGTATTTTATATTTTTAAGAAGGGGATACACCGCAGGATCTCGAGACACTGTAAGTAATTATTATTAATAATATATTGACAAGACTATCTAATAAATTTAATTTTGAATTGGAAAGACTCAATAATGGATCCATATATTTTTAAAAATGTTTACCCAAAGTCAATGTTTGATGTAGCAAATAGCAAAAAACTTGCGAGTGCTAACAAAAGATTACACATCGTGGGGATCCCTTGTAATTTCTTTTGTTAACAAACTGTACAAAATTCAGGTCTGGAGAACGACATTTAAGATTTAAGGTTGACGATAACTCGCATACATTAGTACTGAATGATTTAGTGAACTATGTATGTCATGCGTCTATGAATGTATGGTTTTAATATTAATATAATATTGTTACGAGATTACCACCTAACATCTCTGTAGATTATTTTATCTTATCTTAATTAAACAATGTTTGCTTCTTTGTTTTCGAACTTAAATGTAACACTGTTGCATTTAAGTTACCTCATCTTTACAGTCACTCATATCTGAGCGTTTCCATATGAATATGGAAAAAGGATATTTTTCGCCTGCCAACTAACGAACAACGCCTGCCAACAACGAACAATATTTGTCGGATTATACGCGACTTTATTGTTGGAAAAAATACATACCCGACTTTTCGGCTACTTTACAGCAACACTGATTATGGGAGGACGAGATGTGCCTGTATAATAATCCGAAAAAAAAATTTGTTTCATTTAAATGAATAAACCTAGCGAAAATCTTAGATCTCATTATACGAAAAGCTTTATTTATTAATAACGTACATAACTATATTACTCAAAACAAGATACTAACTTCTTAAATTTTGGTTATAATTTAAAATTTCAAACACCTGGTAAAATAACAAAGAGGTTCACAATCTATTCAGTACCGTCATTAACTTCTTACATATAATTTTCAGTGAACATTTATAGCGTTGTAAATTAGTGCAATATAAAACAAATGTTTTTCAAACCAATTAAACTGATATTACACATTTTTTTCCTTAATTTTCGACCTTGACGATATTTTTGACTTCTCATTGATATTTGAACTAGCCGGTTATATTAGAGGATAAATATATTCTCAAACAACCTAACATTTTCGTTCTTCCGTTTAATAGTTTTGTTTTAAGAATATTTTTAAACTCGAAGATTTCGCTTTCAGGGCTATAATGAAGTGTTAATATCAAGGTTACAGAAAAAGATTTTTATGCACCCATACTATGAGCTAATGCCATTTGATTTAACAAATGAAATTATCTGTATTCTAATACAAATGTACATATATAGTCTTATTGAATCTTATGATTTATAACAATATTTATTTTGTTCATTTCCATCTATTAATAACTTGCAAAACCACGGCCGTTAGTTACTCTATCTCGATAACAAATATAAAAAGTCGATTGGGCCGCTATAATTTTCATAATGATGTTAATTTAATAATATATATTTTACGCTTATTCTTCTATTTTATCATTAATATATTATTTTTCTTGCTCTTCAAGTTACGTGTAATATCTCTCCTTAAAAAAATTAAATGTTGTTATTATAATATATATACATTTATGTAAAACCATGACCATGGTCGTGTTATTTTGGGGACCAATATAGTAGGCTAATAACTGTTACAATTGTTTTAAAACATATTATCAGATTTGTTGGAATAAAGCATTACTGTCATTCTTTGTACTTTTCTATCTTTCAACCTATTTACAGTTTTTCATCAATAATGTGTTCCGGTATCTATACTAATACATATTATAAAGCTGAAGAGTTTGTTTGTTTGTTTGTTTGAAAGCGGTAATCTCCGAAACTACTGGTTCGAATTGAATAATTCTTTTTTTGTTGGATAGTCCAGTTATTGAGGAAGACTGTGGGCTATATAACATCACGCTACGACGAATAAGAGCAAAGATATAGTGGTAAATGTGTAAAAAACGGGAGAAATTAGTTCATCTTTGAAGCTTTCCGTTGCGTGCGCCGTGAAAACGGTTCAAGATACATAAAAATATGTATTAAAGAATAATAGCTCTTTTAATGATCTAAAAAACAGTCCGCGACAGTATATGTCTATCTTTTAAGATTAACTCACAAAAACCGTTTTTATGGTACCTAATTTAGTCGAAATAATTTGTTTAAGTTGTATCAACATAATAATATTAATCTTTATTCAAATAAACAAATAAATATGTTGTTGGTTAAGAGTACTTCATTGTGAATTAAAAAACACATAGGTTTTATCCTGAAAACTCTACGGAAACTCGACCATTCCGAAAACCCCGCAGGAACGGGAACTATGTGGGAAGAACCAAAAATCTGCCGGAAGTCACTATTCCACTCGCACGAAGTCGCGGCAAAAGCTAGTTATATATAATTTAATTACGTATACTATGGCACTTGCCAACTGATCTAAATTTAAATATAGACCTAAGTAATAAATCTATTTTTATAAAGCCCCGATATATTTTGCGATACTTTGGACCATTTTAAGGACTGCCCGTTGGATAGATTTGAAATGTAATAAATTGTGTTAATTATAATGTGGTATAATTACTGGTAAATATTTTCACTAGTTGCCGCGGAATGAGAAATAATGTAAGACGCTCAGTAGATATTAGTTTGGTTCGTTTCACAACCAATAAGACATAAATATTTTTTTCCGTGTCAGATAAAGGATTCCTATAATAAGTTACTAGTCAAAACGATCCCTAATTTTAATAGTGTAGCCAATTTTAAATATCTGTATGTATTATTACGTATTTCCTACTTTTTGCACAGGTTTAAATCAAAATTAATACCTATTTGGTTGTCTTATCGTCTATTGTTTATCCACTTTTCAATAATTAAGTGGAGAAGTGTAAATTTGAGTTTTTGATTAACCTAACTAAAACAGTTTTCTGAAAATTTCTAGTTAAATAATAACGATTTGAGAAAAAGTTCCTTTGGCTTAGTGATCTCATGAAACCAAATTGCATATAATCATAGAAATAAATTACTTCATTCAAATACACTTCATCCTGCAACAGGTTCAGAAGAATTAATTAAAAAGATGTTATTTTAATTTTTTATTACATTTCTATAAACGTTTAATATTGTACGTTTACAAAATGTGAAGGTATACAAAATATGTTCTGGTTTAGGTCATAATTTAAAAGTGGTTCATTCGGAGTCATCAGTTTATGCAATGGGTGCCTTTGGTAGGTTAATTGTAACGGTCTTGTTCTCCAAGTACTGCATGATACCATCTTCTCCCCTAGAAAAGTAATACATAATGTTAGCAAAATATTCAATGCAAGAAGTCTTAGATCAAAATCATAGTGCAATTACGACTTAATGAACTTTAAAAGTAATAACGCTTAGAATGTGAATTATCTATTAAGTAAGTATAACTTAATATAATCAATATTTTAACTATAAATACTTACAATTCACGACCAATACCGGATTCCCTGAAACCGCCGAATGGTGTTTGTGGGGCAACATGCTCGTAAGTGTTAACCCTGGAAATATTGAACAGATTAGGAGTAGTTTAATCATTAAGCTGAATAGTAGCAGATTTTCGTGTGAATAATATAAAGACAACAGAATAATCTTATGTACTTTACTGTTTTGTTTGAATTTTGATTACTACTTTTATATCTAAAATCCATAAACTAAAGGAGCTCAACAATCATTTTGAGTGAAAGCTGAGCCGTTATTATTATAATTGCAAAAAGGTTATCTTCTTGATATGCTCTGCTTGTTATCGTTATTTCGGTTATGTATTTTTAGTATGTGTCCAAATGAATTTACCAAACGCTGCCAGCACGGACGTGTCTCACAAAAGCCATGGCTAGTGTGATGTCGTTGGTGATGACACCAGCTCCGAGACCGTAGTTGGAATCGTTCGCACGGTCAATGACTTCCTCGAATGTCTCGAATTTTAAGATGCTTTGAACTGGACCGAAGATCTAATACAAACAGATAAATTGTTTTGAAAGTGTCATAGAAATATCACTGTAGGAATATATGTTACTGATACTTTGGCTTTCTTTTGTATCAAATATCTCAACATACTATCATGTTGTATACTTTGCATAAAAGTGTAATTTTGTTTTTCACAACAAAGTAATGTTGATCTAATACATAAATTAAAAGTTCGAATCTTGCTCGTTACAAGTTCGAATCTTGCTCTTGTCTTAAAATTTTTATTTTACTTGCATATTTTGTAATATTTTAAGCGCTTCTAATTAATTCCCACAGTTTTTGTAAGTGTGAACCATTTGAATTTCACAATTCTTTGATTTGTTTAAAGTCGTTTATCTACTTTCTTATGTAAAGGGTTAAATAAAAGTTAATATTTCTTATTATAGACTTACTTCTTCTCTGGCGATTTTCATATTGTCAGTAACGTCAGCAAACACAGTTGGTTGAACGAAGAAGCCGACTTTACCGTGGCGATCACCTCCAGCGACACACTTCGCGCCTTCTTTCTTACCAGCGTTGATGTAACCCATCACTTTTGTGAACATTTCATCATCGATCTAAAAAAAAATCATATACCCTAATTAACAAAAAGCTGCCTTAATGTCTTAAAACCTTTTTTTACAGGGGGAAATCATCAAATGACCCCTCTTGTCCTGGGTGGGGCAAGAGGGAGTGTCAGACTCCTACTGACTAAAAACGCCCCGTACCTACTCTTGTTCCGAGCCAGGCTGCGATACATCATTACACTAAAACCCGTGACCCGGTGTTTCAAAAGCTGCCCTAATGTTTCTGGTCACAAAATTTTGTCTGGTCAGAAAACCTTCGTACTTAACTAGACTTTTCAGCGCATAGAATATAATTTGTTCATATTTAGTAAAAAACGAAGAAATAATATGATAAACTTATCATAAAAATAAATTCAGAAAATAATAGTTGTATAATTTTTATAATATTTACTTCAATATATTAGAGATAATATTATATTATTGTGTACCGATAGTAGTTGTCGAGACAGATAACATTATGCCATTATGATAAAAGTTTATAAATTATGATAAGGTTTGTTGAAACCTTTATTAGATTATAGTTTCAGTTCAAAACTTTAACATTAGGAATTATTCTTATCAAATCTGTTATATATGCTGCGTTCGTTACAATACAGAATATATATTTTTTTAACGAAGCTATTATTAGTTTTTTTGTAAATCTGAGAATTACAAAAAATATATATATGGAATTCAAATCAATAATCATTTCATTACTTTCTAATACTATCTGTATTATAGTATAATATTATTTTTAAATTTATCATTAGAATACGAATGAAAAATATATGAATAATTATTTGAAGAGATATTTTTTGAATAAATTATAAAATACCTGTGGTCCCTGTTGGACGTCGGTGTAAGGATTACCAACGGATCTCTTCTTAGCGATCTCAGCAGCCTTCGCGACAAACTTATCGTAAATGCCAGATTGGACATAGGTTCTTGTACCAGCAACGCAGCATTGACCAGCGTTGGCGAAAGCAGCACGATGAGCAATTTCGGCAGCCTTGTCAACTATAAGTGGAAAACATTGTATTTTAACACCAATTTAAGAACATTGTATTTTAACATTAATGTTTATCAATTTTATGTAGTCTTTCAATGTATTGAAAATGTTAACTAAGATTATAACAAACAATTTTTTTGAAATGAAACAATGCATTTAAAAAAAAAAAGAAGCTATGGTGAAATAATTTGAAAAAAAAATGAAAAGCTTTTAATTAAAAAAAAATGTAACTTAAACAAAACATCACACGTAAGATAAACTCTATTTTCGGTTTTTATATACATAAAAAATAGTAAAATTACCATCAGCGTCATTGAACACGACCAGAGGACTCTTGCCTCCCAATTCAAGGGTCACACGTTTCAGATTGACCTCGCTAGCGCCTTTCATGATGATGCGGCCAACCTATGTTTGTTTGTTTGTTAATATTGGTTTCGTAAATTACTTAACTAATAACTACTATAACATATTTTTAGTCATAATCATAATTTACTTCTTTTAACTATATCTAATAGAGCAATCAAAATTTCCGTCATTAAAATTCTGAATCTTGTTTATTTATCATTTCCTAAAAACTTACTTCAGTGGATCCAGTGAAGGCCATTTTGTCAACCTGAGGGTGGCTTGTAAGGGCTGCGCCAGCAGTAGGTCCATAGCCGGGGACAACATTAACAACGCCAGCGGGGAAACCAGCCTCTTTAACCAACGCTGCTAAAGCTAAAGCGGTGAGTGGAGTTTGTTCTGCTGGCTTGACGACCACTGTGCAACCTGCGCACAAAAAAAAATAGTTATACTTCTTTACTTTCTTTCTTTTTTCCTCGTTATTTTAGTGTTGCTGAATTTTTGTCATAACTTTTCATTATTGCCTCTATTTTATGCTTCTTTTGGGTTTTGTTCCTATAAAAACATTCCACAATGACTAACCTGCTGCAAGAGCTGGAGCTATTTTCCACACGAACATCGGAATGGGATAGTTCCATGGTAGAATTTGACCGCAAACACCAACTGGTTCTTTGAGTGTCATAGAGAGAACTTCGCCGTCTTAAACAAAAATAAAAATTGAACGTTTATCTTAATTATTATAATCATTACAGAATTTATGTCTTTTAAATAAGCATGACATACCTGCTGGAATGGTATTTCCCAATATCTTATCAGCTTTTCCGGCATAGTATCTTATTATATTTGTGGACCATATGGCCTCTCCAATGGCTTGGGCGACTGGTTTTCCATTGTCCAATGTTTCCAATTTACCCAGATAGTCGGCATCTCTCTCAATTAAGTCAGCTAATTTGAGAAGTAGTCTGCCTCTTTGGGACGCGTCAAGCTTCCTCCATTCGGAGTAACGATGGAATGCCTTCACAGCTGCAGACACTGCCAAGTCAATATCAGCCTAAACATAGAATTGACATTTTAGCATATACATATTTTATTTGTAAACTTACCCACATATTGCAAGTAAACGTAAAAATTACATCTCAAATGATGTAAAACTAATAAAAACTATATCCTTGCTCTATTTGATATTACGACATTAAAGTTAAACATCCGAATAAGAAAAAAAAATTACCTTATCGCCTTCAGCTACTTGACATATAACGGATTCATCTTGAGGATTGATGGTAGGGAACGTTTTTTTGCTCACGGCATCCACGAACTCATTGTTGATAAACAACTACAAAGATAACATTATATAATAAGTCATATGTCAAGTGAATGTGATTAGGGAGTAAAATGATAATAAAAAATGTTTATATTTTATGTTTTTAAAAGATAAATCAATAAATTTCTAGAACAAAAGTATGAGAACTGTCTTTAACCTTCAGACTTTAACTATATATTCAATGTTTTGCGCAACACTTGCTTGTGTACCTGACATTTAATTTATTGATGATTATAACATTAATTATTATCAATAGAATATAACAATATAAGTAGATTCAATTCAGATTTATTATATGAGAGGATGGAAATTAGCTTTTGCTGCCTACTTTTTCCATCTGAAGATATGAATTTGGATTAGGGACATTGGGTTAAAACAAAAGAAATTAATGCCAACTGACATCGATATCTCTTTTCACGTGACTTTTTATATTATACAACATAATAGTTGTATAATATAAGAAGTCACTTATCTTTTGGGAAATACGCGAAATTGCGTTATAAATTATAGCTTATATCTTATTCTGATATTTATGCTATATTATTGTAACATTATTTAATTCGTTTTTACGTTAAAGTGCAACACAAAACAAGACACTATTTTATGCTTCTACAGAAAAAAGACCCATTTTATTATTGCCCCTCAATTTCACGACATCCCCTTAACCACCTCAGTGAGAATCCTATACACATAGATATACACGGTATCAAAATTTGCAGCTTCGTTAAATTCCAGATATATTTAGCTGACTAGGCCAAGTTTGCTTCTAAGAAACAGTTTAAGCTGAATAGTGGTTTTTGAATTTCATACCGGGGCAAACATTGTGGCTGTATAAAGCATAAGTCAGCCTCCATATAGAGTACCGAACTCATCTCTGGGCTGTTACACTTGAATTTGCTTTCACGAACATATCATCATATTCATACAAAAAAATACTCACGCACCCACATATTCAATCACACATACAAATATTCTTACAAACTTTTACATTTAAAATATTGGTAGATTACCTAAAAGCTTCGTAATAAATGTCATTTATAAGAAACATTCTTTTGGTAATAATTCATTACCTTGGCACTATCCTTAAACTTTGGACTCACCGTCAAAATAAACTAAAAAAATACTTTGAAGTTTTTTTTATAATAGGTGATTAATAACAGGTTAAATTACCAATTCATATGTTACACCAACTACGTGTGTCTAGATTATAAACAGGAAAAAATTGTGTTTTGAAGCAGATAATAAAAAAAGTTAAAATGTTATAACAAAATGTTTATGTTATTATAACAAAAGTATGATAACACTAGCATGTGATTATAAAAAAGTGGTTTGTGATTAAGTTGCAAACGTATGTGTATCAGGAACTTATAATGAATTGAATTTCCTGAGTCACAATTACTTAATTCATTTCTAGACCAGTCTTTGTTCTTAGAACTTCCGTCCAATTCCTCAATAAGGTATAACAATTATTTTAATTATTATTAAAAAAATTGTAATACATAATAATAATAATAAATATCATAATAATTATGATAATTATAAATATAATAATAATTACAATTATTACAATTGTTATCTATAACGTTAAATGAAATTTATATATTGCAGTTTCCTTGGATGAAAGTACACAGAAATAATAAATTAGTTTTCTATTAATTAAATAACAATTACTCGAGAGATTTTCAATTTACATTCAACCACTTAAATTTTATTTATATCTAAAGTTTTCATCGTCGAGGTGCTCATTATAATTATCTATAATTCGAACTTGAAAATTGAAAGTCATGCTGTATACACCGATAATATTTAAAGTAAACACATTTTATGTCATAATGATACCTATACAAATGTTATGTTGGGGAAGATCGTTAATAAAAAAAATACTAACTCCTTTAATCTGAGCTTGTATTTGTACATAAAACCAGTTTGGAACATCCCGATGGGAACAAAAGGCGATCCTGTGTCATGAATGATTCAAGTTACATTGTATTGTTCAGGTCTATTCTGCGAATAGCGATCGTTTATTCAATAAAACACAATTGATTCAATGAAACACGAATGTTTTGAAAAACCACAACGGAACTGTATCGTTTTATAAGCCGGTTTAAACCGATAACAGTTTCATATATTGCATATTTTTAATGGATAAGGAATAGTTATTCAATAAAATTTCATACTTCAGGCGTAAAATTTTCTAACAGGACTGTAGTTGGTTGATGTTGTAAATCTTTTTTATTAAAATAAAAAAGATCTGTTAAGTAATTTAAAATCAAGGCATGTTTAAACTCAATTAAAGAAAGTACAATTTGAACATACTGAAATCTACAAAATACACGAATTCTATGATATTTACTTATTTATATACACATTTTTTAAAGATAATAAAATATTTCTACTCAGCATTCCATAAAATACATCTAAAATTAATAGTTAGCTATTATTATGACAAACATCAACCAGTATCTCTAGTCACCTATAGTAAATATTTAATAAATCAACTTCTGCCATAGACGTCGCTAGATTAATATATTTTTCAACGAATAAAATATATTTTTATAACAATTAACTAATTACTTATTCTGAATTTAAATTGAAATCAATGAATAATCTAAATATATTTTTTAAATGTAAGAAATAGTTTGTATATTTACCTTTTTATATTTAATTTCAACGTTCGCCATGCTCGTTATTGTAATTCCTATAAGTAATTGGAGTGGAAACGACAGTCGCCCACCGCGTTCAAACGTACAATGTTTGATAGCGTGAAGCCGAATATAATTATACAGCACATATGGTAAATATAAACTAGTGTTCAGTATATCTGCAATCTAATTTAATCCTTATTGTACATAAAACAAATTATAAATTCGCTTGCATTTTAGTTTTGTCAGGATGATTCGTGCAAAACAGTCTTATGATTACTTACACACACAGAGTGTGTTCAGCAAAAATTTCCATCTAGTATATGAACTTCCAGAAAAAAATAAAATATTTAAAGTTTTGACAAACACGTTTCTTATAAAAATTATTTTTATAAAAAAATTACGAATGACAGCTTAAAATAAATTTGGTTTCTAGTGATGGTGTATAAATATTTGAATAGGAAAAATATGAGCATTACTAAAGGTTTTCAATGTTACTTAAATATATGCCTAAATAAGATACGATACTATCTGGTAACGTAAAATTATTAAAATTTCTCTGATAAACGAAGTTGTCAATTATGATAAATACGTACATAATATTTTGATATGAAAGCAAAACAAGGTAATAGTGCAAAACTTTCCTTTAAAATCACCTTTTATATATAACTAATCAACTGTTAAGTATTGGAGCGCAATTTACACAAGTCTAAATACTTACAAGCAATTATTAACATCGACAATGACTTGATATAATATGATAATATATGCTTAAAGTTAAAAATTTTGGTTTTAAATTGACAATATAAAGTACTAAGAGTACTCTAATTTGTAGTTTCTCATAAATGAAAACAAGCGTGAAGGTTTTGATGTATTATGTAATTGTGTTTTTCTTCTTCGAACTCATTAAAGCGATAACGTATTTTGTGTTAGCAGATATGTTAGAAATTTCTTCACAGTCTGAGACATACTCTTGCTTCTCATTAGAGTTTTGCCTGACTTAATTCAGATATAGTACTACATATTATTATGAAGAAATTATTTTTATATGTATCAGTTTTTTAGGAAAAACTTTCAAAAGTGCTTTGGATTAAGAGACAAGCTTTAATGGTTGTTAATTGATCGTCAAGATGTATCGCTGCTACCATTTACTTGAATTAAAGATAATGTAGAGACAAGATCATAAATGAGAAAACGTTGAATTTCAGAAGAACCTGAATGACATGTACAAGTAAAATATAACTCCAGTTAACCATCCATCATCTAATACTTTAGCGTAGTGCTAATTTGCAGACTCTAGAAGATTTTCCAATATCGACTTCCAGGAAAAATAGACTAACCATTTATTAAAAATAAGAATTGTAAGTTATATTTGATCTTATATAAAAATACTACCGGATGGTTAGAGAATAAACTAATACAATGTTAATTCTGTTGCACGGTTTCGGCTCTGAAAACTCTAACTAGCTATTGAAATATTTAATGGATATTAACAATACCTATAGTAACATTGGTGTATTTCTCGTACGTTAAAATCTTAAACAACAAGAAATTAATGTTAATTTATAGGCTTTCCGTAAATGTTCTTACATTGTTACTTTGTAATTCAATCACATTTTATCGCTATATATGTATGTACGCCGCTTATCTATACTCATATCACGAATCATACTGCTTGGAAGTTTTATAATTATGTTAAGACATAAGGACAATGCTAAGGTACTTATAACGATAGTCAACAAAAATGTTATGTTTCATCATATATTTATTATAGTTAACTTTATTATTACTATAAAACAATTAGTTTAATAAAAATGAAAATTAATTACTAGTCTTGTTTTTAGGTGAAAAGTTTACTTCTATAACAGTACAAGATAAATTGCACTCGTCGTTATAAAACACAGATTTAAATGATAGATTCCCGTAGAGAAACATGCCGCCGTAGTATTTCGTTGCCACCTCTTCGATATCAATATTAAGATTATATTTACCCTAAAATTAAAATAAAAATTATTTTAAACTGTTATAGTCACATATTATTTTAGTATTTTTGTTATTTCTCAGAAAATTATATTTTATCTGTCGATCTGTCACAGTCTTCTTTAATATATAACATCCGTGGACAATTATTGCTTTTGTTGATAATGGAATATGGAGAGGCTGAAAAGAACAAGTCTAATCCAACAAGCCGCTGACCAAGGCGCACAAAAGCGTATTTAAGAATATCTTATCTTTACTGCATTAACTAACACGTGGCCAAATTCTCAACCAAACCTTCGTGTATGAAACTTTTTAATCCCAAAGTGTCGAGACACACTATTCCTCTCACACTATGTATTACTCTACCGGACGGCATGGGACCTTAGCACAGTCGACAAAAAGGTAATAGGCGTGATCACCACCACAACGAGGTGGATGTGAAAATAACATTGAAAAACATCAACCTTATAGAGGTTCCTATATGAAACAGATCTCTATGACCAAGTAACAGTTACCAAAAACTCTGATTAGTCATGTCGTGCTTTGTGCTATTGGCCCAGATTGTATTTCAGCCACATTTGTAATACCTGACTTCTTGTCATCTACTTTTCTACCATTTTTTTATGAGAAAGGGGACAAACGAGCAGACGGCCTACGTGATGGGGGTAGTACCGTCGCCCATGGATAACAAAAGAATTTTACAGATGCGTTGCCAACCTTACTTGGAAAAGAGGGAAAGAAAAGGGTGGCAAAAAGGAAAGGGCAGGGAAGAGTGGGAAAAGGAAAAGGGCAAGCGGTTCTCACTGATCGGACGTAGCGCAACCTCATAGGAATACTTCACGCCGATCTTTTGTGAGAGGGTTGTACTTCCCCGGTCGGGCAAGCCCATGTCCGAGCTTCAGTAATTTGACCACAGCTAGGCTCTACCACCTACAATCATTGTGAGGGTTCTCTTAAAGTCATCTTGTTACTCGTACTTAAAGTTGACTGACTAATTTCAATTTCATTGATACTCTGTACGATTATGGAACTTAATTTTGATAGGACACTGACAATTTTTTTTATCAGATATAGAAGATAACTTTAGAGAATAATTGTAAAAAAGGCTCAGCACAGACAGCAAGTTAGTGAAAATTAATCTAATGGCCTTGACCGCAACCATATAATATTCACACTCCTTATATTTCGTAGAATACACGGTACCCTATCCAGGAATTGCACCTTAATTTCTCAGTTTGACTGTGTGAGTCCTATGATCAGGTGTAATATTACACATAATAAGGATTACTTGGTACAATTTAACAAGCCAAGATCACTTTACCATATGGTTCAAAAAAACTGTTTCACGACAAATGTGAACAGTGCAGGTTGACGGAAATCCCCAGTATTTTAGTACAACTCTACTCTTATGCTACAAAAAACATAGTCTGTAGTTAAAGACACTCTTTCGGTATATTCTTATCGGCCATTTTAGTTTTCATGTTTACAAGTCTTTCCATGAATTGCTTAAAAACCAAATAAAACTCACTTTTTTAATGAGACAATTTGGACCAACGTTAAGAATAATTTGAAACAATGGTCTCATAAAGAGATGATCGCATGGTTTTTTCATTTGCAATCTTATAAAAGGTTTATCATTCATCATGGCTTCGATTTTTCCCTGAAAAAAGATAATATTTGGAATAATAATATTTTAGTATACAGCTAATAAAATAAATACAAATAAAATATCCCATCTGCCACGAAATACTACAAAAAATACAGAACTATTTACCTATGACTTTATTTTTATACATTTTTTTTTTGAAAAGATTTTACATGTTATACATATGTTCGACACAATACCACAATACAAAAAAGTAAGGTTTTTTTTTTTACAGTAGACACGACTGTTGTAAAAGAATTATATAAAATTTATCAATTACCCTGTTTGGTACAAAATCCTTGTTTACATCAAGGTTCATTAAGAGATGTGTGCCGTTTACAATTTTTGATGTGAAGTGGTTGCAATCAACGCGCTTTGGCCCTTTACAACTATTGAAATCCGTGATATGAAGTTTAAATTCACCCTGTAAATTATAAAATCAATAATGGAAAATTTTCAGTATAAAATAAAACATAAAATTAAAAATTAATTCGTCAATATCTCTTAGCAGCGATTGCTTCTAGATATTTATAGATATAAATAAATAGATAGATAGTTAGATTAAGTCTGTGGTGGCCTATCGGTTAAAGGCCCGCCTCTCATGCATGAGGGCGCGGGTTCGATCCTGGAAAGTACCAAAGTGATTTTTCCGAGCCATATGTACTTTCTCAAACAAATAAATTAAAATACTAAACCACTGAACCTATAAAAACGTCAACTTTGTTAAAATTGAAATAATATGTATGTAATTTTGTCTTGAATGAAAACATTCTTTTGCAGATCTTTTAAACTTGTTAAAGACTTTGTCAAAGGTTTCCATGATAAAATACCATTTTATTATTTTTTGTCTTAAACTGTTTTATGTAGTGTTAAACCCTCGATATGTCTAAATCGCTCTGGAAAGAGTTCATTGGGAAGCCGTTGGAACATAATCCTGGATTCAAATACCAGGACTAGCAATTAATTGTTTATTTTAAACTATAGTCTTTGGATCTATATTTCAACGATTTTCATACAAAATATATATATTTCTTTCAATTATTTAAAAACCGATTCTACAACTTACGTAATCCTTCCTTTCTGTAACATGTTTCGTACAAATGATGTGAACGTATAAAAGAAATATAATATTCCTGTACATCATAGTCGAATATCAACAGAGAACAGATCAAAGCAGTGTATGATAAGCAGACTTTTTCAAACTTCCAATGTAAATCATTCACAATAGTTTGAAGTTATTATATTCACGGTGCATTGAATACACTTTAATTTTTATGAATTGTTATTTTAATCAGATCATTTACTTAAGTGATGTATTTAAATAAAATGACGACTGTTTATTCAAATGTTATTGTTAAAAGCAAGGTCACAAAAAATAGACATAGGACTTATTAACATTTTTTTTTATATTTCTGTTACATATTTAATCTTTTATATTCCAAGCTATAATATTTTCGCACGCGCTGTCTTAAAATTCTTTACCTTTATTTGAATGCAAACAAAATGAAATGTAATGTATTTAAATTAAAAAAAACACACATTTTTGAAACGAAGTTACTCAGGAATCAAGTAAAAAGATACCTTGTTTGTACCAAAACAATAATATTTATATGTGATTATATTACGCACATTCAAAAAGCAGAAGTATATTATTTAAAAATATATACTTTCAATTTATTACAAAACAAGCAATAATTTTATATGACATCTATTTAAAAACACTATTGTGATATAATTATTGTATATACCCACTATATATATCTCGACATATGTCAGGTTGAATGACGGTGACTATATGTATAGTTTTACATTTTTAAATTCATACATTATTGAAAAAGAAACTCATATTGTGTAGTATCAAAATTCTGTACAACAAACAAACAAACAATTAATAGTGTCTTATGTTGAATAAAACTAAGATTTTCGTATAATTTTCATATTATTTTCATCTCATCTGATTTATCCGTGATCACAGTTGCTACAAAGGAACGGAAAGCTCAGGATTATGTAGTTTTGAAAAAGTAAAAAACGCGTAGTATAAAGGAAATCTATGTCTATTTAATCGAATTCATATAATCATGTTATAATTGCCTGGACACTTAAAATTTCTTGTATTGCTTATAGTTATATTTCGCCTCTGTCATGTTATGAGAATATTAGACAGACATACATATAAAAAGAGAGATAAATCAGTGGGGGTCTAGTGATCAGAGGTCGCCTCTCATGCATGAGGGCACGGGTTCAATCCAGGCAAGTACCAATATGATTTTGCGAGTCATATGTACTTTCTAAGAGTATTTAGACATCACTGATTAATGCATTCCCAAAGAGGGTTGATGTTAGGCAGGCGGCCGGTCTTAAAAACATTTAGCCTAAACTATTCACAATATGTAAGGCAAACCCTGGCTAAAGCTGGGAAATTGTCAGGTAGAAGAAGATATAAAAAGAGGGATTTGTTCAAGTTCGCGACTAGATACTAAGAACTTTGGTAATTCTGAAACCTTTCAATTAGCTATAAATATATATTATTATTAGGATATCCTGTGCTATTTATAATTTTAGAATCTTTTTTGACATTCTAATATATATTTTATATAAAAACTTATTGCATCATCTAGACTTCTGTGACAAGCGTTAGGAAGTTACTTGTCAACTATCAAAACCTTACGAGTATGTGTCTCCATGTGAATACTACACCATATTTATATTCGGACAATTTAAATAACAAAAGAGATAAATTATTTATGAATGTGTTCCTATTTATAGTGTGAATTTACCACACGTGTAGCTAACAGTCTTTACAGACAGCAATGAGATATACTCACAATGGAAACCGAAGTTAAAATAACGAGAAGATAAAATAGGATTAATATATTAAAAATCGAGAGACAGATGTGGTTTAGGACAAATGGTTTTGAATATACCTAGCACTATACTAAAGTTTTGCAGTTTAGGCATAGTGATGACAGCTGGGGGTCTTTGGGCTGGTTCAGAAATAGACAGTAGACCAAAATACCGAGACGAGCAGACGCTAGTCGGTGGTACCGTGTGGTCGCAAGTTTTGATACCTGTCGGATTGATCATATCTTCCACAGTCGATGAGGAGCTGTATATATTTGTTCATGCATATTTCTTGTTCACCGGCTTTTTGCTGCTGAGTTTTACGGGAGTTGTTCTGGTTTGTTCTATTGTAGTACATAGAAAGCATTTTTTATAACAATATTATTGACACTTAAATTCTGGCTCTATTTAAATAGAAACGGTGCAAATAGTTATATGGAAAGAGTTTTATTATTTCAGTTAAAAACTAATAAATATGTTAAGTTCTTTCAATCTTAAGATTGGATTTAAGAAATAAATAAAATAATTAAAAGAATAAATGGAAAGGAAGTTTTAAATAAATGAGATTTTTTTAAATGTGTAGTGGATGGAGGACTTTCTCTAATACCTTACATTATTGTACTACCCACTAGTAGAATTATAATATAAACCATTCTACGTTTTTTCATAAGAGTCCCACAAACTCTATGTATAAACATTTTAGTTATTAATTTTAACAATCTTATATAGTTAAGACTGTTTCTAGGTATACGAAGAAATCAAGAAAGTCAATAAAAGGGAACACTCATCCATACCAAATATACAATCTATGTCATCGGACAACTTCGACAAAATTTATTTTGCCATAGGTGTTTTGTCTTCAGTAGCCTCGCTTATTACTCTTTCTGACTTTATATATATTTTGATTTAAAACTTTCAGGAAATGTTTATACCAAAAAGTTTATATTAAAAAAATTGGATACTCTGTGAATACTTAAATCTCTAGATTTAATTAAAACATTTATACTTTTATCTTTAATTATCATAGTAACTTCTTAACCTACAACTTTTTGTTCTCGACGCTTTGCTGTCTGTAGTCACACCGAATGTGTAAATATTTAAAATGTCAATTCTTTAGTTGTTTATAAACAGAAAGGTACAAATTTAGATTAATGAATTGGATATTTGTAAAACATAAAACATTGTTTGAACGTTGCTAAGTATTTATCCACTTAATGCTAAGATATTTTTTATCACTATAACTTTAATTCGTCATACTTTCCTTACAAGATATATTTTTGAGGTTTTAGCAATCATAAATAATACTTCTATTTGATAAAATCATTACTTATTCTCATTATGATATAGGAGTATAATTTTTTGCCATCGGAGAAACTTGAAAACCACAAGACTTGTGTGGGTAATCTGGTTACTTTGTAAATAAAGAAAGCCTATCAACTGTCTATCTGGTAAAGTTATTATTTATGGTGTACTTTTATTAGTACTCGTATCATAAAATAAAATAACATCATCGTGATTTTTCATTCACATTTTCTTATAAAATATTATCGACATAATATTAAGTTAATAATCCATTAATACCTTACAACGCTATTCAATTGGTAGAAAAATGAATTTGTTAAAGGTTTGGTAAAATTTTTAACTACACTTTTACATCTTATTTTCCTAGTATAAGCAATAGTCATGCGTGTAAAGCTATAATATGTAGTTTGGCTTAGCATTCAGTGTAAGGTCGGTGTTAAGAAATATATATATTATGGCATTGTTAGATCCTCATTAATATTATGCTCCAAAATTTTCTTTAACACATATTGTAACCAGCAATCATGCCGATTGGTTTGTAAGTATTAGATTTCTTAATTTTATTTATCAATTTCTTTGAGTTATAGTTTAAGTGACATTTAATATGTAATTTCAGCATTATTATAACAGGACTGCTTGCATTTGGTGCATACTGGACGACGAAATACATAATGAACTTGTCAAATAGCAGTCACCACACCGACTTATTGGTCAATAACGCGACAACGAGTTTCCCCAAGATATAGAACTATCATAGAAGACGTAAAATAGAAGTACACTAATAAAAAACCTAAGCCATCTTTATGTAGTGAATATAAAATGTTTCTTTATATAAAATTTATCACATTTTAAAATATCTATTCTTTAAATTTTCCTTTCGCAATGAATTTTTGGTTCTATTAACAAAGCTGTATGAAAAGAACCTTTAAAAATAGTGTGCTTCAATACTAAAAGGTGTGTTTTACTAGTTTTTTTTTTGATACATTTTACATTTAACTAGTCGATGTTTTATTACCGATGCTCAGTGACAGCTCAGACTATTTTTGTAAAACCCTTCTTTAAATACGAGATGACACTGTGTTTATTACTTAAATAATAACAATTTTACTTAGTTTCTCTTAAATGTTTATTTTGTCATCCTTATATAAAAAAAATATAAATCTGCATCGATATTATAGCTATAAGTAAACAAAAACGAAGGTACGAAAAACATGGTTTCTCATAAAACATGTACCAAAAAGTTTACTTAAATATAATCATATACTTTTACATAATAAACGTGTAAGAAGTGCTTCATTTTCTTTTATCATAATTGAGTACACACTACATGTATTTTATATCTATATCTTGAACTTCACTTCCTCTATAGTATATTTACAAGAATTCTATTGCAAATAAACTTACAAATAACTAATTACAAATAAACTTACAAATAACTGAAAGCTAATTGTGATCCAAAATATTCAAATAGTGTTAATAATTTATGTTAGTGGGTCGTGTTTCATCCAATCTAAGCCAGTCAAATTAGCGATCGGCACATCATTGTTGAGAGTATCCATATCCAGCAAATATCTTATACCCAAATATAACGTGACTGCGAGGGCTCCAGTGACTAGAAACCTACAAATGACAGCTTCATTCCATATAAGCCACGTCTGTTAAATAATAATATAATTGTTTTACTTCATACATATTACTTACGTGCCAACAACTACCATTTTTCAATCTTATCATATGATAGACACTTATATGAAGATTATACACTTCTCAATTAGTTTGTCAATGACCAATACGATATGAGGCTCGGTGTTTAAATTAATTTATATAATAAATATTTGAACAAAAATAAGTAAACAAATAAAGGATATAAACAATACCAGATCCGCTTTTTGTTTGTATTTAAAACAAAATATTCCGATATCGTATAGCAAAATTTTTTGTAACGTTTTGGATGTTTTTGGTATAGGTTTATGATTTGCTTTTGCAATTTCTTTAAATATATACACTATTTTACCTGGATCGAAAGTTGTCTATACATTTCCTTAGTTAGAAAAAATTCAGCAGAGATCCTTTATAAGGAAGAATTTTTAATTTTTCCCTCTTATTTATATTGAACCCCTTAAGCAAAAAGATTTAAAAATTTTCCTACTATATCTGTGTAGGGGTTGTTATTCATCTGATGTGGCGATAGATTGTGCTTTCCAATAGATTAACCGATTTTGATGCGATTTTTTCATTGTGAACCAGTTTCCTTACCGTCGATCTTAGGTATGTTGGGTTAATATCTTTCAGTAGTGTAATAAAAACCCAAGTTACGAATGGCATATCTCGTCTTTGAACATTCGATTAAGTCTAATCATAGTTCTTTTTACATTATTTTTTTTTGTTATTTTGTCACGTATACTCAACAGTAAATTTCAAAATAAAACTATTTTTAAATATACTCTGTAAACTTTAAATTACGTAATAATTAAAAAAATACCAAGTGGAAAATGATAATTATCATTGTATCATACATTGTAAAAAAAATCATATATATGTATATACATATATATGATTTTTTTTATTAATCTCACTGTCATGCTAGTCTACACCATATTTCCATTGAAGTCCACACTAGTGCTGTTTTAATACATTCAAGAGATAATGCATGATTATTGTATGCTTTGATAACCTATTTATCTAAATTATCTTTAAACAAAGGTCGCAGGAAAAGAGACAATGGAGGATTGATCTCCACTTTAATCTAAGATATCTATTATTTTGTTTTGCCATTTGCATATGTATATCTAAATAAGTAAGGTCTAATTTAGTTCTTTACCATTTCTTTACGGAATAAACAAAATAAAGGTATAAGAAATAAGCAGAAAAATATGGTGATATATAATTTAAAACATTTAATAATTCGATGCCAGTAAGGATGCGGGATAAATTATTATCTTTTACAATCAGCTAGCATTGTGTTAGAATGTATGTGGTTTAAGATATTTATTCCCATTAAGATACTGTTATCACTTATAACAAAACATATATGAAAATACAATTGGACATCGCACTTGTAACAAAAATGAAATAAAAATGAGTAGTTGTTCCAAATATAACGCTTAACTAAGAGACATTTTCTATATTAATACTAATTGTCTTAGTTTTTATTATTTATTATGTAAAATATACTTAGCATGTTCTTTTTTAAATACGTTAAATGAGTTTATATTTTTTATATGTGTGGGTATTTCATTATACAGTTTTGGACCCTCAAAAGTGATCGTTAGGAACTCTATAGGTTATTGGAAGTGCATTATTTTCAAAATGGTTAATTTTGACTACTTGCGATCGTCATGTTAAATATGTTACAAACATTTGCAGAGCCTTCTACAGCAATTAAAATAGTTTCCAATTTACTTAAAAGCAATTTTTTGCTGACTGTATCGAAGCTTTATTTAAATCGATGAAAATACCGAGAACTACATGTTTATTATCTATTTTTTGTTTTATTTTAGCAACAAGGTGAACGTCAAAGGTATTCAGAGATAAAACTAATGGATATTATAGTTTATACATATGTACTTGATTTTCTAGAAGTAAGTAAATAAGGCAAAGGCAATAAGGCAGGTAGTGAAAATACGTAGGTAGTAAAAACGTTACAAGTTACTGTAAAAATTTTCAAAATGGATGTAAAATTATTGTAACAAAAACATACTTACATAATTTAAGTTTTAGATACATCACATAAATTATTATAGATCTAGATTGCAATTTATTACAAAATATAAAATAAAATTATAAACATTATGTACATATATATATTAACGCTGTTCATCGTAAAACTTTATCTTCTTAAGCGTAAGAAACTGTGTTATTTTTTTCTACATCATGTTCTTTCATAGAAATACAGAATTTACTAGAAACATTAATTACCGACACAGTGCACATAACTTTTTTATTTTACTTGCATCGGCGTAGACGATATATATTTATAATAATAAAGATTGTGTGGTCGAATTTCCATCAATATCATCGATATCACTACTAGCTGTGCTTTCAGAATAAGTGGCTGTCGTAGTATATTCCTCCGGTTCACGTGGCATCAGAAAGTACTTTGTGCCCCAATACGCGGAGCATGCTATCACGCAGGCAATGAGAAGGCTAAAATTAAAATAAAACCATATAAAATCATGCTTAGTATTCAACTTTCTTTTCAACGTGACTCTGAAAATATATTTCGAGGAAAAAAAATTATAGATAGGTACTTTTGGTACAAAATTTACCTTCTGTTTGAACTTATTAGAAACAAAATTATACTATTAGCTATCCATAAAAATATAACAAATAAAAACTTGAATTATGCTTACAATCCAAAGGCCATTTTACTAAATATTCATTTTCTCGCTTTTAAACTGAGAAAAACTCATTGACTTTTAACAGGGATTTTACTAGAATCATACTCTTTTATAAACTTGAATACATAAAGGTACTTTTATAAGTGTTCTCCTACATATTTATATATAATTATACAATTTACAATACATATTTATGTATATATAATTATACAATTGTACCAACTTTAAAAACATCATGTACACATTTTACTTAACATACATTTAAATTAGACACAGAATGTTATAATTTGTAATGATATCGGAAATTTTTAATGTTTAAAAAACAATTTGAAATTTCTTTAATAGAAAAATGATCAAATTTATAACTATTTGACACCTGTTTACGGTTTTATGTATGTTCAACGTAATTAATTCTTTAGCTGTGAAATCATTTGGAAGGCGCCTTTACCCATGCCAAGAAAGAACAATGTGTACTGTTTTCAAACAGGATCTCAAAATCCCGTGGGAAAAAGATTACTTTCATTATTTTTTATATTAAATATTGCAAATAATTTTTAAAAGGCAAAGTTTTCGAACAAATGAATCGACGAATACCTACAAAAAATATTGGATAAAATTATATTTATATTTTTTTGTGAATATGAATATTAAAAATGGAATGAATACGATTAATAAATAAAAAAAGAAAAGCTATGTTTTAGAAAAAGATGTTCAAAATAATTAATATAAAAAATAATATGAGTAACTAGACTGAGCTTCTGAAGAACTGTGTTATTATAGATTTTATCACATTAAATTTTACATATTGATATAGAATAATATAATAAACTATTAGAATTAACTATTGACTTTTTAATAAGTTTTTTAAATATGTCTATTATCCTGATATAACAAACACGAAGCTTTTAATAATGGTCAGGCATATCACTCTTACATTAAGAATACTACATATTACATATTTAGCTTAGCTTAATAATTTCAGATAATTATGGATTCATACCCACGTTTGTATCGTAAGGAAACCTGGACTTATAATTTCACAATTATAAGTTAGAAATCACCAACCCGTCTTGAGCAAGCATGGTTATTAATGCATTCCCAAAGAGGGTTGATGTCAGACAGGCGGCCGGTCGTAAAAACAATTAGCCAAAACTATTTACAACATGTAGGGCAGATCCTGGCCAAAGCTGGCTAAATTACCAGGAAGAAGAAGAAGACCCAAGTTTGTATAGTATGTACTATATACGGAGAGTTTCTAGTGTTTCATTTATTAATATTCGCCCATTATTGTCATTATTATCATCAGCCTATCGTAGCCCACTGCTGAGCAAAGGTTTGATCTCACATGGAGAAAGTTAGAGCGTTAATCACCACGCTTGTTCAAGGTGGATTGGCGATATGAAACTTGTAATATTAATATACTGCATGAGGAATATAAAAAGCTTCGTATGTAGAGTGACGATGCATATTTGTGTAAAGCATACATATACAGTTTAAATTTTGACGACATTTATGTGTATTATACAGGTCTTTAATTTAAATATATTTGACAAAATATAAATAAAGTGTTATACTAACACTGTTTTATATTAAAATTAACTTTATATACTCCTTTTCCATTTAACCACCAAAATGTTAATGGTACACATATATTTGTGTTAATGATTCAGAAAAATCTCACAGCTATAAAGTTGGCTATTTACAAAAGAGTTAAAAAATAAAACAGACTTATGACAAGTGTTTGACGTATGACTATGTCACAAGGCACTAATTAATATTAGTTTAAAAAATATTTATTATATTGACCAATCTATATCTCTATTCTACGTTACTGGCGGAATATTCTAAGTACATTTTGCACGAGGCGATAAATTTAAGAATCGTTTAAATATAAAACATATATATTTAAAGTGAAATATGAAGAAATCTAAGGTTAACATTACGTTTATAAAAATATACATACATTATTCGTTGGGCTAATTATTTTAGTTTTGGACAAATCATGAGATATACATCAAAAAATTCACACGATCTTCTTCATAGAGGAGACCTCTACTCCTTTTCCATTCATGAATCATCACACATATATGTAGGGAGATAGATTTATAGAGAACAATGAACTTTAAATATGTATCTCTAAGATACATAATTGTGATACAAGCATACATTGTAACATTTAATGTATCTTTAAAATTACAGAATCGATCCGAGGTATCGTTAGCAACCATTAAATCTGAAACACATACACAAAAAGAAGAGATTTATGTTCCACCCTTAGACCAATTCAATGTTAAAATACATGATATTCGAATTCCTGATGAGGAAGCAAGGCTCTATACTGTCAAAGTTACGTTTTTTGATCAGTTACTCTGTTCAAGTGTTATCACAACAACTGGAGGAAGAGAAATTGAGGATTGTAGAAAGAGAGTCATCGCAAGAGGCTTCATGAATTACGATCCATCGGATTATGAAAAGATGTGTTTATTTGCTGACACTCCACTTATAAGTATGGCTTAGTAATAATAATTCCTTTAAAATATAGTTTGCTTAATTATAATCTATTTATGTAACTTATATTTTCAGTTAAAATATATCCTTTTAAAGAGGCGGAATCCATATTATCTGGTGTCTTCAATAGCAGTACGACAGCTCAATCCCATTCTTCTAAATCATTAAGCACCATGTCAAGTGAAAAATTAGAAACCTATGAGTGTACCATCGACATACTGCCGATTTTTATTGGTGAGTAAAATAAAAATACTTTCTAAGAATTTTATTCTTTTATACTTAAACTCATTTACAAAATGTTATACTTATTTTTTATTAATAATAATAAGTACACTTTATCTTATTCTTTTTTAAGAAAGTCAAAGAAATAAATGCTTGTTCATCAATTTCAGACACTAATAAAATGTTCTTCCAAAAACGATTGGAACAAATAGTAGTACCCTCAGTACTTTCAGTGAAAAGTTGGGATAACCTTCCTCTCATAACGTTAACTATTAAAGCAAAACGAAATATTGAAAATTTGAAACACCACAAAATACTTAAAAAGGCTAACTTCATGAAACTCACTCTTGTTGGTAGTTATAATATGGTAATTCCATACGATTCAGAATTTACGTACACTGCAGCATCGAAGTTACCTCTGGAAAATGAAACGGTATTTCTCTATTTTTTTAATAACCATTATTGACAATTATTTGTGACTTCTCGTGTCTAATCTTATGATTTATAGGGTAACAGTTTGGTAACGTTTAATCAAGGATATGAAGTTCCAAAAAGATTTAATAGTCTTTCATTTTACCCTGAATGGGAAAGCTTGAGGGCTGCAGGAGACGCTTTTTGCAAGGGAGATGAGAAATTTGATAACAGTATAGAGGAATTACAAAACGTAGAAAATATTGATTTGGAATATTATGAAAAGCAAACATTAAAACCATGTGAGTCCATTATCAATGAGAACATGTTTAAATATAAATTCCATTAATTTAATTGGACATCATTCAACTTTTAGTTAACACAATTTGGGCATCTTTTCATCGCTATCTTTTTTTCAAAAAGAACGAACTTGGTCTCTCTGAACACTTACGAAGGTACAATTGGCCATTGGAAGTTCATGTATATGGAGAAAACTGTGGTTATAGTTTTATAGCGTACCTTGATTTATTCAAATTATTGTACCCTGGCGGTAAAGCTTATTACCATTAACTCAATAGGTTCTTAAACATTGTTACGAAATATAAAAATATATGCAATGATTTTTCAGAAACAAAAGCTCTTTTGTTGGTTCCTTTAAGATGGATTGATACAGAAACCATGGCTGTAAAATGTGGATGTGACCCGCTGATTTCACCAAATGAAAAGGCACCTTCAGTTCTTGCGACAGTTCAAAAGTCCAGCAAGTAGGATTCGGAACTCAATATTATTATATTTTCAATTTCTTAAACGATACTAAATTGTTTATTTACAGAGCTACAACAGATTCAGTGCTTGCTAGTACAAATACAGAAATATCACTACTTTCAAGGCCAACTGGTTCTGATGGAAATAGTGCTTTTGTCATTGTTGAAGTGGTTCTTGCCAGGGCTTTTAAAAATCCTGTCATTCCTCCTATCATACCTGAGTATATACTGTGCTTATTTTATAAATTGTAATATAATAGATATATTTATTTCTTATAATATTATCAATTTTATAAAATTTCTCTGATTTATGATTGAAATTTTTAAAGTAATAGCAATTTTATATTTTTCGTAGTAGTAAAACAATGTTTTAACAACAAGATTATATTTTTATAGAAATTATCCTACTAAAAATTGTCGTTGAGAGTTTAATTAGTAATGCAAAGTTATTAATCAAATAATAAATGTGTTATTATAATTAAGCTACATAATTAGCTTCACAATACAGGTCAGAAATCGCTGAAATGTTGGTGGATCTGGAATTAGAACCTACGAAGAGATTTTGCACTGGTCGAGGGCAACAGGAAAAATCTTGGAGTAATATTATACGTCTAGCATCCTCTGGTCTCTCGCATGTGCCATACTTCGGTATGATTAACTAATTAAATCTACCAATTAACTCAACAAAATCTCATACAGTACAATTTTAATGACATAGAAAAGTCCCTTACTTAGACGTTTTTAAATTATTCCTTAAGTATTGAAATTTGAAAAATAATACTTGTAATTTTTTTAGGAATGTCCGATATTTGCACAATAAACAGACAGCTGAGTGAAACACGAACTCGTGTAGAGATTGTCACATCACTTTGGCAAGAAGCTGCAATTTTCGTCAATAATAACTTTGTAGTACATGATTTCTTAAATTCCGACGAAACGTTCCAGGTAATACATTAATTTTTTTCTAATTTTATAAAAAAATCTATACAATTTATCTTTTAGAACTGTTAATAAAAAAACAGATTTGATAACGCTATAAGTGAAAAATATATCGTAACTTTTTTACATACTCTATGCACGTTGTGTTACGTGACAATATTTTTTTTATGATCTAAAAATAAAATTTATATAAATATATTGTGGAATTTTTCAAATTAAGATTAAATAATATGAAAGTTAAAAAATATGAGAATTAAGATATTAAATGAACTCTGTAACAATAACAATAAACAAGTACAAATATAATTATTTTGAATATTTTTTATAATTGGTTATTTATTATTTATCTCTTGTTTTTTAACTGCAAAAATTAACGAACTATGCTTGTTATTTTATTGATATTAGGTATAAACAATCTTTATCTGAAAAGTAAACATTTTTAACATTCAAAGACTAAGTGATAATAAATAAGTGCAAATAAACTATTTCTCATATAATAATAATTTTACGGTGAGATAATAGGTTTTATGTATAAAGTTATGACTTATCTTTCAAACATTTGATCACGCTCAATAAACAGATACATTAAAATTCATCATCAGCCTGTCAGAGCCTAGTGCTGAGTAAATACCTCTTCTCACATGGAGAAGATTTGAGCATTAATAACATGATTACAATCTTATAATTTGAAATTATAAGTCCACGTTTCCTCACGATGTTTTCCTTCACCGTCGGTGGTGTCTAAATACTCTTAGAAAGTACAAATGTACCTACTTGCCGAGTTTCGAAAGCGCGAACTTATGCATGAGAAACGGGCCTTTAACCTAGAGGTTAAAGGCAAATTTGAAGGTCATCATTTCAAATTATTTATCTAAGATTTTCGCATGTATTCATTTAAATAAAACATTTTCTCTAAATAAGAAGACACTTTTATCTCGTCCCCCAGTGATCTCGGTTGCTGCAAAGGAACCGAAACGTCGAGATTATTTAGTCGTAAAATTTAAAAAACGCAGGGTAATATCCGAACCCGGCGTCGGGACGTGACGACCCCATCGCCCGCCGGTGTATTCCGGTGCAATTAGTCACGGGGGGGAAGGGCCTTGACCTCCTCGTGGGGTCTTGGCCCGGGCTGGGGGTGCAGCCCATGGAGGTGGGTAGGACGAGGCTCGGCGGTGTACACCGCCGCTGCCAAGTTCGGCCCTACGTGTTGGCGGGTGGCCTCGGCCACTGTCGGCGCAGTCCGGCGTCGGGACGTGACGACCCCATCGCCCACTGGTGTATTCCGGTGCAATCAGTCACGGGGGGGAGGGCTGGAGGTACAGCCCTGGGAGTAAGACGGTCACGGATCTGGCAGGAGGCCGTCCGTGGCTGTCTTGGGGGGGAGGGGATACTCGGGTCTCTCCGGAGGCCTGAGTTCGCTTGTGGTCGGTCGGTTTCCTCTCTGTCTGCCGTCGGGCGCTTGCGCTCGTCGGTGGGTGGTTGGAGACTGGCCGCGTGGGCTTGGGTGGGAGGGGTAAGGGGTTAACCCTCTCGCGATTAAGCAAGCCCGCCAGGCGGGGGGACACTCCTGGTCACTTGGAGTGAGCCCTCGGGGGGGGGAGGTGGCCGTTCGCGGCCCGCCGCCGGATCGTCGCGGATGCATGCTTCGGCGTTTCCCGTGGCGATCCACTTGGCGGCAACGGAGAGTGACCGCTGGTGTTTTAGTGGGTAACATGGGCCCTTCTGGCCGTGAATCCCACATAACCGCCTCTGTCTTCCCTAGACGGAGGGGTAGGTATAAAACCTTTCACCGCGATAACAAAAAAAAAAAAAGGGTAATATCCGAAAACTTTAGTTTTATTTAAAATTTTATAGTTGCACATACATAATATCCTTTTATCTGTAGACGGATGAATAAAACTTCAATTGTGAATTCGGCTCCTATGAGAAACAGTAGTGATAATTAAGTAATGCAAAAATTGCACTTATTTATAACAGAAAATATCAATGTATAAAAATAGATATAATTAGAGTTATGTACTAAGTATCTGAAATAGAGATAGATCATGTAAGTTATAGATATAAATATATATAAATAGAAACAGAAAAAACGTGAAACAGATTAGCACGATCTCTAAAAAATTAATCGTTAAAGAAACGTGTGTAAATATACGTAAGTAGTTGTTGATGTATTGTTGGAGGACTTCACCACAGTATTGCGAGGGTTGGGGTACTATTTATACGAGGGTGTCTCGCTTATTCGAGTAACCATATGCTGTTTAAATTTCAAATGTTATAAAGTGCAGTAACCTTACTTCATTATAAATTTTGATTTGTGTAAAATGGTTTTATTTTTACAAAGTTCTTTACCTTTATTATAACTTCATACATATTAATAAATAAAATATTGAAAATTATTAATTGCTAAGTTTATCTCTAATACCTCATTTCTTGAAAGTTCCATGAAATTCCAACCTTTTACTTCAAATGCTAGAGCGTTTAATCTCATACTTTTATATCTTCTGTTAAAAAACCGTCTAGCTGTGTCGTAATAGGATATTTTTAACATGCATGTATTACAGGAGATGATAATGATAGCGCACGCTTGTCTCATGCGTATAACAAATGACGCTATAATAGATTCAGATACAAAACCTCCCCCACACTCCGTACAAAAAGCTGCTAGACACGCGAGACAGCTTCACGACCTATCACATGCTATGGATCTTTATCTACAGGTAGAATTGTTGTATTTATAAACGGTATGTATTATAATAAATACAATGGATGTTATAAATGTATGAAGTAATGATTACATCATAAACTATGGTATGAAAATCAGGAGTTAAATTCTCCTGAGCAAATATTGTAAACTTGAAATTAATATGTAATAATAACAAGTACATAGAGGTAAAGTTCGTAACAATTTATATCTTGGAAAAAATCTTATTTACATCCATGAACTTTTATTAAACAATATGTGGAATAAGTACGTTATTTGATGAATATTCGACAGCGGGTCTTTAATAGTTTTAATTTAATTTTAGTTAATAGTGGAAGCACCTCGAGAAGCAGATAGCTGGCGTGAATTAGCTACGTGTTTAAGAGATATAGATAGGGACTGGGCAAATGTGTGCATAGATAAATCAATTATGCTAAATCCTAGACATCCTTTGAGGTAACATAATTTGTAACATAACTATAATATCTGAATTTGAATGAGACTTCAATGAATATATGGTGTACTCAGCCTTCTCTCAAAAAGCTGTATGATATTCGAAGAAGATCCCAATGCAGCCGAGCCGTTCTTCTTAGCTCTTTTAGCATTTTACCCGTTTTGGACTGCAATCTGGGCAGCTGCAAGCGCTTATTTTCTACACAAAGAAATGTTTCATATGTCGGATCAAATAATGGAACAAATGAGAAAGTAATTATAGAATTACAATGCAATTTAAATTATTTTATAAGAATATAAAAAGTTCATTAGAGTATTTGTCTAATGTGTAGTTTCAATAAGCCAATTCTGTCGTAACTATGATTATTTTATGTAAAAATAGGACACAAGCAGAGAGCTTAGCGAAGGAGCCGAGATTTCCTCGAACTTGGGAACAGGAACTGGGAGAGTGGTGGGAGGAAACCCCACTCTTACCTGGCACTAGTGTCTACTACGACGCTGCTGATCTATTGCTGAGATTGCGAGGCATTGACGTATGTTACATTAATTTTACTAAAAGTTTAGGAACTTTTTTTAGGAATATATGTATTATAAAAGAAATGGAAATAGAAACATATTTTACAGATAAGTAAGTTAGTAAGTGTATAATAAAAAATCTTGATTTTAAATCCAATTAAACCGTGATTATCGAATTAGATCTAAAATTTATAATGAGAAGATTGCATCTAATGAAATTATTTATCTCAATATTGCTTTTTCAACTTCTTTCGATAAACGTTTTTCATCCAATACCTGAAATAACAAAATTTTATCTATACTCATTTATATTTACTTTCAACGGTCTTGAATAACCGTGGAAGAGATTTATAATAGACGCTCTTAATATAAGCGATATGCTACAAAAAGAGTCTGTATTTGTCATTGATAGACAAAAGAGAGCTCATATGCTAAAATATGCCAAGTGAAGTTATTTACTAGAAGGTTTAAAATAGATTTTACTATCTGTGAAAAACACTGGCGATAAAGATACCTGTTACTTTAATTATGTTATTTTTACTTTTTAATAAAAATATACATAAATTAATATACATAATCTATATTTATATTATTATTGTTCATTGAACCGTGCCACCCTAAGTATTTGCTTTTATGAACACGTTACACACTTAATTTGTTTTGCGAAAAGCTGATTTAATCTGGCTATACTTTTCATTGCTTTTAAAGATTTAAATTGATAACAATTTGTGATTAATATAGAGAGCTTAAGTTAAGCTATGTTTTGCTAATTTCGTCAAATATCGTTAAATGTTTATGATTTCAGTTGGCAGAAATATGCATAGCCAAAGCACTTTTGGAAGACGGAGACTCAGCCGTGTATTACCATATGGTGGCTTTATGCTGTAGACTCAAAGGAAATTACGCAGATGCTCTTTGTCATCTACAAGAAGGAATCGATAAATATGGAGAAGTATGAATGCATATACAAAATTAATTAAATCAACAAAGTAGTGTTCAGGCATTAAATACGTAATAATCGTTTCAGATTAGTTATCTTAGAAGCTTACAAGGCGAATGCTATCATCGGACAAAAGAATATAATTTATCGATGGCTTCTTTTGAAAAATCAGGAAGTTGCAAATCCGCTTATACGTATGTATTTATCAACAATTTCTATACTGTGTGTATTATGAGATTAAGGTAAGTGTTGTCATTGCATAGAACACTACTATCGTTGCCTCGTCGTGATGCAGGAAGAACTCGTTCCATATTAACAGATCTGGTCCGACGTCACCCAAGCGCCTACGCATGGATGGCTTTCGCTGATGAATGGATGACGGTAACCAAAAATAACTATTATCAAAAAAATTAAACAATTACGTAGAAGTAATAATATTATACCAAACTTACTGTCTTTTTACAACACCATAGTATTCAACAAGCTCAAAAGGATATTATTTGGTGAATAAAAATTTAAATTATAACTCGTTATGTAATAGAATTTGTCATCCTAAATAACAGACAATTTGAATGATGTTTAAAAAATAACTAAGAATGAAAATATAATTTGACTGTGGAAAAAAGAAGCAAGCCTATTTTAAATAAAGTTGTAGCTTCGTCTTACAATACCTATTATTGGAACTTGTAAGGTATACCTATATGATAATTTATGTTTATGAACCCAGCGCAGTGCAGTAGGTGAAGGCGGAGATGCTAATGTAACAGATGAACAAAGATCAGCTTTAGAAAATGCAGAAATGTGTGCGTTTACTGCCCTCCAATATGACAGACGGGCTGCTCGAGCCTGGGCGCTACTGGCCACGTGCCTCACACCTTCCGCTAGACGAAACTATTGTAGAGAAATGGCGAAACTGGTATTTATATTAAGGTTTTCCAATCACAGCATAATCTTCACAATGTCAATGTATATATTTGTTGTATACAAAATAATTTAGTTTTCTATTCACAAAACCCTATTCCATTCTAAACACGATTAAGTAAGTGCAATAACAAAAAATACTAAATTTAGGAACACAATCGTATATAGGTACCTATAAGACATTTCAAGGATATCGAATGTAGTTTAATTATTTTTAACACTATTTACTCGTATGTAGAATATATGAAAGACCAATATTTTTCGTTCAACAGTGTGGTTTCGCGAAGAATATGGATGACCGTCCAAAGTCCTGCAACCGAGAGTCCACAGAATCATTGTGTTTCCGTATCGGCAGACCTCTAAGGGAATGTCGATGTACAATGTGCGAACATATTTCTTTGTAGATTCATCGAAAAATTACTTTAACCATATATTATGGATCTATTCTAACACCTTACTTAATATCATAAACGGAGTTTCAATCCTACTTACCCATTTGAAATATTTCATGTCAATTTTGCCGTTGCTTTTAGTATCTTTTTAATTGGTTTTATTATAGCAGTCGTTACAAAACTCACTAAAATTTATCTTTCATAAAGGAAATAAATATAAACCAGCCAAAAAAATATAATTATCTTGTTATTCAAAACGGATATCGTGATTCATATAACATAAAGTACTCCTATCCTTGAAGTATGACTTTTTGAGGTGGCATGTGTCTGTCATGAGGAGGAGTTGGTTCTACATCAGGAGGAGGCGGATCCGGCAGCTCAGATAACTTTCGTGTGAGCCACATGAGAAAATAAATAAAAAGTCCCATTCCCGATATCCTAAAACGCAAAAAAACCAATAGTCATTTTACACATAAAATATATTATGATAATAATTTTATACGTTCGTATCATAATTTATCAGGCGATACTAAGAAAATCCTAAATTATTAACTAATACAACACTTATAACTTACATGCCCAACATTTTTAGAAAATTAGAGGCGTCCTTAAACCACGATTACGGGAAACCTTTTGATTACCAGATATACAAGAAAATCTTACGTAATAAGTACGCGTCTTAGGATGTTTAGATAATGCTGGGGTACAAAAAATGCTAACAAATATAAAGCCACTTACTCATGCTTAATATTGAAGTTAACTTTCTTTCGTTTCAAAATATCAAGGAACAATGACTGGCCTTTTAGGTACCCACCAGACAATCATAACTATTTAAGCCTGTTGATATTTTTAATAAAATATTATAAATTTAATAAATGATGTTTTTCGCGTTAAAGATGACTATTGAAATTAGTTTTGTTTAGTTAACTAATTATGGACAATGACTTTAATTTATTTGTAATTCTATTCCTTTAAAATACCACTTATGTAAATTTTTAATGATAACAATTCTAATTACGGTGCACCCTGTTCCAATATTGTCGAGGTAAGAAAACCGTAAAAATGTAATAAATTATTATTACTAATACATCGGTCAATCATTTTAAACGTTTTAGACATGTACCATGCCTTCGCTTCGGTGACTCCATTTTATTTACGTAGGATGTTTTACGTACATTTATCTTTGAGGACTTACTTGTACTTAAGTTCTTATATATATTTTTGATATGCTTTTTATATAAAAGATTCAAATTTCAAAAAAGATTATGCAGACTAAGCCTTATTAAAATATTTGTTATACTAAACAATTCTTGTAAACAATACAGACCGTGTATCAAACAATGGCAGATAAAGGAAAACAACTCGCCCATTTTAAAATCTGAGTGGGTTTTATTACCTACTTATTAACGTCACAGAAGTCTGCCGGACTAGTTTCTTTGGTTTGATTTAGAAATTAAGGCGGTTAGACAAACAAGAAATTTGGAGAAATCCGATTTGCAATTTTTCGCAAAAATATATTCAAATAATAGAGAAATTAATTTGGTATAGTTTTATTTTACTAACGGAAACTTTATTTCTACTATTAAGTATATATTTAAATAAGAATATGTATAATAAACTGTAAATTCATAACATACAAAAACCTTTCATTAAAATGTTTATAATATTATTACAATGTTACAATTATATATCAGTATTTTAATCTTTCTCAAATTAATTATTTTAGAAAATCTTACACTCAATCATGGTTTTATTAAAACACGTATGCACTTATATTCATAAATGATTGCAAAATTGGCTCATGAACGAATATTTATATAAATACATACTTTTATAGGAAGTATCAAATTTAAGCAGGCTTGGAGTTATAGGTTTAAAGAATACGAGATATTTTTTGCATATAAACACTTCTATCTTAGATTGGTGACAGTTTTTTTTTAATAAATGGTCGAATTTTTTTTTCGTTTTTGACACCCTAAACATAAAATTTTAAATAAAACGATTTTGTTCTAATCTGATCGTTGTGTTTTGAAATGAAAAATTGTTGCGCTTTTATCGTATGTATAAAATTCAATTACAAATGATTCAGGAAGATGAAATTCACGTGGCATAAGAATGGTTGGTAGGAATTTTACAAACGTTTCTACCTAATGTGCATTACTCAGATCAGATGAAATCACACAAATTGTTATGGTTGAAGAGTCTGCTTGTGTTTTAAGATGATTTTTTGAGGACTACCGTTATACCACAGCGTAACAGCGTTTTTTAAAATTTTGTCACAGATAACGGAGGCTGATTGGATTTATAACGATATTTTTTCTGGATAAATAATAAATCTGACGTAAGGCTAAAAGTATAAGTTTTTAAACATTACTGAACAATTTACGCAAGCGAAAATCTTAGCAAAAGCTAGTTTGAAATTATTTTCATGGCCGTGTATATGTCATACAATTTTAACTTAAGAATGAATAAAATTAAAAGCTCAGCTTGGAAAGAACATTCAACTTGTTTCTGAGAATGTTGTTACGTATGACACATCTAGTATTTAATAGGCAAAATATTTAAATTTGATGCCTTCGTATTGAAAAAAAAAACATGATTTTATCTATGACACACAAGTCTATTTTATCTATTGCATTTATTATAATTCCATATTTGAAAATATCTTCATAAATATTTAAGGTTCAACGGAATCTATACTTGGCTTGGTAAAGGTTTTCACTTTGTTTAAAATCATAAGTCGATATAATTCTAACGTGTCGATAGTTGAAGGGTTAACGAGGATTATGAATGAATAAAACAAAAAAGACATGAAATTCGGTTATGTTGCTTTTTACTATCAATTTTGAATGTATGTGTACAAGTATGAATTCGAGGAAAAAAAAGGAATATGTAATGTTTTATATATATATTCTACATTGCAGTATTCGTTATGAACAAACATTAATTATTAAACTTCCTTTATAATTCTACTCATACCATATTTTGTTCGCTCACTCATATTCGCAAAAACATCGTCGGAGCATGTTTATTCAGTACAAGTGACAAAACAAGAGTACGGTCTATATAGATCCGATAGTTTTAAATAAAACATACTAGCTAAACAAACCATACCTCACACGTCCTCTGCAAATTATTATCAAATACTGCATAATATCTAGAACTGTACAGACACGTAATATGAACGCGTCAAAGAAACATCTTCTATATCCTCATGATATTTATTACAAAGGGCTCGCTTACAGATGCATAGAAACGATCAATATTCTCACTGCGTATCGTAAAATCGGTGAAAAAAGTTGCAATAAAAACCTAAAATCCACATACTGAAAATCTAAAAATATATTATAATAGATTTTAAATGTCTATACATAGATGAGTGTTCACTACGCGCTTACAACGAGCGTCGACCGTCCGCAACGTTACAATATTTAAATACGTCAAAACACCGGGACTAGACGCCATCGGGGCGAGCGACGGGACTCGCTACTGCGTTAACATACACTTCGTAAACTAAAATGAGTTATAGTAGGGGGCGCCTCAGACGAAGACTTTAGCGAGGCCGTCGGCGCCGGCGCTGGCGATGTACGGCCGGAGGGGGTGGAAGGCCACGTCCAGGATGCTCTCGTCGAACTTCTTCCTGTGCGCGGTGATCTCCTGCACGCACGTCTTGGTGTCCAGGTTCCACAGGCGCACGGAACAGTCGTGGGAACCCGACAGCAGGAACAGACCGTTGGGATCCAGCGCCAGGCCCGTCACCGCGTCCAGGTGCGCGACCATCGCGTGCGCACAGCGACCGGAAACAGCGTCCCAAAAACGGATGTGACGATCCTCGTGAGCCGTCACCAGCAGCGGCAGGGTCGGGTGGGAGCGGACGCGGTTGGCGGGACTGTCGCACGGCACGCGCAACACAACCTGCGATATATATTCGTGACAATCATAATGACAACATAATCTTATATATATATACTAGAAGACCCGGCGAACTTCGTATCGCCCTATAATCAAGAAATATCTGTTACGTTTTTTTTTTATATTTTTGGAGTTTACCTATTAAAGTCATAAATCTCCGTGTTTTGAAGTGCGACAGAATGATTGACATATTAGTTAGTTGTCAAATCTAATGTCAAAAAAAAACGTTTGTATCAACAACTACTAATAAATTAAAAATTTATTAAAAAAACATTGTCCAGCGGACAAAATTGTGAATCTAAACCATTCCCAGATCCCCTTGAACACATACAAAAAGTTTCATCTAAATCGGTCCAGTCGTTTGAGAGAAGTTCAGTGACATACACTATCACAGAAGAATTATATATATAAAGATATATTAACCTGTCCAGTTTCAAGGTCGTATAATAGAAGAGTGCCGTCAGTATAGACGACAGCGGCGCGGCAGGCGGCGTCAGCGAAGTCCGCGGCCGCGGGCGCCGAGGTGGAGCCGGGGGCGTCGTCCCTGAGTGTAGCCAGCAGGGGCCGAGGGTCTCTTGGAGACCACAGGCGGGCTGTACCGTCCGCTGATGAAGACAACAGCCGGCCACCAGCACAGGACAAGGACCACACAGCATCCGTGTGCTCGCGGAGTACTGGACCCTGATAGTACAACAAATATTATATAATAAATAAAATAAAAAATTCTTTATTTTCGTTAACAAGTTTGTACGTAAATATAAAGCTATTGGAGTCTCCTTTAAGCATATGAAAAGCCTGTGCCAGGAAACTCTTAATATAAGATATAACATCTTATTATAGTTTGTAGGCAAGAAAATGTAAATTATAAATTCTGTAATATCTATTCAGTTTTTAGATAACGTCCTAATCATTTAGGGTTAATTATAGTTAAATGACATTAGGAATTTTTTACAAGTAGCACAATTACTAAATTCAACGACCCGATAGCTCAGTTGTTAAAAGAATTGTTATTGATATTCCTATTGTTGCAGGTTCGAATCTGCTCGTGACGATGAATTTTTTGTTTTATATTTACAATTTTATTCTTAATTTAAGTACTAGCTCAATATTGCTTTATTTGTAACAATAATATTAGAATTATTGTCATCTTTTTTCGTGCATTAAAATCTTTGTTGTAAGGAGTCGATATCAAATAAATTTTGTTACTTATAATGACATTAAAGCAAGGAAATCTTCTCAAGTACAACCCTTATAACAGGCCACTACTATGCGGATTCACTTAAATTATTAATATAAATAGATTTTAAATGATAATTTTATATTCAATGTCATTTGAATTTAAAATATTGTAAAATAACTTATATTTTTTACATTGAATTCGAATGATCTTATTTTGTCAATATATTATTGCTATATAGCTAAGATGTGATCACGTTTTGGCATAAATTTTATAGATAAACGAGATAAGATTATTCAAAATAAAACTTTCTTGTTGTCTGTCTACTTCTTTTAACAGGAAATTTCTAGATTTGCACTAAATATCGCTAAAATTCAAATATTGCAAACGTTACATTACGGTAACTAAAAAAGTTAAATTAATGAAATTAAATAATTTTGCAATGTAGTAAAACAAAACCAAAAGTTAAAATTTATATGACTTCAAACTTGTAAGAAAAATTGCTTCAAACATATGATTGCAATCAATCAACGAGTATCCTTGACGATAATATATAGAGAAACTAGCTTTCCGCCCGCAGCTTCGCCCGCGTCGAGTTCGGTTATATCGCGTTTCCAAGAGAACCTTTCAAAAGTCTGGGATAAAAACTATCCTGTTCTTTCTCAAGGTCAACTCTATCTCGGTACCAAATTTCATTAAAATCAGTTCAGTGGTTTAGGCGTGAAAGCGTAACAGACAGCCAGACAGACAGAGTTACTATCGCATTTATAATATTAGTATTGATGATACTGATTGATGTTTATATTCCAGGTGTCCCATTCAGCTCTGAAGGGTACAGCTCGCCCCACAAGGTACCACGCGGTCGCTAACGACGGTGGTCTCCCTTCAGACGAGGTCGAACAACTCACGTATTACTCGTGTCACTTGTACTCTAGATGTATGAGATCAGTTTCATATCCAACGCCCACATACTGCGCACACTTATATTAGAGTATTTAAGCTAATATTTATACGTTAGAATCCAACATACCAGTACAGCGGGATCATATGAGTCGTATGGGTCAGCGATGGGTGGGGGTAGGTTCCATACTCTTATGGTTCCGTCCAGACCCCCTGAGAAACATTCCTCCGAGCGTGGAGCGCCCATAGCGAGGCAGAGCACCGGCGCTGTGTGAGCTCTGAACGTATATAGAGGCTCCACATCCAAGCCGGCTGACTTTTTAGCTGGGACAGTACGCTGCAGGTCCCACATCTTTAAAGTATGGTCTTCGGACGCTGTGACAAGAGCAGCCCGCGTTGGATGGAAGGCGAGGGCACGTACCTGTTAAAAAAAATTACTTATAAAATAAAAATTATATCATATATATTGTAATTTATTAAGGAAATAGATATGTATTATAAATTTATCGTCTTCGGCCTATAGTAATTGCTGAGCAAAGGCTGCTTCTCACATGGAGAAGGTTTGAGCATTAATCACCACACTTGCTCAAGACGGGTTGGTGATTTCAAACTTATAACTGTTAAATTATAAGTTCACCTTTCCTCATAATGTTTTCCTGCACTGTATGTCAGTGGTGTTTAATCTTAGAAAGTACATATGACTCTGAAAAATTATTTATATATATATGTTACCCCGTCAAAGTGTGAACGAAGACTGTATTTAGCGTTCCAAGTCTTCCTGAAGGACTCTTTGCTAGCGCTGGCCACGTCATAACCTTCAGACTCATTGCTGACCGTCAACTGTGCCAGCTCACCCAGAGCAAGCGGCTTCCCATCACCCTCACGAGCCACTGTCGCTGATGTGGCTGGGAATTTCACTGAAAGAAATACATTTATACCACATCTATTACTGTACAAGTGTAGTTCTGTACAAGTGATTTCGGAAGTGATTTTGGTGTTGAGTTCGAAAATATATGAATAGTCTACATAAAGGAACGAAAAGACGAAGCTAGCTACAGACTACAGTCTGTATCAAGAATTTCATAGAAATACAAATGTTAAACTCCTGATCCCATGAAAACTGTACAGATTAGATCTTATGATGAAATCTACATTACGTTATTGGCAACTAACATCAAATACAATCAGTAGTTAAGATTGTGAAAGACCAACAAACATACATACATACATTAAATGACAAAATAAAAATTATGTATCAATTCAATATAAAATTATATCAAGACATGTGATATATATTTTCAGCAGTGTAGATCACTTAAAGTTGGCACTTCATATTAAAATTGGAATAACAAACCAAGAACAACTACCTATGGTTTTGTAAAATAATTCTACATGAATAATATTATATATTGCTTAAGAGATTGATGTCCTATGATATATTACAATTGAAAAAATACAATTTTAAATGATATTATCTGTTGATATTAGCCTCAACTAACTCATAGAGCCTCAATTAATAAAAGTTTCAAGATTTTACATATATTTTTTATATCAAAGTAACATATCTACCGGTTGGGAATTCATCTCCTTGCCCTCCGTCAGCCTCGCTCTCAGTTAGCAGGTTTAGTTCAGTTAATACATCCTCTGCTTCTTGGTCCACATCTTCACCTTGTAAAAAGTAAAAGAAAAACTTAGTTTTATCTATCAATATAATTTCAATATTCTGCACATCCAAAGGTAATTTTCGAAAGCAATCTCAAAATATTTAGACTGGTTTATAAATAACAAGGATTCAAAGAACAAACAAGCTAATAAAAGATTTCATCCCTACTAATATTATAAATGCGAAAGTAACTCTGTCTGTCTGTCTGTCTGTCTGTCTGCTACGCTTTCACGCCTAAACCACTGAACTGATTTTAATGAAATTCGGTACAGAGATAGAGTTGACCTTGAGAAAGAACATAGGATAGTTTTTATCCCAGACTTTTGAAAGGTTCTCTTGGAAACGCGATATAACCGAACTCCACGCGGCGAAGCTGCGGGCGGAAAGCTAGTCCCCTATAAATTCTGCTTCTGTTGTCAGATGTAGTTTAATTATTTCTATACATAGCTTGTTGATGTTATAAATGCTTAGAAAACAATTCTCCAACAGAAAATACAAAAGCAATTGAAACTACTTTTTCTATTTAATCATTGACAAAAGTTTAATGCATTCTTGATCAAATATAGAAGGATATAAAATAATTTTATGCAAGCATAATGTTTTTTTAGGAATGTTCAGAATATTAAGAATGATATATAATATTTGCAATTAAATTGTTGTAAGTCTAGAAGTAGAGTATATATTAAACAAATATGCAAATACAATAGAAAAAAATCAGTGGAATTATCTAGTGTAACAGAATACATATCCTAGTTATATGTATATATACATTTATTAAGATTATAATACTAATGTTTTTTTTGGGATTCCCTATTTGAACAATCTATTAATATTTAAAACCATACAATATAAACTTTTAATTATCTACCTTGCTTAGTAGTAGTGTGGTGCATTTGTTTGGCATCTAAGTCATCAATTTCATCCATATCCATTTCCTGATTAGATAGAAACTCAAAGTTAGCAAACACAGCCGCCGTCTCTTGAACTGACATCCCTTCCTCATTATAACCGCTGCCTTGCTGAGCTCCTTTGCGTTGATCTTTTCCACCTTAAAATCAATATCATTAAATATGACAGAAAAGGATTCTTTTAGGAAGAATCATTGTAAAACTTACCATATTCATACATCTTACGATTTAAGGCAGTATTCATAGAATAGTGTTGTTGTTTGTCACAGTTTCTGTGGCTGCTATCGTCAGCCGGCTCCTCATTGTTTAAACCAAGCAAAGTTCTTACTTTGTTTGAACGAACATCAAGGATGGTATCTGTGTAACCAATTTCCTGTTGAAATAAGAATAGTTTAAGTTTATTTGTTATTAAAAAAGTGTACAGAAAGAACATAAAGTTAATATTCTAATGATACCTGTAGGTACTGTTTAATCAATTGTCTACCCTGCTTCCATTGGGCTCGCTCCGAAGGCTCCGGTTCCTGCGTAGGTTCTTCAGTTGGTGGACGCATGTCGCCCTGCTGAAGATCTACTCCATATTTCAACTTGTGAAATTTCGCTCTTTCCTGCTTAAGTGCATACTCAAGCATTTTGATCCGCCTTACCAAATCATTTTTTAGATTCTCTTGACCCTTCCTCTCACCTTGGAGGAAGGCGATCCGTGCCTATATTAATGATGAAAAGAGTCAGTGAGTGAGTGTAATGAGTTCCAAATTAAACTTAAGCTTTTGTAAAAGTGTATCATAAATTAACTATAAATAAAGTGCTTTTTATAACATAACAATGTTAACACAAAAGTTAAAGGTATTAATGACAAATATGTTCAAACATTTCAATGAGGAAATATTAATTTGAATGTTAATACTTGAAACAATTAAATTTACATTCATGAATATTTTTGGAATATTTATAGTACCACATGCTTCCCAAAAGAGGGTTGATGTCAGGCAGGCGGCCGGTCGTAAAAACAAATAGCCAAAAACTATTCATAACATGTAAGGCAGACCCTGGCTATAGCTGGGAAATTGCCAGGTAGAAGAAGAAGAAGATTTATAGTACCACATGCATGGAAAAGAAATTTGTCATTGAGCAAATAAAATTACAATAATTTTGGAAATATAACAAATTTGACAATTATTTTATTTGTTAAAACAATATATTTTACAGTGCTGTAAAATAAAAAACCAAGAATAATAGATAAACTGAATAATGACAGTCTTCACCAATTATAAATCATTTGTCACCTTTGTCTGTACCTATTACCTATCCTCATTTTTTTTCATTCAACCTTTAAAATAATAGAGTGAAATCAGTTGTAAGGATGCCTAATTTGTATTCCAAACAACAATGGGAAGTGATAATTAAATAAGTTGCTACATGCTATGTTTCAATAGTCTACCATTAGTTAAATAATATAAGCTCTAAGTTATATTGGTAAATGAATCAACATTATATGTATCCCATTATGTACATTATAATTGACCAAAATAAATGTCCATGACACACTGATACATGGTGGTGACTAACAGTGGGATATTGATTAGATTAAATAGAAATAAACACAAGTTTTCTATCAGTACTTAAAGTGAAAAGTGCCGATAGGAAAAACGGAAAATTTTTGGAGGAAATCATGTTTAACAAAATTCATTAATAGAACACGTTGCATTAATAACTAGTTGAGAATGTTTACGCCATTGCTTAATAGAAATATATGTTCGTATATGATTGATTAGTTCAAAATAAGGAAGTCGATGTGCAAATTGTCAATACTAAAATGGATTACGTGGGTATCAATACAAATAACTGTAAAATTAAACATTGACATTTATAGTACATAGAATTATAAAATAAAATCGATAACAATCATAATATGCACCTCAAACTCTGCTCTGTCCACCTCCCATTGTGATCTTTCGACTTCAAATCTCGCCCATTCATGTTGGATGAAATGCAAAACGCCCGGTATTGAATACTGGACACTTTGACTAGATTCTTCATTTTGTTTGTTATTTACACTAACTCCTATCTGAGATCCCACTTGCCCTCCGTTATGATGAGATACGGAGCTATCATCCATGGCTGTAGGGATTTTCATGACATGGCCACCATTACCGTACTTGTCACAGACCTATCAAGAACTATAACATGAACTATTCGAAATCAAACACTAAAATATCATTTTTAACTAAAATCTAGCTAGTGCTCACGACGGCGACACCATCTAAAACACTTTTTAATATCGTATTCATGAATAAAAAAATTATTGCATGACGGAATACAAAAGTCGAAACGACGTCCGTCCGCTGAACATTGCTTTTTTACTTTTTTTTTACTTAATGTTGCCATGTATATATATTCGAATGCAGAATTGTAAGGTTCAAAATATTTTATAGCTTTTTAGCATTATTTAAAAAGAGTAGATATAACTTAATTATGTAAGAATTCTAATGAAACATATATAAATCGTAATTCGAACCCAACTCTCTCTTTGCTAAAATTTTTATTATTACGAAAAAAATTCAATTAAACAAAATTTTGTCGTACCCCAATATACTTCTACAATCTACATGAACCTAACTCCTATATCCAAAAATAAAAAAGAAGTAGCTTTCTTTGCTGAATTAAATATGAAATGCTCATATAATACCTTGTACATTGTAGATACTCAAAACGGTTATAGCTTTTTCTGGGGACATACATTTGTTATTATATTTCTAAAATGAGTTTCATATTGTTATTCAAAAGTGTAAGTAAAGTATAGTAGTGCATATTATAGAACGTACATCGACGGCAGCCCTAGTAGGTTCTTTTCAAATTTGTTAGGTAGAGAGAAGAGCTTAGACAATGGAGGTGAGCATTTAAGGAGCGTTAGATAGGACCAATTAAACCTACACCTGGTCACAAGTCCCAGGCACTGTTTGAAGCTCCTTTCCCTGCAACGCGATGGACCCAGCACCCGCTCGGTGAATCCATTGGATGCTAAGAGGTTTTGTCTCAATGGGCGGAAATCTTGGTACTAATTTGAACAAGCCACTAAACAATATTTTGAATCTTTTCAGGAACTTCAATAGTTGTTGATTTTAGTTTTATTAGCCCTGATCTGTGCAAGTCTACCTCATTACTTAACATTCTTATATACTACAAAACCATCGGTGTGGTTTGGTTCAAATATTTGTATTAGTATAGGATATAAAAAAAAACAATAATAGGATAAAACGAATTTTATTTAAATGTCGGTATTTGATGAAATCAATACATATCGTATCTTTCGTCAAACAAAGGAATGATATTTGGATGCTAATACGTAAAAAAACTTGGTGAAACTTTTACACCGGACAAAAAATATCTTGTAAATCTTGACGGATATCTGTTTCTACGCTTGTGGTAGATATTTAATTGGACTTCTTAGAATCTTTAGACGGGGAGCGTGATCTTGAACGAGACATGGATCTTCCTTTGGACCGGGAACGAGAGCGGGAACGGCTTCGAGACCGGGACCCGGACCTTGGAGAACGGGAGCGAGTGCGGCGACGGGACCTCGAACGACTGGAACATTAAATAATCATTTAATTATCCTCATAATGTTTATACCTGTGATCTTCACAGCAATATTACACCTAGAAACAGTGCCGGCGTTAGGGGGGGGCGCGATGGGGCGACGGCCCAGGGCGCCAAATTTGGGGGGCGATTAGATACGACCACGTCGTTAGCTCTGGGTCACGCTAAAGGAAAGATGGTAGATGGAATATAGAATTCTTAATACACGTTCAGTGTTCACATTGGTTCAGAAAAAAATTAATACTCGATTTTGATTTCTTCAAGTGGGCGACAAAATATTGTTGTCAGTCCCTCTAACGCCAGCACTGCCTAGAAAGTTAAAACAAAATCGTAACCATGGCTAAGGTTGAAAAACAATTTTCATTGTTGTTTTTAGCACCATATTTGTTCCTAGTAAAATTTTTGTAGCAAAAGTTGAGCAATTCGCATTGAGATGAAGTTTCTTGTGAAAATACTAATGTTCACAGATTACTTGGTATGTTTACTGATTTGAAAGTTATTATCATATATCCCGACTACAAAACTAAATTTTGCGCTTTAAGTTAAGAATGTAATAGAAATATATCATTGCAAAAGTTAAATTGTAATATTTATATATGTAAATTTTATGCCTGGATAACTTGAATGTTGAACTAAATAACAAAAATGATGGATGAATAGTTCAATGATTAAAAAATAATTATTGCATTAATTATTACTAAAAGTGGAAAATTTCCAAATTGACAGAATGATTTAAATAGTTATACATTAAGCATCTATAATATATGATTAACTAAATCATCTTTTAGAAAATATTTGTTCAGTTTTTCTTAGCTAACTATTTTGTCTTTGGAGTTTAAAGCATAAAGATGTTACAAAATTAATTTATAAAGTATGCATTTTTTGTTTTAGCATTTTTATAAATTTTGAAAGAATGTTCATATTAGTTATCTTTTAGATTTCATAGCGTTTTGTTTTATCAATTGTATATAACTAATGAAAATCTGCTGGCAGCTGTTATGTTTTTAAAGACTCATATAGTAGAACTAAACTTTCTTTTACCTAATACCATCAAACACATTAAATGCACCGAATTAAAATGAGAATCATTTAATGTTTTGATATTAACTATAAGAGTATAAAACGATCACATTGCTTCATAACCACATGAACAGAAACAAGAATTTTATCTATACTAAAAAAAATCTCTTCTGTGTCTGACTATAAGAACAAAAAACACTCTACTCTCATACCTTCATCAGGAAAATAGGTACATAACTAAAATAATCCAAAAGAAAGAAGAGCGTCTGCCTTGATCAGAAAGATGGGATAATAATATGTAACTCACTGAGTTCACGCAGTGATTACAAAAGACGTGTGACCTGACGTGAAGTGACGAAACCTGTCGTGACGTGACGTGACCTGACGCGACGCGAAGTACAAACATTATGCTCAGTGTACTTCTCAATAAGTGAAGTTAACACGTAGTCTGTAGGTACGTAGTTCACATATTGAAGTTATAGTCGTAGCTGCCAACATTAGTGTAGTACACGGAGCGAAGTGAAAGCTACGTAGCGCAGATTATAAGGAGTGCAGACACTGAAGAGTTCATTCTCGGCGCACTGGCCAATGATAACCTATAACATAGTTATCATTGGTTTATGTGGATCAGAAGCGGTTGAATGGAATCTTTATTATGATACAGCAACCACCAATTATTGCTTGTCGTCTTGTGTGTAAATTGTATAATTTGGTTATCTCTTATAAAGATTCCATACGAGGATAGCATTTTCATACTTTTCGCCTATATACTAATTGTCACCTGCGACGGCGGCGTCGAGTGCAGTCTCTGGCGTAATGCCCCCGGTCTCCACAGTCATAACACCGGTCGTCGTAGGGCCTCGGTGGTAGCCGCGAGCGCGGAGGAGGTCCGCGGCCGCCGTAGCCCCGACCGCCGTTTGACATTTCCACACGAGCACGACGTCCACATATTGTTCGTCCATCTAAACCTCTTATCTAAATAAATGAACATTTTCAATTATTATTCACTGCTTAGATTACTTACATATATTACTCTCATCCAAAGTATAATATATTTGGTTTTACTCACTGCATCTTCCGCATCCCTAGGATCCTCAAATTCAACAAAAGCGAAACCTGGTGGATTCCTAGCAACCCAAACATTCCTTAAAGGGCCATAATAAGAAAATGCATCTTCAAGTTCAGGTTTACTAGCGTTGTTTCCTAAATCTCCAACATAAACCTTGCAGTCGCCATATCGTGACATTTTACCTATCAGTAAATAAATAAGTAATTAATAAGTATCTATACAATTTAAAATCTAATCTCACGCCATGTTACAAAACTTACCCTAAGCACTGTGAACTATTACAGTAAAATGTAAGGTTTCATTGATTGTTTGTAAAAGTAGGTATCACTATGAAATGAGACGGATTAATTGTTTTATATTCGACAGTCGGTTCACAACACTACGAAACTTATAATATGTAAATTCAATATAATCTTAGAATGTGGAATTGTAGATATCGTTAAAATAATGCGTCTAATCATTAAGCCGCTACCGGATGTCAGGCAAAATGGCCGATCCCCGCGTTTCTTGTCACTAAAATGCTACAAGGTACAAAAATAAAATAAGAATGGGTTAAAGGCAATAAATGTAAATGTGATATTTTGATTTACTATATAAAAAGGGAAAGGTTTTTAAACGCCGTGGAATTTAGTAACACATAAATGTATATTTTTAAATAATAAACAATTTCCGGAAGTTTAACTAACTATGGCAAGTTTACATGTGCTTTTGTGTTAGGCATTAGCAAATAATACATATTGGTGTACATTTTACAAATCATTTTAAATAACCTTGTAATATTTTGCTCTTAATATCAACACTGTGATTTAATCACAAAAAAAGTTTTTTCATTTTCATTGAAGTTTATTTTTATTATCGATTTGCAATATTAAAGATTGCACTATATTATTTTTAACTACTGCTTTTATACAATATGTTAACACACTTTAAGCATACAATTACTATTAATATACATATGTTTAATTGTACTAAAATGGTTCTTCATAATTATATTCTCAAAATTAATTCCTATTAAAGTGGGAATAAAATGTTTGCTACATACATGATTTAATTCCAAAATGTAATTGAGGAACAAAATAATACATAATTATTTTTTTACATATGATACATTAAATAAAAAATAGTAATAATTAAATGAACTGTGTTAATCGTAGATAAAAATAGTTAATTACACCAGAAAAATCTATGTCAGATAAGATTGGAAAAGGTTGTAAGTTAATTAGTTTTTTTGAAAAATAAAAAGAAACGTGCAAGTATCAAATCGTCGAAAATGCAGGCCTTTAAAGGAATACTTTTTTTTAAGGCGTATTCCTTTTTTTTTCTTTGTTATATTGTTATACCGATGTATTTTGAATTACCAATTTTTAATAATCTTATGTATATACTGTATTATACTTTTACAGATGAAACTCGTTGTTTAATAGTTAATATAATATATAGATAGACGCATATATATCTTTGGTATTAAGCGCTTGAAAGAGGTGTTCAAGTGCTACATGAAAGTAACTAAAACCACATTTATTGTAATAATTTTATTCGACACTTGAAGTTACAATGTTACAAAAGTGGTGACGTTCTAAAAGGTTTTCATGTCATTTTAAAATTAAATCATAATTAAACACAATATTATGACAATATTTTTTTTTATTCTATAAAATGTTAAAGTATTTATTGGCATCCCATTTTGTTTGCTAATTTATCATTGAGATCATAATTATTCATTATTTACTACTATTTAATATCAACCTGATACATATTTGATATTTATGAAGTAAAAGTAGTATAACAACACCTACTATACATACAAAATCTAATAATACCTATCGAAGTAAATACAAAAATAACTTTAATTCAATAATCTCACTTAAATAATCATTAACTTAATATTAATTCTATGTATTACGAGTTAAAGCAATATTTCTCAGTGTTTATATAAAAACAATGAATATTAATATATATAAAACACAATAAATCAATATTAACTTTAAACTGCATATTTCAGTAGAGAACATGTTTAGAAAATACAGAATTATTTTTTAAAAAGGTGTTTCTATATAAAAAAAATGTATCAAATAAATTATGTTAATTACATATATATTACTTTATAACATAATCTGTGTGTTACAAGATTTCATTGTAAAAGGCAATTCGGTTTACCTTAATATTTGGGTGTTAATGTCTACTCTATAAATATATATCACAAAGTTAAGTAATTTTTATACATTTTGAGGAAGAATAAAATAAGAATATAAATAGAAAATAAGGCTAAGATATGAATTTGTTGGAAAGCAACACTTTGCCCACTACAATATATATAAATGTTTATTTAGTGAGTTAGATTTTTTTTTACTGTAAGAGTTAAATGTATATCATCTACTACTTCAAGACAACTACAGCAGTTATTACAAATATTCATACAAACAATTTTCAGTTGATAAAAATCTATTTAATACAATTTTTAAGTGTTAAAAAAATTATTATCACTCACAAAGTATACATTGTACATTGAGATTTTATAAATAAATTAGCACTGAATGATTATGTCACTGACAAATCAATACTTACTCTAATACTAAAACCACTTTGTACATTTGAACCATACTCATATTTTCTTTTAATTAAAAAACAAACAATCATGAGTGCAAAATCAATATACTGTCGTTAATCTGACTTCGAAGCAAATTATATTAAACTATAATATGAATAAAATATATCACATATATCAGAAGACGATAAGTTTAATATTATAATGAGAGACCAAAATACATTGCAATCAAAACTCATAGCCCTTCTAAGCTATGCTGTTGAGAGCCATTATCGAAACTTCTACATCATCGTCTCCATGGCTTTATCAAATTGACTTTAGAATCAATTGCTCTAGTCTTGTCATTCATATGCCGACTAGGAAAGAATTAGGCCAAAATTCTGATATGGCTTTATTACGGCAGAGGCTGTCTTTGTTTCCTTTGTTTGCGATGATATGGCTGGAGGTGGGATTCATGATGCATTTCCTTATCCGGTTTTTTCACTAAGTGTGCATTCACAGGATATTTCAAAGATGTTCGTAACTGTTCATTGTGTTCGTCTAATGAGTTTGCAGCATAATGCAGTACAAGTTCATTTAATGTCCTGTAATAGATAATATCTTAATTTAGAATGTGTTTAAACGTGACTTGATATCATTATCATACAAACAATGATTGAAAATAAATTGGTACACAGTATTTAATGATTCGTAATATAATAATTAAGATAAAGAAACAGTCTGATCAGCATATAATAAAAGTTATTCAAATTATACATAATACTTACTTATGAATATTATAAGGTTCTGCAAAACCGTAACCTCTTTCAGTCTTGAAAATTATACAATGATAGACCATATTGTTACAACATATGGAGAGTGCGAGTTGGCCAGTAGAATTTGGTCGAATAAGAAAAGTTCCTTGAGGCTTTCCTTTCAGTAACTTCTCCGCCATATCCCTGGTACAATTTTCCACCATCCAAGTTACCATTTCTCTGTGGGCATATAGTTTTTCTAACTTATGTATATTGTCTTCTTCTAGAGCCTGCAAATATTCTTCAGTTTTCCCCCGTCTTTGTAATAACCTGAAATTAAGAATGTTTAGTTTATAAATAGAAAATTATTTAACATCTTTATAAAAAAGATGTAAAAACATTAATGACTTGTTAGCATTTAGAAACTGTCATAAAAATATTCTTGGTTCTTTTGATGAATAAATAAATAATGATTGTTTTATTTTAAATTTAAGATTCTTAACGTAAAACCAAATGACATGAACTTTTTAATAATGTGAATTGTAGTGAGAAAAACAAAATTCATATGTTGTTAAAAAATTTAAGTAATTCTATATCATATTAAATAAAAACAACAAAAAAAACTATACCATTGGAAAAAAGTGATGTAAAAAAGAGGTTCACTGTCACAATCATAAAAAAAGTTACAAGTATATGAAAAAAAATGCATATTAATCATATAAACCATGCATATGTTAGCAATATAAAGGGAAATGGAGTAATAATGTAAGTGAAGGAATGTTAAATAACTCAAAATTATAAAAAAGAAATAATAACAAGGTGATTTAAATAATTAAACCATTAATGGAATTGAATTAAGAGTATCAAATTTGTTGAATGAGGTAATATTGTTTAATATAAACTGTCATTTAGTGATATAAAGAATAGAATTAAATATTCCTCATGAATGGGTACTTACTTTTTGTAGCGATCTTTTATTTTATACAAATTGATGATTTCCGATTTCAGTTTGGTTATTTCTCTTTCCAATAATAAATTAGATTCAACTGTTTCTCTAAGTATATTGTGAAGTTGAGCTCTGGCTTGTTTAAAGCTGTTTACTTTTGATATAAGCTGTCTATTGTTTTCTATAAGATCATTCTTTTCATGTGGTTGAGCTTCTGACTGCATCTTCTCTTGAAGTTTGAGATGGTCCTCGCATACTTTCACCGTTTCTTTGAAAGCATCTAAAGCTTGTCTTTTGAATTTCACTTCTTCCCTGAGTCTCATATATTTGTCTGATCTTTCATCGTAGTCTCTCGTTTTCAATACAAATTCTTTATGGATGTTTTTGTACCGTGTTTCTAATGTTTCATCACTGATGTTTTCACCTACATCATTTTCTTGATGCCTCGACAATGGGTACATAAGCTTGATGTTCAGGCTACTATTGCAATGCTCCAGTGAATATTCCGTATAAAATCTAATAAGATCGACAATTGAGTTGAATTCGAAAGGTTCACAGAATCCGTAGCGGCCATCTTGATAATAAATTTTTATTAACTTATTGGTACCTCCCTTTCTTACAGTTAATGTGTAACCATTGTCTTTATTGGAAGCATTGCGGACAAGGAAGGTACCATCACTTGTGTCTTTGAGTTTTTCATTGGCTTCATCTCTGTAAATAGTTATATTTCATCAACCTTTTTATAAATAAAAATATATAGAAATATATGAAAGTATTTGAGAAGTTTTTCAATACTAATTGTTCTATAGATAAGCTTACTTGAAAGTTACATTAAGTTACCAGCCATTAAATAAAGTGTTGTGAACAGGGAATAATACAAAGGATTTTATTTATCTTAAAAAAAGATATATTTTAAATATGAAATTTGTTAACACTTTAACAAAAGTAATAAAATGTATTAAGGAAACACTCACTTCAGTGGTAACCAATACCCTTTTTTTTTCTAATTACTCATGCATAAAACTTCAACTGATTAAACTGATTCAAATGGATGCAATTATTTATCATATTTTTATTAAGTTCAATAAGTAAGTATTGAGCAATACTTTACCTAACTTCATAATCAAAATTGTATTAAAAGAATACACTTATTTTTGATATTCAAGCGACGAAATAGAAATATTGTCTCAATTTTGTTCACTTACCTGGTAATGTCACCCCAATACCATTCGGCGTTTTCTAAGCTATCGTCGGCGGATTGCTGAGGAGCACCTATCTCCACCATTATACCAATATTATCACTTTAATTTATTCACTTAAAAGTAAGCAAACATATGAATACAGTTTGAATCAGCGGGTTTCAATCACTTCCGCTTGATTGAGGTTACGATGCAAATATATCATAATATACGCTTTTATTCATCACCATAAACATTTACCGACAATCATAATGACTACACGAAACTAAATATCACACAAGAAAGTAGATTATAGGTACATATTAACTTTAACCTGGTTTGAAATTCACAAAGGAAAAAGCTAGTTACTAGTTAGGTTGTCGAGTTGCTATGGCTGACAGACAAGTAAAAATCGTTCTTATTCCTATTAAAAATGAATATGTGCAATAAAACATAATACATGTTTATATAAACATTATCACTGATTACACATTTTATTAAAATTAAGCCGAATGTTATTAAATTTCTAGAAAACTTTACGCCATTCAGTCTTGAATAAAACCATATCTATCAAATTGATAGACTAGCTACTGATCCAGTATAGATAATAGGGTTGAAGCATTTGAAAAAAGAATCGATAGTTCGATATGAGTACAACATCGATATTTTTGTAAAAAAATATTATTCTTAAATTATACTTAGTTTTCATTATTAAAATCAAATAACATTGTGAAATAGTTTTTTAAAAATAAATAATATACAGATTAAAAATTTATTACACTTAAATAAAATTTGTTGATATTAATTTAATGAACAAGAGTACAAATGTATAAAACAAAGAATTTCATTAATTTTTCTAGTTAGAACTGTTTTTAAATATGTTGATAATTTATTATTAGCGAGGGTTGTAATGATAATGTTTATAATTAAATTACTATTTTACAAAACATAACAAATCGTTGAGTTACGTTTCGAGTTGAATCGGAAAATCGATTTTTGTTTCGATTTAGAAACTTTTTGAGAATATGTTATATGTTTTTATAAATTGGAATTGTATATTATTAAAGTTACATATCTTAGGTTTCTAAATACCCTTCAATGTTGTTATATTTATGAAATATGTCCAACTGTTCCTTTTAATATTCAGATTTATTAAAAAGTTGAACTGTTTAAATAGAGTAATACGTGAATACTGCATTGTATATTCTTTTATGTATCAGTATCATAATCATAATATCAGAGAAGAAGAAGATTCTAGATATAGATATTAGAGAATAATCTGGTTAAAGAACATTTCAATAATTTGAACTGAAGTTTTATAGCAACTTTTTATGAATACAGCGCGTCCCATAAGTCCTTTGAAATTTAAAGTTCGATTAAATATCAAACAGGGTGGGGGGAAGGCCTCGACAGTCTTTCGAAGGAAGTCGTTAAGGAGCAATTCAACGGACCTAACCGTGCTTTTTTGTGTGTATGAGTTTTATTGCAACAATAATTTCACACACGCTTAAAGACTGTCCCAATGTCCCAATGAAATGCGGCCACCGCATTTCACACACGCTTAAAGACTGTCCCAGCATCCAAACGATTGAGTATTGTGTTAAAAAGTTCAGGCGACTGGTCGACCAAAGACATCACGGACGGATGAAAACATTGACGTAGTGCTAGAGGCAGAACGCGAAAATTTTACTCAATCTATTTGTAAGCGTTCCAGAGAGTTATATACCTAGCCAGATCAACGCTATAGCGCATTTTAAAGAATGATAACACAACTGATCCTACCAATACTTAATTTCGTGAATGAATTTGTTTAACAAGGTGCTATTTTCTGATTAGGCTCACTGTCACCTCAAAAGCCATGTCAACGGACAAAATTGTCGGTACTAATTTTGCGTAAACACACGTTGCAAACAGCAGGGGCCCTTACATAGCCCTAAAGTCACTTTTTGGGTATGGGTGGCAATATCAGCACATGGCGTTATAGACCCATACTTTTTTGAGAACTAACATAGTCGTGTAGTTACTGTTACTTCGGAGTGGCAATAATCGAGAATTTTTAATATGATTCTTCTATAATGTAAATTACTAAGCAATAAATAAAAATTTCGTATCGTTCATAGTTCTTTAATTTTTTTCAGTTCAAAGGTCTTCAGGAAAATTCATCAGTATAATGTTTAGCAAATTAAATCCTTTTTATGGCCATTAGTCAATTCTTATAATAATAAAAAAATATTTAAAATTAACAAAAAAATAATTCCCAAGCAATAGATATTGTGTGTGTGTGTGTGATATGTGTATATTCATGTTTTGAGTATCGAGAAAAGCTAAACACAAAGAGGTAAATGATTTTAAACAATTAAAAAAGTGAAATTGTTTAGTCCTTGAGCTTAACTTTGTTGAAGAAACCGTTTGCCTAGTCGAATTTGTTTGTTCTATATTCATTGTATTGATTACTAAAGATTACTTACATTGTTTTGATTACTTAGAGACATCTTAAATATATTTTAATTTCAGACTTTTTACAGATAGTCTTCCAGCTACCGTACACTCTTGTCTGACAAGGGGTTGGAACTATTAAAAATGTCTGGCTACTAAGTAAACATCATCCACTCATTACACAAGTATCATGTATAAAAATCCGATCTAATACTATAATGTGAGTAAAATTATAAGAAACTTATTGAACATTAGGGGGGTCTGGCAAGGGGTGGCCACTATGTTAAGTGTCTGCCAATGAATAAGGTGATTTTTAATAACATTCTGAAGGTACCTAATAAAAAAATATAGCTCTTTATAATTTGATGAAATAATGTGTCCTACACACCTTTAGTAGGTACCGTTTATCAACCAAAGCCACTGGAACCCAATATTCAGAATGGGTTATCCTTTTCACCTGTTCTAGAAGCATGCACTGACAAACTTTCAGCTTTTGTAAAGTGACGAAGGTCTTCGGCTCACGACTCTTTGGCTATTACGCGTTGTTGTATGCTTAGATATTAACGTGGTTTTGGGAATTAGCAGAATTTGTTTTTCGCATTTTCTATAATTTTGTTTAGGGTTTTTAAATGCTTCTATTATTTTTATAAGTTTTTACCAACAATAACAACGGCCCAAAGATGTCAATATTTCTGTCTGTACTTTCTTAAGCAAAACAAATACAAGTGTGAAGAGTACTCACATGTAGATTTATCCCTATCATTACGAGTAGCTCGTATCGATATCTTCGACATTTCTAATATAGTCAGAATAAATTTTTAGGCAAATCGAATGGAAAGAAACAATATAGCAAATTTTCATTATAATTACTTATTTCATTTGAAATTTATACCTTTAGGTGTATACTAATAATGTTGGGTGTTTTCAATGACTCCATATTCCGGACACTTTGGTTAAGTTGTTAAATCCTTGAGGTAATAAAGTTATTGAAAAGTCCAAATTAATAAGAGTATTGATTAAATTAGGTAACAAGCGACGTAAAAAACTTCATTTGGCGAGATCAATTAATAAGTACATGTTCTTTGTTGTTATTTAATTTTTTTCCTGAAATTGAAAAAATATAAGACAATATATTACAGATTCTTTTCTCGACTCTACATCTCTATATAAATAGTTGTTTGAGGAAGCGTGGGAAATTTAAATATTTTGCTTTGGTAGATGAGTTACACTATAATAAGTATTAGTACTGTTTCAAGTGAAGTCTTTTAGAAATTCATGGACGTTTCAATAGAAAATTTTGTGTAGGGAAAGAAAGAACATTGATACGTGTAGGTTAAAATTATAATTCAATTAATGAATTTCTTACCTACGTGCTGATTGAAATGACGATGTCAAAAGATATTAGAGTTCTCACAATACCTATTGATTCGATCACGCAATTCTATTTTAACAATGAATGTTTATTTATTAAATAATGATCTTTATTCATTACTGCACTGATTGTCGCGGAGTGATTATCCTCTAGGTATAGTTATAGCAAAATCATTTTAAGTCTAAACTGAAAATCATATGTGAAACATAGCTTTCATTCTGTACTTTGAATAAAAAACATGTCGGCTGGAATGTAAGTATATTTTATCGTTTTAATACCTATTATTGCACTATATTTTGCTCTACTTATCTTAATTAAGAGCACGTCAAGTTTATTTTGATTTCCAGTGTACTAATTGTTGGAGCTATCGCCTTTTCTGTATTTTGGACGATAAAATTTGTAACTGAAATTTATCACGCTACTACACAAAGCTGTAATACTTCTTCAGTTAACCAGTCAATAAATGTGACACCGACTGGGTTTCACTCGGACTTTATACAGTACACAGAATAAATACCTGTATCTGGTACGTCTTCACATCTGATTATAGTCCTATAAAATCATAAAATGTATAAGTAACGTAGAGAATCGTTACTCGCACTATAACTCAGCTTTAATTACTTCATAACATTCATATTTTTCCACTGACTTATACGGTAAAATTTATACATTTCAGATTTCTATTGACTGGAACAATGATATACTTCTTGTATTGGTACACAGGGCAATTAAGAAAAAAGTATAATTTATTTAAGTTTGACGATTATGATAATGTACCAAATGATCTCGTAGGATGGGCCGATATTAATTCGACCGACGATGTTGGAACGACCTTGAATATTTAAATTGTAGTTTATGAAACACTAATAGTACCTTAAACTGTTTTTTAATCAAAGATTATCTTATAATATTGTTAAAATTTTCTTATTATCATGTCTAATTTGGGAATTATATAAAATTGTATTTGGTTTAGTATTTACATTTTGTTATGTGAGTTGTGTATTTCATGGTTATGAAAAAAAAAACGAAATAATAAAGGCTAGTACCCTTGATACATTTATTTCTATTACATCAACATCTAGTGTTGTTCGTTGTAAAAAAGTGTGCATTTATACATAATCTATTACGTTTATTAAATATTAATATCAATCAAATTATATTTATAATTTATAAATCAAGTGTGATATTTTATTGAAATTATTTTGTATTGCTCCGAGACAATTGAAGAGCTTACATGATTTTTTTTTCTCTATAATATAAAGAATTACGTCATGAGAATGAAGCCTTAGATTAAATTTAAATGAAAAAATTAATTAAGTCAACATGTCATCAGATAAATCCTTAGATATTATATCATTTGTACCCGTAACATTAAGTACATTATAATAAGTTGAACACATTCTATTTAATTGCCTACTATGAAATACAGATTTTGTGACGTATATATTTTTTTATTACAATATTGTGAAGTTACGTAAGTTATTTCTTATTTACAGCCTAACATATTATCTAATTTCGAGATTTCAGCATACAAAATGATTTCAAACTATGTATTAGATGAAATCTTAAATTGTACGTATACATTTAATATCTTAATATATATATCACTATAATTCTTTACATGAATTTATACAATAATAAACCTTACAGAACAGTTCAATACTAACAATTATACTATTTTTTTTATCTTGTTTCGCTAATAATATCTCATATTATTTTATCATCTGTATTTCTTTCTCTTTTTTAATTGTAACTTTTTTAAGTTGTCTATTAAATTTGATATAGCCAATGTATCGTTTTATAACGACTTATAATTTTTTACCTTTTGAATTTTTATTCTTAGAATAAATTCCGTCAATACCTTTCCCGAACGGAGATTCAGCGTTTGTAGTCAGATAATAAGAACCTTGAGCACTGAAACGAAATAATTGACAACATTTATTAAATAAATAAAATACATGAATAAAAATAAATATGTACATATAATATTTTTATTTTTAATGTAAAAAAATATGTTTTGAAGATGCTACGAAGTTTGTGAAGAGATTTAAATTCTGACAATTAGTCACTATTTTGGCTAACATTTATTTTGTAACAAAAATATAAATGAGATAATATTTATATTTATGTTTTCTCTATAGTTACGTTTGCAAAAAAAACTGCACTTTATAGGGTAGTATTTAAAGTAGAAGTTCCTTTATCACCTAGTATCACAGTTAGCTCCCATATACACCATACCAACTTCAGGGGAGGGGTTTTCTCTGAATTTATGGTACGAGTCAGCGGGCGAGGCTGCAAAGGCCTCCGGATTTCTTATGGATTCAGCGTAGAACTGCCACGACCTCCAATGGCTGCATAAATCTAAAATTTAATACTAATATGTTAATATTTGCAAGCATAGTATTCTTTTCATAATAGAATATTATCCACGGTTTGATGGATGGAGTTTCAAAGATTTGACAAGAACTATCATCATGAGAAACTTGTATGACGAGAAAGAATGGGAATGTTTTGCTATAAATAATTAGTTTAATAATATTTAATAAACAGACGAATTAGTCTTGCGTTATTCATAATATATATAAATGTATTCGCATAAGTTACAAAAGGTCTATAAATATAAATATCTATACATACTGTCGTCTGAAAGGGGTATTGGTGCGAATCGAGGGCATCCCGGTTGGACACTTTTCCCTCCATTTGGCCAGAAGTCAGCTGTTCCAGTTCTGACGGGGGCTCCGTACCCTCCAGCATCAGTGTGTATAACGTCAACGAACTCCGCGTCTTTATCTGTCACGTGTTCCATTACTACTCCGTCAGGATAGAATGCTGGGAATGCCGGATCTAATGCTGTCAATCTATAAAAGTAATAAAATGATACGTTATTATAATTATAAAATTTGATTTAAATCAGTTTAATATTTGACTGTATAAGAAACTTGTAGGTTACAGTTTTATAGCTTGGTTTCTTAAGAAGTTATTAAAAAAATGTATTATTTTGTATCTGTTAACTCTAAATATTATTAATAAGCATTTAGAGTAAATATTTTATATAAATGGTATTCTTAAAAAAGGTAGATTTGAAGAGAAAGCTGTGCGTTAATATTTTTGAAAATAAAATGTTTATATTCAATAATATATTTATCTTTTTGGATCGTACATTCAGCTTGGATATTTAGTACCGCATTTTTCTTAATTTTGAAAATGACATCATCCATTTTTTGAAAAAACTTTTGTAAATATTTGTATATCAGGAAATTAGCCTGTTTATATCTTAAAATGACTAAGTATGCACACGGCATGGTTATACTTATTTAATGTAATGATTGATGAATGAATAAATATCAATAAATATTACGAGATCGTAAAAATATTTTTCCAACATATCCAAGTAACAATTATGGTAATTATAAATGTATGTATGTATCTTACATTTCTATCTCATGAAATATATTTATATATTACGAATATATTTCTTACTGTAATATTTTATAATTATAAATAATAAAGTTTTACCTTTTAACAGTTTTGTTATATTTGTTTTTGAGTTCCCTCGACAAATAACCAGCAACGTGGCTACCCAGGGAGTGTCCAATGATTTGTAACTTTTCTAAAACCAGTCCTGTTTCGATTAACCTATTCAATTGTGCTGCTACTGCTACTCCAACCTGATAAAACATTCATATGATTACACGTGGATTAAGCTAATATGATTTTCTATAGATTTGTTACCTTCTTTGTATTTCTGGCAGCATTAAGTAAATATGACCCATGAGACATATTAGACCAGTCCAATAGAATCACGTTAATATCTGGTCGTGCTTCTAAATACGAGTTGACCATGACCTGAAGAAAATTATATGATTGTGAAATGAATAGCAATTTTAACAATTTTCCCTATCATTATATATAAACGTGTTCGTTTTTGTGTAAATTGTAATCATTATGTCGTCAACATGGTATTATAGACCATAATATGGTAAAAATGTATTTTAATATCAGTGCGTTATGGTCTTAGCCCTGTGCTGCGTAATTGGGTTTGCGTGATAGAGGCTAAAATTACATGATTAAATTTTTAAGTAAAACTAATATTTTCGTATAATAATTATTTAAAACTACATCTTTCGCTGTTTCGGTTACTTAAAAACAACTGTGATCACGGAAAAACGAGATGAAAAAGTACTTTTTCGCGTAGTAATCCGAAAATATACATTTAATTTAAATGAATGTGTGTGTTTTTTGTAGCTATATACATGGTATTTATGGTGGTTCAAACAGATATGTTCTGCCCTCTTAAAGAAGAATCAAGATATCTTCATAGTTAGTCAAGATATGTATATACATAAAATAGCTACTACAAATTATACCTATTGTGGGAGCCCTAATCCCCTTGCCATTTCAGTTCAAATTCTATAGTCCCCTAAGGTAACTGCACACCGGGAACAACATAACAGGTTTCATTTACCATCTGCTCGTTTAGCACATTTGAAATTTACATAAAAATATGTAAAAAAAATATTTTTACTTTACGCTGTTTATTTTTAGTTTAAGCTAAGTCTAAGCAATATTTAAATCGCCGGAGAAGATAATAGTATGTATAATTTTTGACAATTACTAATTTACATTAATAAGTTATAAAAGACATAATATGTTATTATTGCGAGAATAATTACCCTTATAATAAACTGTTAGTGACCTTAAATTTATTTGGTAAGGCTATCTAATGTTTTATCTGTGAAACTGGTCATAGGAAGGTTAGCTTAAAGTCCATTATGGTAAGTTTTAAAACAAAAAATGCATATTAATGCACGTGCATATGCTTATAATTAAACACGTATGTACTTCACGTGCTTGGTTTTTTTAAGAAAGCAAATTTTTAGAAACGAATTTTAATAGCTGCCTATTCGAATAAACAATAATAAGGAAGTTTCTAGAATTAATATGTATCGACTTAATTTTATTAAAAATATCATCATATTAAAATTAATTTAGACAATAACAATTTATATTTTTATTTATAATGTTTTAAAATCAATAACTTGATTGTTTATTTGACATTAATACCTTTATAAGTAACAGAATGAAATAACATGCTTGACTTATTTCTCAGAAGGTTACGTCTTGAATGGAATCATGACATGAAGGCGTAATAACGTTTACACGTATCATGTTATGTTGCAAAAACAAATTTATTCTCGTGTTTTTATTTTGAAAACTATTGTACCTTGAATATTATTAGTCTTATTGTGTAGTGGACATTAAATTTTTTCTTTGTCTTTTTTTTATAAAACACATCAAAGCTGCATTAATCTTGGGACGTAGCCTTCGTAGTAAGCGATTTTGACCGTGACAAAACCCCTACTTATGAAAGTCGTTTGGAATTGATATGCTATTTTTTATTTGTCCTGGTTTAGACATCCAAGGCGGAAATAATTGTGCCGTTTTTAATCTGTTCCGGTCTTTGAATCTGACTAATTTTTTTAGGTGTACAAATAAGGACTTTTTAGTTTTTATGTAGGTATAAGTCTTTTTGAACAATACTGCCAATTTTTAGCTGGATATATTGTAACATTTTATTTTTTGGTATAATTTCACGGGTTATTTAAGTTGAAAAATTAGATCGCGTGTTTCTTGAGCAAAAATGTTTAATTAATATTTTGTAGCAAAGCACAATAAATCATGATATCTCATAATGTCCACTCGTTAACAAGTATAGGTAAGTGAAATATTAAGAAGAAAAAAGGTATATATTTTTAAAAGGAAAGCATGTTTATTGTTACATATTTACTCTTGAAATACGCAGTCAATCTTTCTAACGTTTCATTGCCACTAAGACCTTCATAACTTATATCGAATATGCGCCATGGTTTTACTTATAGTATTTTTATTTCTATCGTATTGTTTCTGCAGTTCTGGTACTCCAAATAAGTTTAAAAATTTGACTCACTAAATCCAATTAATAAAAATACGTGATAAGATTGATTTCGATATTTTTGGCAACAAGTTTCTAGTTAAAATGGTAAAAGTTCATCATAAAAACATTTTTATTTAGGGACCTAACTATTTGTGCCCTTATAACGAATCTTAATCTATTTTAGTAAATGTAATGTCCAAGTCAATAAGAAAAAACCTCTTTATTATGAGCTACCTGTTATCCCAATAATAGAACTGTCAGGTATTAAATAAATTTTACATCATTTGAACAACGGTGCATGAACTAAACTAAAGCTTCAAAATAAAACATAACCACAATGAACAAAGACCGTCCAAAAAATATTAAAGTTGAAAAGTAATTATCTAATTCAACGAAAATTAAAAATAAAATGTGATGTGTGAAAGAATAAATAAGAAGGTATTTATACTGATTTAAAACAAATTATGTTTTTGATGATATAATCTTCTATGAATTAATAATGTCTGTGGTTCCAAAGAAATTAGTTTTAAATAAAATTGGGTCGCTTACTTATATGAGAGTGGAACACGCCATAGTTTTAAGTAGTTTTTTATCTAAATTTAATTTTGTTTTACTGCATTCATTTTGAGCTGGAGCTAATTTTACTCGAAAATATTTCTATTAATTTGTTTGGCGTATTATGTTGATAAAAATTAGTTTTATTTAATACTTAAAGCACTTATTTTTAATTAAAATAGCGTTGTACGATTTTATTTCCATAACATGTTCTTAATTGAAATTATAATTAATATTATGCAGAAATTAATGGGTTATTGTTTCAAGTAAATTATTTTATACTGTGAAATAATTTAACTTTTTTCTTCTTTGCTATGATGTTCGTTTTATAATAGTGATGTGCAAAATTATTACAATTATACCTATATCGATAAATACCGATTTTTAATACAGCCAGTTGATATTAAAATTTTATATAAGCGTATTATAGTTCAATGAGGAATAATGTAGAAACAATTTAAATTAATGTAGCATGGTAAAATAATATAGTAAAGATTAAAAATTAATTCGTTACCTGCACGCTTTCTTGCTGAGCTGTTTCTATGAAGCCGTGAATGTAAATAACTGTGGGGTTACCATTATCAAAACCTTTTATTTCAAACAAGCGCGTGACTTGATGTAGTGGCAAATCCACGTATTCATTCAGCGTATTTCTGTAATAAAAATAAAGAATCATAAAAATTTATATCTAATATGTATAATAAAATTATATAATAGTACATTGTAATTCCCCTTAATCAAAGTTGCTGAAGTGTAATTTTAAAGTTTGGTAAAAAGTAAATATACGAGACCTAAATCTAAAAACACGTGGATTATATTAGAAACACACAGAAATATCAAAGAATATTCGTTTAATTGTGTTATATACTTAAATTACATATATTTATTGTCAAAATTAGAAAGTCTTTGTAAAAAATGTAAGTGGAATAATCTACGTAGTTTGTGGATTTGCATTTTTCTTGTTAATCCGACGAATATATATTTGATTCCTATTAACATATCTAAATTAGCTATATTATCAAGTTGATAGTTATAAAACGCCAGCTTGTAAGACCAAATAGCAAGAAAGTTAAAGGAATTGTAATTTATTATTACAATCTGTCACGCAAAAGTGATATTATGAAAAAAATTGTAGACCTTAAAAGTCTTATTTAAATTGTAATAGCGGTTGGTTCTATAGAAATAGCTTTTGTTTATTTACTATTGTAAAAGGCATTGTGTCTGTCTGTGCTATGTACTCCCGGTCGATAATATCTCCATTGTTACTGATGGTTTAACATAATTGTATTAAAATATTGTAATTTTGAACCATAATTATTATGAATACAGTTTATGTAGCAACGTCATTATTTTCTTTAGATTATTTATTAATAATGAAATGATCTGTAATTATAAGTAATATAAACGAAAGTTGGTTTAAAATATATATATAAATATACATACCCATTATAAAAACGTAAATAAATGTCTTCGATCCTATTGGTTCTGTCTGGCAAAATACCTGGAAAAGTGAGAAAAATAACCTAAAGTTATAATATAGATCACGTTTAGAACTTATCAGGAAGTTTTAATATTTAAATGCTAGAAACCTGATTTAAAATTTAAACTTAAAATTGGCTCTTCTAATAAGTTTCCGTTCACGAAATAACACATTTTTGTGATTGTTAAAATAACAAAAAACACATTCATTGTTATGAACGTTAGAATTTATCTGGTAACGTCTTTATATCTTGGATGTTACGTGTAATTTAAAACCATTACGGTAAACCTCACTTTATACTTAGAATAAATTGGAATCACAATTTAAACATGTAATAATTTAATAAATCATGAAGATACGATCTTAAAACTTGTTTATTTTTGTTTTTTTTTTGCTATTCCGCATTCATAAGAAAATCAGAGGAATATTTATAAGAAATACAATCAAGACAATAAATCGATTCTTGATTAATATGCTCTTTGAAATAAGCTTGTCAATTGAAAATGTATAACTGTTTGTGAGGATATAGGATTTATTACTGTGGCTTTTTCACTTAAACACCTTAAAATTTATTTCGTCTGAAATTCAAGTATTGTATCTCAGACATTGAAATTATAGATAGGTCTTTATTTATCCCCATAAATCCATGTAGGGAATGCTACTTAAATTGATATCTTGCAAGAAATCATATGACGCAGACAAAAAAAGCATTATTAATTTGTCTCTAAACTCAATTGAACAGTTTACATGGGTGAAGTCGAGGGCATAAGTTAGTCTTATACACGTGTAGTAAGATTCTGTATCAAATGAATCAGTGAGGATGAAATTTATTAGCGAGACTAAAATTACAGATAAGGTTAATGTAGATGAAAATTAGAGATCATGCTTTTTACATACATATGTTAGGGATCAAACAAAGACATTTTTTAACATCTACAATTAATTAATTTCAAATAATTTTTTAATAATAATGTAATGATATCAAAGAAACTAATATTTTTGGGTTACTATGCGTTTTTAAATTAATTTGAACTACATATTCCCGACGTTTCGGTTACTTTGGAGCAACCGTGATCACAGACGGACGAGATCATTCTCATATAGTAGTAATCCGAAAATATAAGTTTTATTTAAATGAATATTCGCGAAAGTTCTACATCTCATTAAAATAATCATAGTTTGTTTATTCTATGACTTATTTTATAGTTTAATGTTGCATATATCTAGATAACACTGAATGTTTGGAAAATTGAAAACGGCTTAATGTAGAAAGTTGCCAATACTTTCATTGTTTTTTGAAGTAATCTTCATTTCTCTCTACACATCGTTGCATCCGATGGAACCACTGAGAAAATCAGTGGACTCATTTTTGTAGAAACTGTCTTTCTATCTTCTGATACAACTGTCGCAGAATGGCCTTCCCAACCAAAGAACGAAGTAATGATCTTTTTTCCTTGACTTCTTCCTTTCTTAACCTTAGTTGACCGATTTTTTAAAGGAGGCAACCACTGAGCTGATTATCTTTTGTTTTCGAGTTTATATATATGTCCTGCTTTCAACGTCTGTGATGATGTCCAATACATCATTTGAGTCACCGCCATTGAAATTATCTAACATTTAATTACACCAGTTTATCCAAAGGTGTTTCTGATTGTCGGTTAAAGTAAGGAATCCATCCATCTGATACAAAGCTTCCTGACGCCTTAATGTTCGTGTAATATTTTTGAACTTGACTCATACCAATGCATAGGCTTGCCCTTATTTGCTGATATGTCACTCTCTTATCTTCCTCTATCACGCGTCGTACAGCCCTGATGTTATCTTTAGTAATCGCTAAACGGATCATCACGCGGATCATAATTGAGAGTTGAGATTTCTACGTTCACTCATAAACCCGTTAAATCTTCGTTGAATTCAAAATTGGAGCTTCATTAAGAAATGCTAATCGAAGCCTATCATCATAGCTTTGTTGTTCAGTAAGCCCACAACGAAAGTCATAATAAGTCATTGACCATAGTCATAATAAGTCATTGACCATAGTCATAATAAGTCATTGAAATTTTACCTGCGCTAGGTCCATTTTCACTTTTAACAAGAGTTTTAGATTTACCGGCCAATTCAAATAAAGCAAGTGACAAATTAATGCAATTATACCTACTACATTAGGTTACAAAGAGTTCTAAAATTTAAATTTAAAATCTATTCGTTAGCAAAGTTTAATGATATATGACGCCTTATAATATAAGACTGTTTTTGTAATGACCAATCTGAATAGTAATGTATTTAAACAAAATACTTAATCCCTATTAATATTATAAATGCGAAAGTAACTCTGTCTGTCTGTCTGTCTGTCTGTCTGTCTGCTACGCTTTCACGCCTAAACCACTGAACTGATTTTAATGAAATTCGGTACAGAGATAGAGTTGACCTTGAGAAAGAACATAGGATAGTTTTTATCCCAGACTTTTGAAAGGTTCTCTTGGAAACGCGATATAACCGAACTCCACGCGGCGAAGCTGCGGGCGGAAAGCTAGTATTAAATAAAGTTAAATTTTTGTTCGGTCAATCACTTCTACTATCAGAAATGGTTAAATATTTAAACCATAATATTTATTGGAGCACAATTTCGTGACTTGAAAATCAATTGTTTCACAGGTAGAGTATTTCTGGAACGTCTGAAAGATTCCATTTCGAAATTATATACAAACATACTTTGTTATCATAACTGAGACGTTTAATTCTTAGTATAATAATACAATTATTAGCTTCATACAATTCAAATCTGGATTGAAGATCAAATTTTAGCAGATTTCGGAAAAAGCTATTTATAAAAAACACTTCAAACTTTTGAGGTCTCTTTTTTAATTTGTAAGTAACTACTTCAAGACATTTCACATTACTACTATATTATTTGACAACTAACTAAATCATTTGCTTAAAAAGTTTTAACTACTTGCTAATATTGTTAAAAGTTCATTTTGTAACTCATACTATATGTATGGGTTACATATTATTAAAATTAAAAAAACATATATTTAATTTTGATTCTTTTAAATGTTCAATTATTTATCGTTATCGTTTCACATTTATCAGTTACACTATCGTCAGGGGTTGGACTACAAAAACAGAGAACCCGAAACATTTGTTTTTATCGAGTAAATTTCTGTACCATAAGTGCTAGTTCCGGTAGTTACTTTAAAACCGACAGTTAAAACGTTTTTCGTTATAAATCGAATGCTCCTAAACAGTTGGTATTCATGCAGCCGATAGGAATTCTTACTAATTGTACCGTTTTATCATTCACGTGGCCTCTGATGTTTGATAAGTTCATACCATTATTTATGATTTAAGATTATTATATTTTATAATTTACAAACATACATAAATCTTAGTATTTGTCATTTGTTACACATTATCGCGTGTTATATGTTATGCTTGATAAATATTTGACATCTGAATTCTGACGACGAAACAATATTTTAAAACTACGAGTATCTCTCTCAATTGTTTCGTATTGTAAGATAAAATAGGACTAGTATTTTAATAGTACAATGTACATCGGGAACAAAAAATATATTGTTGCTTTTTCCGAGAAGATTTAATAGCACTATAAAATTGTACGATTTTCTGAATATGGGTAGAAATTTAAATCCAAATAATTTTTTCACGAGTTCTCTGCAGGTTTTTCCTATATCAAACAAGTACTTGCGCCGGTAACGGCGTGACCTAAATACCATGATTAAAAATTCAGTTTCTTAACTTCCAACGAACTCTGATTTGAACAACAGAATTTTTAACTTTGTTATCGATTTAATATGAATGAAAATAAAAGTTTCAAAGTGAAATTTCCTGTAACAATTTACACGGTTCCCAAAATATATGTATAGACATTTTATAATTATTACACCAATTCGAATTTATACACATTATTACATATTAATTCCATAAACAATTTATGATCGGAGCGCAAAATAACAGAGTAGGGTTAGGATCAAGTAGGAAAGTCCAAGATACGGATATATTGAAGTCTTTTATTCGGCAAGACGAGAACGATAAATACAAGATCCATGCAATGAGTTTAGAAATGCAGAACGAGTGGTTAGACATAGGAGATTTTTGCATTCCACTAGCACTAAAATGGCGCACCCTAATTCATGACTGGTCGCCAGCCTTGCTAAAATTTTATCTCAATGCGTTCCAGATGACTCTCCCAGATCAGAGTAATTTAGTAAGATGGGGTAAAGGTACCGAAAAAACTTGCTATATCTGCGGAAAGGCAGTTGGAACTGCCAAGCATTTGCTGGTGGGATGTAGGGTTCTCCTGGACAGCGGTCAATACTCGCGTCGTCACGATAGGGTTTTAGAGATCATACGTGAAGCGGTTAGTCTTTCGGTAGCCAGAGCGCAAAGGGAAATAACCACAAACGAGCGATCAATAGGTTTTGTGAGAGAGGGCACCAGGGCTATAAAATCAAACGTCAAGCCTTACTCTATCCTTAAAGCGGCTTCGGATTGGACTATCATGATGGATACGTATGAGAAACAATACAAAATCCCCGAGGATATTTGTGCGTCGGCCTCCAGACCAGACATATTTCTATATTCGCGTATTTTAAAGCGCGTTGTGATGATAGAGCTTACGGTGCCTTGGGAAACCAACATCCCCAAAGACCATGCCATCAAGGTCAATAAGTATTACGAGCTCACTAACGAACTAACTCGAAATAGGTTCGTCGTTGATTTGTACGCGGTAGAGGTGGGAGCGAGAGGTATAACAGCTAAATCTCTCTATAACCTACTAAAAGACTTGGGCCTGTCCAGAACTAACATTAATTCATTCTTAGAACGTACGTCGAAGGCAGCCCTAGTAGGTTCTTTTCAAATTTGGTTAGGTAGGGAGAGGAACTTGGACAGTGGAGGTGAGCGTATAACGCGCGTTAGTTAAGGGGCCCCTTAAACCTACACCTGGGTCGCAAGTCCCAGGCACTGTTGAAGCTCCTCTCCCTGCAACGCAATGGACCCGGCACCCGCACGGTGAATCCATTGAATGCTAAGAGGTTTCGTCTCTGTTTTTTATGTGATCTATTTAAGACAAGTTTCATAAAGAGTCAAAACATTAATGAAAACGTATAGGAAAGATGAAACTTTTAATAAATAATCTATTAATTTTTATGTATATAGATTGTAAATCATAAAGAAATCAATAGTCCGTGTAGATGTAAGCATAAACCGTAATTATGTACATATATATTGTGTGTATAAAAAGCTGTCAGATGCAATAAAAGAGATGCGTTTATCGATTCGCTTCGGGCTTCCACTAGCGGTTAATTGATACTCCATAGTGACGTTGATGTTGAGATTTTTTTCTAGCAATTATAAAATTTCCATATATCGAATATAAAAAAATAACTGTACATAGCTTCTCTGATTGAATACATACATGAATCAATTTATATATTTTTTAAATTTTATAATACGCATCGTATATACTGAAGGTCATTTATTGGAAGGTAATAAATTAGTTTAGTTCAATTCATAATTGATATTAATATCATTTAGTTGTGTACCGAAAACTTTGTATGAATCACATGAACGTCATATAAAAATCACGATAAATACCTATTAAAAATGAAAATTAGAAAAAAATACGAGTTCTTCTTAATAATAATGTATATCTTAAATTAGGTTGGTGCTGTAATGTTTTGAAGAATTAAAAGATCACGCCGAGGATAAAATGAGAGCCAGTTGTGGTCTAAGTGGTTAGTTAAAGTTTAAATATTCTAAGAATAAAAATAGTTTTCGTATCTTTACACATGTGTGTGTGTTAATGTATATGTGTGTATTGTATCAATGTTTAATAGAAACAAATTGAAACGGCAATAACAAATGGGAATAAGGAACCTCTGACTTAAAATTAATATGAGCAACTTCTTAGAATTTATTTCTTATATCGAATTAAGAATTTATACCAAAAAAATAAAGCGCAACTTTAGTAATGGACTGTCTGGAATCTTTTTGAAATGTTCGAAGTTGGGACAGCTTGGATGAAATCTTTTAAACTTGTTTTAGATTAGCTCTTAATCTTATTTATTTAGTATCAATAATCAATTCCATGTTTTTTTTTTCTATATATTAACGTTCTTATTTAATAATAATACAAACGATTCATTGAAAACAATAAACAGTAGTTATTGTGTAACGATGTTCCAATCACGAATCATACCGTACGCTTTCATTAAACGATCGAGTTAATATCTAATAAAATGGGGTCAATACAATGTGTATGTTGAACTCATCGGACCATGTACCATGTTATAACATTGAATGACGTAAAATAATCCCTACTAATCCCTACTAATATTATAAATGCGAAAGTAACTCTGTCTGTCTGTCTGTCTGTCTGCTACGCTTTCACGCCTAAACCACTGAACTGATTTTAATGAAATTCGGTACAGAGATAGAGTTGACCTTGAGAAAGAACATAGGATAGTTTTTATCCCAGACTTTTGAAAGGTTCTCTTGGAAACGCGATATAACCGAACTCCACGCGGCGAAGCTGCGGGCGGAAAGCTAGTTAACTATATAATGAATAACTATTGTTTATGAACCATTTTACTAACTCATACAACATAACATATAGAAATATTTTCTCGTGTAATATTTCATAGTCTAGACTCCTAGACTATGTGTAACAGTCAGTAATTGTAAACAGTGTTTTGTAAGTTACAAACAATAGTCGGGAGTATGAAAACGAGAAGCGTGTTCGTGTAACGCAATAATTTACAGCAATTAAGTCACTACGAAGGTTTTAACTCCACTAACCGCAACGTAAAAGACATTTGCGTCATTAGTTCGACTGAATGGTATTTAATAATTAATTTTAATATGCTTTAACTATAACTTATTAAATAATTAGGGGTTTTTTAGTTGTATTTAAATTAATTTGCGTTCTTTTATAATAAACCGCATTAATTGTATACTAATTCATAATATGTTTATTTTACGTTAAGTATTGATATATATTTTTTTAAATAAGTAGGTACGTGTCTAGTGCTCTAGTACCAGATTTTATTGCGTTGCATAAATTAAGAAGATATCTTTATTATCACGTTTTAAGTAACATCGTATTAGATTTGTATGTAATTGTGACATTTTATTATAAATTAAATAACTTTAATATATAAATATGTTAAGTAATAATTAAAAAAAAGACAAGGTATTTGTTAAAAAAATGCAAGGTTTTTTTCGATAGTACATACATACATTCAAAAAATTTAATTTCAAATTAACATAAATATGATTTTTGTAAGTCATTCTATACATATTAAAATAAGAAGAATAATAAAATTAATTATACAATTATTTTGAATTAATATTGTGCTCGTTGTATAGGTAACTACATTTCATTCAAAAGTTATACATATATGTATACACACATACACACACACACACACACACATGCACACAAATACATAGTTTTATATTATATAAAATTACTTTTGACTACCATTTAAGTTAAGACCTCGCTTTATGACCTTAAAAATTTATTCACTAGAATTTTTCCTAAACCACGATAACATTTGAATATTACTTATACAATTTATATTATAAATATAATATACTCTTTTTATTTGTAAACACTGAATATAATTTTAATTAGTTATGCTAATTTATTCAGTTGTTTCTTATTTAAAATATACTATGCAGATGCTTTTATTAATAAGATATGAATTATATTATCTTAAGCACGTCCGTCTGCATTTAAATGAGTGAATGCCATTATAATTGCATTTTTATTTAATTGCAATAAAAAAATTACCTTGTACTTGTATAATATCTTAGATATTTTCGCAATGAATGAATAATTGTGTGTGATAAAAAGAGATAAGCTTGTGTTGATTATCTTATAGCAATTCATTGTTTTGTTATACATTTGACTTAGAAGCCGAAATATATAACACGCTTCGGTATCATCCGTCAAGGCTATCCACGTGTTCCGAAGACTTCCGAAGCGAATGCGAACTTGAGCGAACTCATACGTAAATAGTTGTGCGACCCGCCATCCGGTAAAGCGTGAGTACACTTCTTACTGCCAAATACAAAGCCGAGATACCATTCATATTTTATAACACTTAGTAAATATAATACACTTATTACTTAACATCCATTACTCCATAAATCAATTAAATCCATATGTTCACCGAGTAAATATTTAAATTATGATTTTTTAATAAAGCAATTTCGTAATCGGAAATTTCAATTTATTTGTTGCGGATGCCGTGATTACTAATTCCGTACCTGTGCCCCACCAGTAGCGTTTCCAACCGACGGACACCGCGCGAAACATGGCGGTGCGTGCGTCGCCGATGGCGCTTCGCGGCCAACTGACTTAACAACCCATTCTCTTTTTCAAATATACATAATGTTCAGAAATATTGAAATGAAAAAAATAATTAAATGACCTAATTACATTCAGCCAAGTATTATGTGAACGGAATAATTCCCCTCTATTTTGAGTTACTTCCTTTTAGAGCGAGCAACCATTAAAGACTCTTAGTAGCACCGTGACTCAATTAATCTCTAATTAGAAGCGAGAGTGCTCTTAATGCTGAGAGACGGATATCACCTCGTAGCTTGTCACCAAAGCAAATGGAAATCTGACAGGTCGATGGCCGGTGATTCTTATATTTAGGTCAACTCATATACCATGATATAATGCAAAGAAAAATTAAAATAAATATAAAATTGTGTAAATAGTTTTCCCATGTACTACTTTAGCATCATTTAAAATTTTTCTTTTAAAAATAATTTTGTGGCCAATTTTTTTTTATCTTAAATAAATTTGAAGATTATGTTGTTGAATTACAATCTAGTTTTTAATATTAAAATGCGTGTGATAGATTTTACGATAAACAAGGAATATAATGAAATATGTTTTTAAGTTAATAGGTACAAAAATACATTTTTTTTATTGTTATGTGGGAATAATATGAAAATTATAAACAGCAGTTGTATATTATGTTTCGGCAGAATATTAATTAATTTCTACGCGAATCCCACACTTATAGTGTCAGTCTGGCACTTGTTTGGTTTTTCGTACTTAGTTTCACAATAGCTGCACTTGTATAACGAGTCAATCTGCTACACATTATTGCATTCATTTAGCAATCAATAATTCCTTAATTAATGGTCTCTTTTTTTTTGTAAAATTAATTAATTTATATTTTAATTTGAAGATGTAACCTGTCGTGAATGAAGCCAATTATTATTATTTTAATGCTTCTTTTTATTTTGACAGTACGATTGTTAATTTGACACTGACAGGTTGTAATTTTTTCACGACTTAAAAATAACTTTCAGCGTTCGATTTTTGTGCATGTTAGTTTGAATATATAAAATTTTATTGAAACATTGGTTTATAAACAAATTATTTGAAATTTTAATTAATTGATAATCATATTAAAATTACTATTCTAAGCTCATTTAATTATCTCAATATTTTTGTTTTACTTGAAATTTTGTTAAATTTTGCAACGATTTCTGTGTCATGAATTTGATACACCAATAAATACATCTTCTGTTACTTTTACCTTCTGTTATGTAATATTTATTTATTTACACTATTTTCTAGTAAAATGGTTTAATTTTGTTTGTATGCTTATATTTATATATATTATTATTTTTTATATTTTTTAAGGTAGCTACACCATTATGTAGAGATCTTTCTTAAGACATCTCTTTTATAATAATGTAACTATTTCTAGTTTTGTGATTAGATAATAAAAAAAATATACTTTCACTTCGTTCGTAAATTGTTTTTTTAATTAACTAATTATTATCTTAATAGTACAGTAAACGAAACAGTGCATAAAATGAAGAAAGGTATCATACAGACGAGCTTACTTAAGTTTTAACATTTCACGCTCGTTAATCACAGAGTTACGA